CTCCCTCCTTTGGAGAGCTCAGAAGGTGCTCCCAGCAGTCCCAGCAGAGGGGGCAACACCCACAGCGATGCTGCCCCTGCCCCACAGGTTCCGGCTGTGACTTGCCCTCTGGGGCCAGCGGGGCGCTCTCAGCCTGGGCGTCCCGGCACCCTGGCCTTTCTCAACTCCTCTCCTCCCAGCTCGCAAACCCTGAGCACCTCCCAGCCTGTCTCTTCCTGGTAGTGTCTTGCCCAACACAGCCTGTGGTCAGCACGTGCTGCTAATGTTTTCCAGCTTCTCCGCCAGACCGAGCTATTCAGGATGTCATCGCCTCACCAGTCATCACGGCTGTTTTCCCAAATGTTCCACGGTTGCACGACAGCTTGCCAACATTCCCGCCTCGGGTAACGGGCCCCAGGCAGCCCCCGGGCTGGCGGCACGTGCCCCTCTGTTGTTAGGGCAGCAGCCTCCCCGGGGGGCTGCTTTCCGGACCACGCCGGCCGAGGTGCACTCCGGCAGCAAACAGCTCTGGAAGGCTGACATGTCAGAGCACAGAGCTTCAGTTGCCACTCGTGCTCCTTGTCCACCTCAGGCCACCGGGTGCCCAGGGAGCCGTGCTGAGGGAGGACAGGACACCTCGAGCGTTCCGGGCACCTGGCCACAGATACACTGGTGGTGGGACTCGTGGGGACCACGCGCCCCTTCCGTTCACCCTGGCCTCCCGCAGCCACCCCCACCACGTGCGCAGAAGTGGCACTGGCAGCTCCCACAAGGGCGGGGGGCAGGATGCTGGGCCACAGCTGCTTTTCCAGGGCAGAAGACGGAGTACTGAGGCGGAGGAGGGTGGAGTCCGCGGAGCTGGGGGTGCAGTCCAGACAGGAGGGAGGGGCGGCAAGCTCCAGATCTGCGGGGGCCCAGGAAGGTGGTGTCCCTGGGGCACGTGGGAGGGCTGAAGCCCAGGACAGGCGAGGGAGCCACGGGCTTGTGTGTGGCGTCTGCACTGCCTGCAGCCTTCTGGGTCCAGGGCTCCAGATGAGGCATCCCGTGTCCCTCAGGCCACGTCCCGCACGGTCCAGGCTCGTCCTGGGTGCTTCTCTCTGGTCCCCCAACTCTTAGTGGGGTAGACGCCCCTGTTCTAGGCCAGATGCCTGGGGCAGAAGCCCCGGGAACTTCAGACCCAAAGTTACAGCTCACCCTTGGGAGCAATCGGTGAAGTGTGGGGAGGGCCACAAGCGCATGGCACCGAACCCACACCTGAGCGGTCCGCCTGCAGAGGAGGAAGAGGCCTTTCAGCCCCGGGCAGGAGCACCTCCGCCCCACCAGGGGCGGGAAGCAGACCCCGCGGCAGGGACTGGCGCGGGGACAAAGTGGGTGTGAAGGAGCCGGTCAGAGACCTGGGAAGATTGGAAGGGGCGATTTCAAAAGATGAAGATTCAGTGAGTGCTCAGAATGAAGGCAAGACACACGGGCTGGAAGAGCAAGACAGGCGCTCCCAGGGTCAGCAAAGGGACAGGGGGAAGCACGCAGGAGAAAGTAAGCCAGGGGATTCACTGAAGACCTGGGAGTCACAGGGAGACAGAGCTGCAGGAAGGAGTTCAGACTGATCCAGGCATCCTCACTCTCAACGTGTCCTTCATTCCACCGCGGGGGGCCTCTCCCCTCCCTCACGGACCTCCCCACTTGTGGCAGCCACTGTCTGGGCACCCCGCCCGACCTAGGTGCCCATGGAGCTCTTCTCCCTGCCACACTCCTGCACTTGGAAGAACCTGATGTTTGCTCTTAAGGCTATGTATTTTTTCCACTTTCTCTCTGTGGACCTTGAGAAAGGAAATGCTCTTTAAGGAGGGTTCCTGATGGCTAAAATAAAAAAAAAAAATACTGAGCCCAGAAGTCATTTCTGCACAGGAGCCCCTCAGGCAAACCACACTTACGAGAGCAGCCTGCGTGGAGCTGCTGCTTGCACTGCGTTCTGCAGCTCCGCCGCCCTTATAGGCAGGCTCCTGGGATCCTACGTCAGCCAATAGGACTGAGGTCCCCCCACACCTTCTTCATCAACCAATCAGAGCAGCTCCATTCTGACCAATCAGGACAGTGCTCTTTGGCCCAATTAATTTGGAAAAGCGCAGACCAATCAGGGGTCAGGGGGCGGGGACTTCTAGCTATATAAGCCAGATCCCCACTGGTTCAGAGATCGAACTTTTCCTTTCCACTGGAGACGCAGTTTCTATAGTGGTGTCCGCGGTGCAGAGCTGTTTAGCCAGGGAGGGTCTTGGTTGCTGTCACAATTGAGTTGTGTACCGAATAGGTTCCTTCTTCATCGCATCCCAAATGGGAAATTCTTGGCCGCATTGGATTGGTCCTGAGAACCAAATGGTTGACCTCTCTAAAGAGTCAGCTGGTAACACCCAGGGAGAATGGAAGCCGCAGAAGAGGGGAATGGCCACTGAGCGTGGGGCTCGGCCAGGCTGTCCATGGCAGCCCAGCATCTCAGCCCGATGTTAATGGGATCACGGCAGCATGTGAAGGTCACTACCGCCCCCACCCAGGCCCAGACAACCTCTCTGTTTGAAAATGAAGGAGCAAGCTGACCTAAGATTCCACTTTGCAGTGACCGCAGCAGCACCCACGTGAGGCAGGGGCAACGCATACCTGACACATGCTTATGTTCATGTTCATGTTACCAGACAGGGGCCTGGCCCTGAGTGTGCCCATCTGGGGTCAGCTGTAGTGTGTGGATTCTTGACTTTGTGTAGGAAAGATTTCACAACATGAGTCCGGGTGACTGTGAGGAACCATTTATTAAAGCTGCGACAGTGAAACAAGGAAGGACTTAGCACAGAGGAAGCAACAGGAGAGCCCAGGCAGGGGTGCCTTGCCTCACTGGGAAGTCAGGTAAAAGGGTGCTTTGGGGACGGGTTCAGGGGATTAGCCTGGGACCAGCTGCCGATTGCCTGAGCGTTCAGGAGACGCCTGCATGTGAGAAAGGAGCGGGGAAGGGAATGGTGCGACGTGCCCCCCAGAGGGAGAGCTGGGACTGGGTCCTGTTGTCTTGAGGCTTTTACCCCTTCCTTGCACGTGGGGAACTTAGGGGAAGTGTCAGGGGAGGGTCTGTGAATGGTCATCAGTTCCCCAAGGGTGCCCTTTCAGGGTCAAAGTCTCCACTGCTTAGTCTGTGCCACAGCGGGGGTCCTTCAGTCACTGCAGCTGGTCCTGGCATCTGCCCACCCGGTTTTGCTGCATTGGCGGGTCCTGGGGCTGAAACACAACAGGCCTTCGTGTTCTCTCTCGGGAGGTGAACTTCTGTCTCTGGCTGTGAGCTGCTCAGCATCGTGTTCAGCTCTGCCTCAGTTTCCCTATGCCACTTGCCAAGGAATTTTCCTAGCTTCTCACTGTCCTGTCTCAATAGGACTGGAGTCAACGGTGGGGATCACATGCATTGTGTTCGTAACAGAACTTCGGAACACAACCATTTGGGAGCAATAGTTGTGGGGGGGGGCATCCTATAAGGAGAATGTCTTTTTAATTTTTATAAAAATTTGTTTCAACCAAAGAGAGGATATACCTGGAAGCAAGATCTCAACAGTCTGAGATAAGCATTTCCATATTATTTTTATAAGGGGGCTTAAAAACCAAAATTTAAACTAAAATACTCCCCCAAAAGAATGCACTCGTCCAGTGGCAGCAAGCTAAGCGAACAGGGTTTGCCTGGGGTGGGAATGCCGGCTGCCCCCCTCACGGAGCCGCGGGTGTTCCACCGCCCTGGGCCGCCGTCTCCTCCTTTCGACGCTCCTTTTCAAGTCTGTAGGATGCGGCTGAGATACCTACCTGTGGGATGTGTGAGGAGCCCCCCTCACTTCTGCAGGATCACCGATGGCTGCGCGTAAGGCCACCCTTCCACGAGTCCGGTAGGCTTCCTCAACGGACGGCCCTCAAAGCCAGTCCTTGCAATTCCACAGGGGCTCTGGGCTGTCTGGCCCGTCGCCACAACCCTCGGGCACTGCCTCTCTTTTTGAATCACGACTAGTCAGCGAGTGCCTTCTAAGAAACGAAATCTTTCTGCACTGCTGGCTCAAAAGCTGGGCCTCTGACCTCCCTGCGCCACCCCAGCCTGAAGGACCTACTCCTGAGCCAAGCAAAAGCAGCCGTAGCAAAGCAAAAAGCCTGGAGGGGCAGAGAGAAAGTCTCTGGCTGGCCGCTTTCCTTCCTGGGATCGCGCAGGAAGGGAAGGCGAAGCGCAGGTTCTGCAGCTGGAGTGAGTCCTCGAACAGGTCCCGAAATCACTGTCCTCACCTCCCCCGCAGCACCGAGCGGCCAGGAGCTGCAGCCACAGGTCCAGCAGGTCACTGTCCAGCCCATCAGGACCAGAAGCCCGGCCACCTGCCCTGGAGGCAGCGTCTGATCCCAGCTTGCCTTAAGCCAGCCTCCCAGGGTTGGGGAGGCTCTCCCCCACCCCACCGCCGTGGGCCGTCTCATTCCCCAGGACCTCTGCGCACAGCAACAACACCCGAGGACACCTCGCCCGGCTGGCGATACTCCTGCTCTAGCGGATCTCCCATTGGCTCCGCCTACACAGGCGGGCCCGCCGCCGCAGGCCGGAAGAGGAGGCTCGTCCTTGGAGGCCGCGCTGCATGCTGGGGTCTGTGGTCCACGGAGCGACGTCGGCCGAGGCGGCCTCTCTGGTACCTTCGGCCCCAGAGGGAGCGAGTCCAAGGGGGTCCAACGGCTCGGCCGGACCCGCACAAGCCCAAGGACAAGACAGCCGCCAGCTTCCTCGAACTTGAACCTCGGCCTGAGCAGTTCCGGGTCCCTTTGGCCCGGAAGGAGAAGTGCGGCTCCGCGACTGCTCAGCTCGGGAGCCACGCCCCGGGGATCTGGGAATCCGACCCGAACTTCCTGACGCTTGGATACGATTGGGCTGCAGTGTCATGTGACTACGTGCGCCGCGTCTGGTTGGCTGCAGCTTCGGAACCCCTGCGGTTACCGGGGCGACCGAGCGGCGGCGTGCGGCCGCGTAGGCGCTGCGGGTATGACGCGGTAGAGCGCCCAGCGGAGTTGGGGAGCGTCGGGCAGCCGGGGGTCAGTATCCGACTCCGACTCCGCCTCCGCCTCCGCCTCCGCCTCCTACCGGGCTGTGCTCCCCCTTGGCCGCGCTCGGCCCCCAGGCTTGGGTTGCACATGGGAGCCCAGGGCGCACAAGATGCGGGCGCCGGCCAGGGAGCTGTTCCGGGACGCCGCCTTCCCAGCCTCGGACTCCTCGCTCTTCTCCAGCTTCTCCACACCGCTGGCCCAGTTCCGGGAAGACATCACGTGGAAGCGGCCCCAGGTAGGCGGCTGCGAGGTCCTGGGTCGGGCCTCTGCTTGTTGTGCCCTGCTGGGGTGCAAGCGCAGAGGCTGGGTGGAACGGCGGAACGGGGGCCGGGTCCGCGAGGTGTGGGCATCCGCCAGCAGCAGGGTCTTCGCTACTGTTCTCGGGAGGGGGGGTCCCAGGCTCCCGACCGCACGTGGCAGCTCCTTCTGGAGCTTACTCGGGTGCGCCGGGCCCCGCGCTCGCGGCGCACACCTGTGAGAGTTCGGTTCCGAAGGACAGTGAGGCGCCGCGAGAGGCGCGTGCTCATAGGCTCAGAGCCAGTGCCCCCTCCTGCGTCTGCTCCGCAGGGCACAGCCGGGACTTGGCCCCGAGTTCGCAGGGCTCCTCTGTGTCCTGTGCTCGCGGCAGCCAGGTCCTCTGATGCGCCAGCGGCAGGGCCAGGCCGAACCTGCAGAGCAGAGCCACTTGGCCGTGCAGGTTTCTCTTCTGGACTTAGTGCACCTGCGCTTCCAGGTGTGAACGTTTTAAGGTGGGAGCTTACAGGGATGCTCTGGCCAAGTTGCTCTGACATCTTTAGAAGTGGCTTGTCGGTGTGCTGAGCGGGACTGTCTGTGGGAGAAGCCTGCCTTCCCGGGTGTGCTGGCCAGCAGCGCCTTCCGGAGACAGCTCTGTTTGGAATGGGTCATCCTGGGCGCGGGAGGAATCGGGCCAAGGCTCGGAGGGCCTTACAGGCCACACCGGCGGACTTGGGGTGAAAATGGGTCTTGGTGGCAATGGGTAGCCAGAAGAGGGTGTTTTGTGGAGGAGTGATTCAACCGGGCGTCAGTGTGAAGAAGCTCAGCGTTACCTGCCAGCTGGGAAACGGGTGGTTGGGGCAAGAGTGTGGGCCAGCCGTGCAGTGCTCCTGGAGAAGGGCTAAGGGGCCGCAGGTAGCCCGATGCTGTTAGCACTCTGATGGGTCCTAGTGACCCCTTCCCAGTAGGGGGCGAGGGTGAGGGAGGGATCCGAATGACTTCCCGGTTTCTGGCCCAGCACCTGGGTGGGGGTGGTCCCATCTGCTGTACTGGGGGGAGTGGGAGTGGGAGTCTAGGGCTGAGTTTGCCTGCTAATTGGTGCTGTCAGGAGGCAGGGGTGCAGAGCTGGGAGCGCAGGACCGTCTAAGCAGAGGCTCCATCTGGGGGACTGGGACTGCTGGGGTCAGGGGACAGCCCCCCCCCCACTGTTCTGGTGCTGTGGGACGTTGGGAAAGAGGAGGACACAGAGACACCTGTTGTGATTGACACACAGGGGTGGCATTGGCCAAGACGGCTGGAGGCGTGGAGCCAGAGAGGCCCGTGTCTTGAGAGGGAGCAGGAGGAGGGAGCAGGGGTGCAGCCCTCTCCCGAAGGTTGTCAGCGGAGGGCCGTGGTGCTGAGGGGCAGTGTCCCCCTTGTGCCTTATGCCGGGGGACGCTGCCCACCGAGGGGGCAGAGGGAGGGGTGCCAGGAGGAGTCCAGGCAGGTCAGGCGGCTGCTGACAGAAGCAGGAGGTGAGGACGCCTGGGGAGAGGTGCAGCCCGGCCGGTGGAGCTGGTCGGCGGTGCGGGTGCAGGGTCCTCTCAGACAGCAGGCTGTCCAGCAAGTCAGAGGGCCCCTTCGAGGGTGACCGTTAGGAATTTGAAGTGGAACGGTTTTGCAGATGGACGTTTAGCTGTTTCAAGAAGGGGGTGGCAGCATTCATCCAGAGTTGGGGGTTTTGCCAACTGAGGAAGGTGGACGGGGGCAGTGACCCTGTGATCTAAGCAGGACGGACAGTGTGCAGAGCGGGAAGGCTCCCCCCGCCTGTCACCTCGGGCCTGTGTTCTCCGTTCTGAAGACCGGAGGCTGGGAGACACATTGTAACTCTGGACAATGTTCTTTATTCCAGGAAATCTGTGCCGCACCCCGGATGTTTCCAGATAACCCACAGGAAGGGCAGGTGAAGCAAGGGCTGCTGGGGGACTGCTGGTTCCTGTGCGCCTGCGCCGCCCTGCAGAAGAGCCGGCACCTCCTGGACCAGGTGTCTGTCTTCCTGTCTGCTGTGCACAGGAAGGAAGTGGGGGGCCAGGCAGCTGAGCCCCTGTTCTGTGGGGCTCTGCCAGGCGGCTCGACAAGGCTGTGGGGAGCTAGTGCTCGGCTGCCAGGCCTCAGGGGCACCCTCTCCCTCAGGGGAGCTTCCCACCTGGCTCTGCGCCCCCTGCCCCCAGGCTCTCCTGTGAACTGAAAAGACAGACGAGCCAGTCTGGCTCGGAAGGGGCTGGCCAGGCCGCCTGTGCCCTAGTCTGGAATGAGCGCCCCTGGCTAGTTGGCTCTGAGCAGGTTTTGAGTATGAATTGGCCAAAGACGGTTCAAACTGTGTCTGGTGCTCAGCAGACACGGCAGGTGTGGGGGGGCTGCTCGCACTCCATGCCCCCCCCCACCCCGGAGCCCCCGCGGCCGTCCGCCCGGCTCCTCGCCAGCTGTCTCTGAGGAGGGCAGCCGCAGCAGCCCCTGGCAGTGGGGCCCCGTCCGGGCCCCCTCCCGTGGCCCAGGCCCAGGCCGAACACACCGCTCACTGGCTCTGGCCTCTGTCTCCCTGACGAGGGCCCTGGAGCCGTTGTCGCTGGCTCTCTGGTTGGCGAGTGGCAGAGCCAGGACCACACGAGTCACCCAGGCGCAGCCCCCACCGCCGCTGGGGTCAGAGCACCCAGCCCGGCAGGGCAGCGAGCGCTTGGGTCCGTGCGCAGCAGCGGCCCAGAGCTTCCGGCTCCGGTGGGGGGGTTGCCGTGCCCGAGACGCCCTGCCGTCTGCGGCCAGCTGTGTCAGGACTGGGACTCTGCTGATAAGAGTGTTGGTTTTGGGTTCAGGTCGGGGCCATTTGGGACAGGAGAACTTAGTGGTTGGCGTCAGACTCTGAGAGACGCTTGGCCCCCTCCTGCGGCCCCTAAATGCATCACTGACACGTCTGTGGGCCTCCTGTCCGTGGGCTGGTTTCCCGTGGGCACGGACCCCGGGCGTGGCGCGAGGTCGGGCCCTCCGCCGGCCACGGGACGCCGGGGGACGGTGCGGCGTGGTCACGCGGTGGCCGGGACGCCAGGAGGGCGCTGGGTGGCACTGGTCTCACGGTCTCCTTTCCTCCCCCGCGCGGCAGGTCATCCCCCCTGGACAGCCGAGCTGGCTCGACGAGACGTACCGCGGCTCCTTCGCCTGCCGGGTCTGGCAGTTTGGACGCTGGGTGGAGGTGACCGTGGATGACCGTCTGCCTTGTCTTGCAGGGAGACTCTGCTTCTCCCGGTGCCAGAGAGAGGACGTGTTCTGGCTGCCGCTGCTGGAGAAGGCCTACGCCAAGTACGCGGGCCGGGGGCCGGGGCCTCCCCGCCTCGGGCTGCCCCCCCCCCCCCCCGGGCTGCAGCTCCCTTGTCGTGCCCGAGCCTGCGGTGGCCAGTCCTGGGGTGGGGCTGGCCGGTCCAGGGACAGGAGCTCTGGCCCCTGGCCTGGGATCGCCTCTCTCTCCCTGCCCCCGTGCGCAGCTGGGCGTGGAGAGCAGGCCTGTGTTTTCTCCCTTTCCTGTCCTCAAACCCCGGCGAGAGAGGTCTTTCTGCCCAGTTGTTCTTCGCCACTGGGGACAGGCGGCCTCTTGCAGGCCGCCGGGGAGAAAAGAGGCCACCTGGGCGTTAGCCTGGTCTGTGGTGGCGCAGCCCGAGCCTCGCGAGGAGTCTAGATAGAGGCCGCTCCCTCGAGAGAGCACTTGCAGTGCCCCTGACGGCCGGGCCGACGGGCAGGCCTTTGCACAGAGGAAGGGGCTGCTGCCTGTGCTGCAGGGGTGGGTGTCCCCACCAGGGGCTGCGGGAGGGTGCGGGAGGGGGTCTGTGCGTGGGCAGAGGCAGCAGGGCGTGGCTGGGACTCTGCGTGGCAGCCGGCGAGGGCACGGCTGCTGCGCGGCCGTGGTGAAGGTGAGGCGGCTGGGAAGAGCAGGGACTGAAGTGGGTGGGGTGGGGGCCAGAGGACCCCTCGGGGCGTCCCGGACCGTGGGGGTGGGGGAGAGGCGGCATGCCGCGCCCATGCTGAGGCTCACTCCCTGCCCATCCCCCAGGGTCCACGGGTCCTACGAGCACCTGTGGGCAGGGCAGGTGGCAGACGCCCTGGTGGACCTCACGGGCGGCCTGGCGGAGAGGTGGAGCCTGAAGGACCTGGCCCGCGGCGGCGGCGGCAGTGGCCCGCAGGACGGGCCCGGCGCCCCGGAGCCCAGGACGTGTCGGCAGCTGCTGGGCCTCAAGCAGCGGTGTCCCATCAGCTGCTCGGTGTTCAGCCCCAGAGCAGGTGAGGCGGCGGCCCCGCCGGACCCCGGGGGGGTGGGGGGCACGTCCTGGGGCCCTGTCTGCACATTCATCCTGGGCTGGCATCCAGCTGTGTGACCTCGTCCTGCTCCCCGCCCCTCCCTGACCAGTGCTCATCCTGGTGGGCGGGAGCTTGTGCCGCATGGGGGTCGCCACTGAGCGGAGACGGTCAGGGGGCGTGTGGTGGCGCCGTCCCAGGCTCAGCGGGCAGCCTGCGGGGTCGGCCCCCCCGGACGGAGCCGCTTCCAGCGCTTTTCGCCGACACGCACCTTGTGCGTCGTCCTGCGAGCTGCAGAGCCATGCTCCCCGGGTGAGGCGGCCTGGCCGACGTCGCCCCTCGTCGTGCACCTGCCGTGCACCTGCCCTGAGCGCTGGAGACGGCGGTCTTCCTGGTTTCACGCTGTTACGAGTGACGAGGCGCCTTATGCGTGAAACTTCCCCGTTTAGACTTGTTTTCACAATAGAGCTTGTGGTCTGAAACCTACCGCCGGAATAAACTGGCCCGTGTTGGCAGTTACGCTGCCCTGGTGTGTGTGCAGGCTGCTCCCCTGAGGGTGGGCGGGCGGGCGGGCAGACTCGGGGCTGCGGAGGTCCCCCAGAGCCCAGGGAGTGGGACAGGGCCGGGGACGTGGGGCGGCTGTGGGGCCGGTCTGGACGGAGCCGGTGGAGGTGGTGCAGGTGTTCCTTCTCTCGGCCCCGGGCCCACCCCTCCTCCTGGGGCAGAGCCGTCCTGTCGGCTGCTCCTGGTCGCCTGCCCCCGGCCTCCGGGTGGGTGGAGTCCATTGTCCTCAGGCCTATGGGCCTCCCCCTGCTTGACTGACCCCAGCTGGCCTTGCCCAGAGGCCACCCTGTCCCTCGGCAGTGACGGACCGTCGGCAGCAGGGCCGGGAGTGGTGCTCTCGGGACCTGGTCCTGCGCCAGGAACCCTGCACGACCACGTGGTCCGGCCAGGGCCCCTCACCCGCCCGGCCCCGGGCCGTGGCTGAGCCCCCAAGAGGGGGATGGGCTCCGCCTGGTCCGGCGGAGCCGGAGTCCCGCCCTGGGCCCCGTGCTGCGACTGTGCGCTGGCTCCGGCCACTGCCGAGCTCACCGTCCACGGCGGCCAGGGACGCCCTGGGGGTCAGCGGGGCCACAGCTGGGTGGGCTGGGCCGGCCCCCGGGGACAGACCTGCGCGTCCGTCTGCCGGGTGTGAGGGCCCCGCCTGTGACAGAGCCGTCCCTCGCCCAGGTGCCAGGGAGCTGGGGGAGTTCCACGCCTTCGTCGTCTCGGACCTGTGCGAGGTGCAGGGCCGGGCCGGGCAGAGCATCCTGCTGCTGCGCATCCACAACCCCTGGGGCCGGCGGTGCTGGCGCGGACCCTGGAGAGAGGGGTGCGTGCGGGGGTGGGGGCTGCCATCGTGGGGCGGGGTGGGGTGGGGTGCGGGCGCCAAGGGGCAGCCGAGAGCCCGTGCCACAGTGTGGGGGCCTGGGCCCTGGTGCCGGGTTCTGTGGTGGGTTTTTTTTTTACTTTTTTTTTTTTTGTTTTTTGTTTTTTAAACAAAAGATTTTATTTCTTTTCTTGGCTGGCGTAGCTCAGTGGATTGAGCGCGGGCTGCAAACCAAAGAGTCGCAGGTTTGATTCCCACTCAAGGCACATGCCTGGGTTGCAGGCCATGACCCCTAGCAACCGCACATTGATATTTCTCTCTTTCCCTCTCTCTCTCTTTCTCCCTCCCTTTCCTCTCTAAAAATAAATAAAATCTTTAAAAGATTTTATTTATTTATTTTTAGAGAGAGGAGGGAGAAAGAAAGGGAGAGGAACATCAAGGTGTGGTTGTCTCTCAGGCGCCCCCTGCTGGGGACCTGACCCACAACCCAGACATGTTCCCTGACTGGGAGTCGAACCTGCAGTTCTGTGGTTCGCAGGCCGGCGCTCCCTCCACTGAGCCGCCCCAGCGGGGGCCTGTGGTGGTGCCTGTGCTCGGCGGTCCCAGCCAGGCCTGCTTGGCCCCGGGGGTTGGTCTCAGGAGGGAGCCTGTGGAGCAGCAGACACCCTGCCGGGCCGAGGGACGGGGACCTGGGGGGCGCTCACGCCCCGTCCTCGGCTCTGAGACCCATCCTGGTGGGCGAAGGTGCTGGGACAGGCCCCTTCGGTGGCCGATGGAGGGCAGACCCCACACTCAGCTCCGCCGGAGGCGACGGGCAAGCGCCCTGTTGCTGCTCCCCGCCCGCCCGCTCAGCCGGCCCCGTGGCGGGAGGAGGGGTGCGGCCCTGCGCTCTTCGGTCCCCAGGCCCCACCGGTGCTGTCACTCGGGGCGGAGCTGTCCGCTGACCCCAGGTCCCTTCCAGGGGCGAAGGGTGGAGCCGGGTGGCCCCGGGGGCCTCGCAGGCCCTGCTCTCCCAGCTCCAGGAGGGGGAGTTCTGGGTGGAGGAGGAGGAGTTTCTCCGCGAGTTCGACGAGGTCACCATTGGCTACCCGGTCACGGAGGCCGGCCACCTGCAGAGCCTCCACTCAGGTAACCGGCCCCCACCCCCACGGCCTGGGCCTTCCGGGGTCAGCTGGGGCGGGGGCCGGGGTGGGGGCTGGGAGCCCGACCTGCCGTGTGCTCCTGCCCTAGAGAAGGTGCTGAGCCATGCGCGGGCGCTGCCGGGGGCCTGGGTCCAGGGGCAGTCGGCGGGGGGCTGCCGCAACAACAGCAGCTTCCCCAGCAACCCCAAGTTCTGGCTGCGGGTCTCGGAGCCCAGCGAGGTGTGCATCGCGGTCCTGCAGAGGCCCCGGAGGTGCGCGGCGGGCCGGGCCGGCCGGGCCCCGGTGGGGGGCGACCGTGCTGCGCCGAGCCCGGCGAGCGTCCCGGGCAGGGACTACCCGGCCGTGGGCCTGCACCTCTGGAAGGTGAGTCCGAGGGGCCAGTGTCCCGCCCCCTAGGGCTGGGGTCCGGGTCAACGGGACTGCGTGCCTGCCTGTCTTGCCCGGGCCTGTCTGGGCTGGGGGAGGCAGAACCACGGCCCCTGGCGGAGCCAGCTAGCGGCACGGCTGTGGGCTCCCGGCAGCGGCTCTGCCCCAGGAGCCCAGGGCGGCCTCTTCTCCCCGCTCCCGCCCCCCTCAGTCCCCTCCCTGCTGTGGGGGGGGTGACACCTGGTCCTGGGGGGTTGTCCAGGGAGCTGCCTATCCTGCTCCCCTGGGCACAGGAGCCTGGCTGGGGCAGGGACTCATCGCCCGTGTGCTGCCCAGCTCGGACGGCCCACGGGGCAGTGTCCCCCCCCCTTTGTGGGCGGGGCGCACCTTGCCCTCCCGTCCTCCCAGGTGGTGGTTGCCGGTGGGCCTTCTCCCAGCAGCCCCCGGCCCAACCCCCCCCCACTGCCCTGGGGCTCGGTCTTGTCCGCCGTGGGTCCTCCCAGAGGGGGAGGCTGAGCGTGAGCCCCCGGGAGGCAGGTGCCCTCCTGTGTCCGCTCCCCTGAAGCGAGGCCCTGAGGCCAGAGCGGGACGGGGCGGTGCCCAGTTTCTGCCCGGCCCCCTGTCCGCAGGTAGAGAAGCGGCGGGTCAGCCTGCCCCGGGTCCTGTCTGCACCCCCCGTGGCCGGCACCGCCTGCCACGCCTACGACCGCGAGGTGCACCTGCGCTGCGAGCTGGCCGCCGGCCACTACCTGGCCGTGCCCAGCACCTTCCTGCAGGGCGTGCCGGGGCAGTTTCTGCTCCGGGTCTTCTCCAGCGGCAGCGTCTCCCTCAGGTGAGGGCGGGTGCGGGCCGGCCGGCACGGGCGGATACGGGCCGTCCCCTGGGTCCTGCCGGGGCCACCGCGGCCGGCCCGCACCTCCAGCCGGCCCGTGCTCGTGTCTCGGCAGCGCCGTCAAGACGGGGGCCCAGAGCCTGGGCCCCGGAGCGGCCCTGTCGGCGGGGGAGTGGGAGACCGTGCGGCTGCGCGGCTCCTGGCGGGCCGGCCAGACGGCGGGGGGCAGCAGGAACTTCGCCTCCTTCCCCAGCAACCCCTGCTTCCCGCTCTCGGTCCCCGAGGGTGCGGGCCCCCGCTGCGTCCGCATCTCCCTGCACCAGCACTGCCCCAGCGGCGACTGCCACCCCATCGGCTTCCACGTCTTCCAGGTGAGCTCCTGGGGGCAGGGCCGGGCGGGGGCCCCCGGGGGGGCTGTGTCCACGCAGGGGGTGGGGCGGGGCGGGGCGTGGAGTGGAGGCCTGGGCTCAGTCACTCAGGCCGTGATGGGCTCGGCGGGGCCAAAGGGAGAGGTGGCGTCCTGGAACTCGGCTGCAAGCGTGCTGTCCCCCCTTCTGCCCAGAATGGGTGTGAGCCCGGGGGGCCCTGTGGGAGGGGTGGGAGCCACGGAGTGCCCCCGGGGGGTGCTGAGGCAGGTGGAGGCCAGGGAAGGGCTGGTGCCTCGTGAGCGCCCCCCAGAGCACCCGCCGTGCAGGCCAGACACCTCAGCAGCCCTGAGGGTGGAGCAGGGGAGAGGTCAGAGATGGCAGGCCGGTCGCGTGGCCAGTGTGGCTCCCCAGCCCACGTGCCCTTGTGCTCCTGGGGGCCCCACTTCTGTCCCCGCGGCGTGAGGGGCCGGGGCCCCGGGAGGGTGACCCAGAGCCCTGTCCCAGGACCCCCGGGGCCCAGGGGCTCAGGGGCCCGTGAAGCCCGCTGTACAGGTGGCCTGAGGGGAGAGCGGGGTTTTCTGATTGGGAAGATTCTGCCCTCTGGGCGGTGCTGGAGCTGCGGGGTCCACCTTCTCCCTGAGCAGAGACACTAGCGGCTTCGGAAAAAGTGCTGGTGCCACTGGGTGGCCCAGGGCCTGAGCAGGGTGGTCCCCAGGCAGGGGCGGTGCAGGGGAGGGGCCCGCCACCCTGCCCACGACACCCCAGCACGTCGCCAGCTGGGGCTGCCTCGGGCCTGGGGGGCGAGCAGCTGCAGACCGGAAGGGACGCCCCAGGGACGAGCCTCCCAGCCCGAGCCTGTGCCTCCCCAGGTTCCAGCGGACGGCGGGGGCCAGGGGGCCTCCCCGCTGCTGCTCCAGAAGCCGCTGGTGAGCTGTGTGCCGCATCGCCACGCCCAGGAAGTGAGCCGGCTCTGCCACCTCCCTGCGGGGACCTACAGGGTCGTGCCCTCCACCTACCTGCCGGACACGGAGGGCGCCTTCACGGTGACCATAGCCACCCGGATAGACAGGTGGGGCTCTGGGGGCCCGCCGTCCCCGGCGCCCCAGCCCCCTCTTTGCCGAGGCGCCCCCCGCTGTGAGCTGTCCTGCTGAGACGGGGGGCGGGCAGGGGCCTCCTTCCCGTCGTCCCGCGGGGCGTGGGCGGGTCTGGGCGCGAGGGGCGGGCCCCGGCTGACCCAGGTGTCCTCCCCCGCAGGCGCTCCATCCACAGCCGGGAGATGCTGGGGCAGCCCCTCCAGGAGGTACGTGGGGGGCGCGGGGGCTGCCCAGAGCCCGGGGCCTTCCTCCCCCCGCCCCTCCTGCGGCCGCGCTGCACGCCGGGCTTCGCGCTGGGACACGAGGACGTGGCCGCTGCCCACACCTCGCCGCCTCCTTCCACAGGCCTCCTTCCGGGCGGTGATGAGGACCTGACCGGCCAGCTCGGAGACGGGCGTCCTCGGGCTCCCGCCCGCTCAGGGAGTCGTCTGGCGGGTGCAGCAGGCAGGGCGAGAAGAGCCCCGCGCAGGCGTCCTGGTCTCCGAGCCGGGACGGCAGCCCCCGGGGGCCCTCCGGTCTTCCCTCGGGCCCGGGGAGGCCCTGCAGCCGGCGGGCCGGAGTGTCGCCACACGCGTGTGCCCCGTCTCGGGGGCGTGACTTTGCAAATAAACATGAGCACCGAGAAGCCGGCGGGTGTCCTGTTCCTGCCGCTGTGGGCCGCGGCCTGTGCGGTGGCGCTGGGCGGAGGACTGGCCCCCCGGGCGGCCCAGGGCAGGAGCCGGAGGGTGCGGCAGGAAGCGGGGGCTGCCCGCCATCTCCCCGCCGGGCGGCCCTGCCGTGCCCTGCTGGCCGCGCGGTTCCGGCCGTGGGCTGCGGTGGTCGTCGGTCCCCGGTGCCCCGTGCGTCTCCCCGTCCTCGACAGCTCAGGCCCCGGCTCGCCCCAGTCTGCCAGGGCGTCCGGCCGGCCGAGCATCCCAGGCCGTGACAGGTTCCCGGAAAACGCTGCCGGCCGGCCTGTGCGTGTGCGGCCCTGGCTTCCCGCCATGGCCGCGGCCCTGTGTCCAGGGCCCAGTGGTCTGGGCTGGCCACCCCCACCCCGTCAGAGCCCAAGGGCGGTCCCGTGCTGACCCCACGGTGCCGGCGTGCGGATGGCTGTGTGGGGCGATGGCTTCCCCTGGGCCCTCCCGACGGACGTGGCCTGCAGCAGCTCTTGGTCCTCTGCCGTGGGGCCCGCGTCCGTGCCAGTGCCAGTCACGTGCGGGGCCCCCAGGAGACGCCCCCGAGGGCCCTCTGCGGCCGGTCCCTGGCAGACCCTGCCGTCGGCCGCCCTGCGCTTCCTGCTCTGACAGGCGCACGGAGGTCCGTGTTGCCCCGGAGACCCAGCGGGTCTCTGATGTCCGGTGCCCCTTCCTCCGCCCAGCGGAGCGCCGTGGTGGGCGGTGGTGGGCGCGTGGGCGAGCCCCTGCCGAGCGCACCCGCCGTGGGGGCCCTTCTTCTCCGCGCCCCAGCCCCTCTGCCATCCGTGCGTCCCCGGCCCGGCCCCCGGCCACATCTGCTCTGTGAATGACCCGGGCCTGCCCCGGCCTCGGCCGCCTGCCCGCCCCTCGGAGCCTCTTGTCTGCATCTCCTGCCCATGCGGCTCGCAGGGCCCGCCGGCACGCCCTGGTCCCCCGCACCTGTTGACTCGGCACTAGAGTGGGTTAACGTCGGACCCGGGCAAGGCCACCCCCGTGCCGGGCGTCACAGTCCCCCTGCTGCTGGAGAGCGGTCCTCACGGTCCCTCCCCTGGGACTGGGGGCGGGGCCTGCAGAGGCCGACGCTGACACACATGCACTGTGAGCCCTGTGTGAGGGCAGGAAGGTGGGGGTGTCTGAGCCGGTGCCGGGCGCCACGGCCCCGCCGCCGCCCGGGGGCGTCCGGCACTGTGTGGGTCGGAAGGCAAGCTTCACAGCCCCCAACTCGTCCTGGGTGGGTCCTGCCATCCTGCCACCCGCTGCCGCTCACTGCAGCTGGCCACCTCCGCCCGGTGCGGGGAGTCCCATCCGGGTGAGAACTGTCTACCTGCTGCCATCTGCACTGGGGACCCCCGTGAGGGCGCTCACCCTTGGCCTGGAAGCCGGGAGGACCCCTGGAGTGTGCCTGCCGGCGCCTGGGGGGGATGCTGTGCTCTGAGCTGTGTCCCCCAGACTCATGGTGCAGCCCTAAACAGGGCCCGGGGGGTACCTCGGGGAGGCAGTCAGGCTCCCGTGGGGCCACGTGCTGGGATCAGTGTCCTCGCAGGAGCAGGCCCCAGACCGAGTGGGGGCGGTGGCAGGGCAGCCATCTGCCGGCCAGGAAGGGGCACTTGGCCGGGAACTGCATCCCCAGCCGGTGCCCTGGCTTCCGGCCTCCGGGCTCCGGCGCTCGGGAGACAGGCCTGTCGTTTCAGCTCCAGCCTGCGGCCCCCGCCAGGCAGCCCCACTCAAACGGGGGAGCCAGCCTGCGGCCACAGGCCTCCAGGGGCGCTGCTCCCTGAACCCCACCGCCAGTCCTCTGCGGCTGCTGCGGCCGGCCGTGTGAGCCCGCCCTGAAGCCGGCCCGGGGAGCAGGCCTCCCAGCCCCCACGCCCCGATGGCCTGGCCTGGTGACCCCTCAGGGTCCGTCTGTCAAGGCAGCCACGCCCCAGGCAGGACACAGGCCCCGTGGGCCCCTCCAGCCGGTGCGTCCCGGGGAGGTCTGCAGGGGGTGCCCTCGAGCTGGGCCTGCGCCTCTGGGCTCTGCCCTCGGCTCCCCGCCGCCAGCCGCTGTGGTCTGTGTGTTGCTGCAGCGCAGTCCGGTTATGGGAGAACGGACAGAGCCACGAGTTTTGTCGCCGGCTGAGATTCTCTCGGCAGAGTGCCTATGTGTGTGGGGGGGGGGGGGGAGGGCCGTGGCAGACAGCCGAGAATCAGGTGCAGCTCTCGGCCCCACCCACCCCCTCTGGGCAAGGGGCCCAGGACCCTCTGGAGGGCTCACGGGGGGCGGGCAGGGGGTCGGGGGCTCCTCAGCCGGACGCCCTGGCTGTGACCGGATCTGGGGACGTTCCTGGTCTCTCGCTGGGTGGGGAGGGGGACACGATTGGCAGAGGCCCAGTCAGGGCTCCGCTGCGGGCGGCGGGGGCCAGAGGAGGGAGGTGGGAAGGTGGCCTGGGGGGCAGTGGCCCCTGTGGTCCTGGGACCTGTGAGGTTGGGGCTGAGGAAGCCGACGATATCTGGGTGCAGTGGGCGTGGTCTCCGTGCACCTCCGGACCAGCCCCCTCCCGCCCTGAGGCCTGAGCTGGCTAAGAGCAGAGGCCTTCCCGCCACAGGCAACGCTGAAGGAGCCCCCCACCCCCACCCCCCGGGCAGCCCCTGCAGCCACAGGGCCTGCTTCCACTCAGCCGCTGTCGCTGGACTTCAGGCCCTCGTTGCAGACTTGCCCTCAAAGGCGCTGTCTGGTGACCTGGGCTCCAGCCACACTCCGGGGCCAGGCCCGCCTGTGGGCCGGAGCCGCTCCGTGGACCTGCCCGTGGGGGATGGTGTGGGCCGGAGGCTGCCCCCCTCCTCTGTGCCTGGCCCGGCAGGCGCAGCCGGCAGGTGGGGGCGTGTGCAGGCGGGAGCGCCGCCCAGGCCTGCTGGCGGACTTTGCCCGCTCCACCTGCCCGCACTTCCTCCTCGGGATCACCCCCCCCGCTGCGGAGGCGGGGGCAGCGCCCTCCCCGCGGGAGCCGTGTCCCTCCTGGTCCCGGCCCTGTCCCCGGGTCTTCTCTCTCATGTCCCAGCCCGCCGGCCCGCCCCCAGGCCTGGGCCAGCCGCGGGGGCCGCAGAGCTCGGGCGGTGAGTGTGGAGACCCCGGCGCCCTGGGGGCAGGTGTTGGGGCGAGGGCTGGGCCGGCCGGGCTTCCCGGGCAGAAGGCAGGTGGGAGCTGGGGCTGAGGTCCTCAGGTGCCCCGAGCTCCCCTCTCTCCGTCTCCGTCTCTTCGCTCGTGACCGTCTCTTGCCTCCCTGGGTTTCACTGGCTCTGCCCCCATGGACACGAACAGACGAGGACTCTCTCCGCTGCCACGGAGACGGAGGGAAGAGTCCCACCGCTCCTGGGGACGCCGCGGGGTCAGGGGAGGCCCCTCTGGTTCCGAGGAGGAGTGCAGGGGCAGGCCGGGCCCACCTCCGGCCCCGGCGCACTCAGCCCGGCAGCCCAGGGGCCCGTTTGTCCCCGGTCAGCGCCGACAGTGGCCGCGGGCTCAGGCCGCAGCCCCGCACGACCCGTGTTTCTGGCGGGAACGGGCCTCTTGTGCGGGAGTGCGAGGCAGGCGCTTCAGGGACCCGCGCGCAGGGAGGGGCGGCTGGCAGAAGGACTCGCTCGTGTGCGAACACGAGCCCCGAGGCCCCGGCTCCCCCCCCCCCCCCGTGGAAAAGCAGGGCCGGAGAGAGCCCCAAGCTCCTGTGCTCAGCCCAGCCCAGCCCCCGGCCTGTGCTCCGGGCCGCAGTGCACGGCTGCACCGAGAGTGTGCAGCCCACGTGGCCGTCAGCCACTTGGGTGTGGAGCCAGCACACTTGAGTGCACAGGGCAAGTGTGTGTGGGGGGGGGGGTGGAGGGAGGGAGGGGGAGAGAGCGGCTTTGTGCCCGTGGGGTTGTAGCCAAAGCTTGGGTTTGGGATGGACCAGGTGCCCTTTCGAAAGTGCCGACCAACTTCCCAGGCTTCCGTGGGCTCCTCACGGGTCCACCCCCTGGTTGGATGGGCAGGCCTCGGTGGCCCAGCACGTCCCCCTGCCCCCCCAGCAGTCTGGCACCCGGGAGGGAGGGCGGGGTATTGACCCCCCGCGGCGGAGCAGCGCCGTGGCCCCTGGCGGGGGCGACAGACCCGTGCCCCCAGGTGGTTCAGCCCCACACCTGAGCCCCTCTGCCTGCCTCGCCCTGATTCCTACTCAGCACCACGGCCCGATGGCGCCGTGGGGACCCCTGGCCATCCCTCCATCCCAGCGGACCCTGTGGCTTCCCCTTCCACTTGGGGCAGCACGACCTGCCGGCCCTCACTGCGAGCACCACGAGGAAGCACCTGCGCCCCGGCTGCCCTCGCTGTGCCCGGGGAGACGGCCACACCGCCGTCTGTCCTGAGCCACGTGGCCCAGTGTCCACGGAGACGGGGCCTGCCTCCCCCGCTGCTGGCGCTCCGGGTGCCGGTGGGGGCGCCCGTGTGCCTTCCAGCCGCCGCTGCCCTGCCTGGCGCAGCGGGGACGCACCTTTCCCGTCCCTCCGTCTGTCTGCCCGCCCAGAGAGTTGGCCCCTGGGAGGGGCGTTCCGGGGCCGAAGGCCTCGCATATCTACTTTTGGGGGACGTGCAGACCCCCGCCCCCCGGCAGGTGGGGTGTGTGGTGCCCAGAGTCCCTGGGGGGCGTGCCCAGGCCACTGCTGTCGGCTCTGGCTTTGCCCGGGCTTGGGGAGGGGGCGCTGCCGACCCCCCTTCTCCCCTCGTGGGTCTGCGGCAGCCTGTCCCCCGCTTCTCCGGGCCCCGAGTTCTCCCCCTCCGTGTGGCCTGTTTGTGTTTCTGTCAGCCAGCAACTTGTCCGATGTCCAGAGAGGGGTCAGGAGGCCGGTGTCCTGGGGAGAGCCGGGCAGGGACGTGAGGACAGTTGGCCGCACGTTTCCCAAGGGGTACGGGGGACCTCCTGCCTCCGTGGCCCTTGGGGGGCTGGGCGGGCCGCCCGCTCTTGGGCTCACCCCAGACAGACCGGGTCAGACCAGCCACCGCGGAGGCCGCTGCCCTGGGTGGCCGGGGGATCGGCGGGGCGGGGGGAGGGGGAGAGCCCTTCCCCAGGGAGACGCACCCTCTGCTCCGACCTCAGCCGACCTCCCCGGAGGGGGAGGGCACCCAGGCGCTCTGCCCATCACCTCTCTGGCCTGAGGGCCCCCACGAGTGCAGCCAGAATGCCCCTCCTATGGGGTGGGGGGGCCCCCCGGGCTCCTCAGCGGGGGCCGTGGCCCCCCAGAAGGAGGGGGTACGACACGTGGGGCGGGCCCCCAGGCGGCCTGGAGCCCCGCCTGCTGTCCTCTGCGGGTGGGGGTGCCCTGCGGGCCGGCCGCCTGGCCTCGCGCCAGCAGCCCGCCTCAGTCAGACAGCGCGGCCTCGGGCAGAGCGGGGGGAGGCTGGGAGGAGTCAGCAGCCTGAGGGAGGCTGGAGCCACCTCCTCAGCCGCCCCTTTGCACTGCCGGAGGGTCCCCGAGGGGTTCCTGCGGAGCCGGTGCGGGCTGCACGCCGTTGGCCGTCCGGCCGGCCGTCGGGCAGCGGGCCAGAGGAGGAGGGCACGTCGGCGGGCAGGGGTGAGTGAGCCAGCTTGTGGGCTGAGGCCGGCCCGCCGCAACCTCCCCACTTGGGGACCCTCCTGCTGGGAGAGGGCCGGGCGGGTGGGGCGCTGCAGCCAGCGGAGGAGGCAGTCCCACCACCCGCGGGTGTGTCCGGACGCCCTGAGGCACGGGCGGGCTGCGGTGACCGGTGCCGTGGGGCTGGAGGACAGGCAGGGAAGGGCGGAGCCGTGCAGCTCCCCTCGCGTGGCCTGCGTGTGCCTGTGGTTCTGCGGGGGGTGTGCGGGGGTCTGGACCAGGACGGGCGGCCCCACAGGCCCCCTCGGCCCAGCTGCTCTCCCCTCTGTGTGACCCGGGGAGCGGTCAAGTGCCCCCATGACCTTTTCACGACCCCATGGCCTTTTCACGACCCTTCAGGATCTATGGAACCTCAGGCCCAGCAGGCCCTGAGGGTGTGCCCCCAGGGGCGCCCACCAAGCCCCGCCCCTCCCGCCCTGATTCTCACCCTCGGGCGACCTGCGCAGGCTCAGCTCGCTTGCTGAACGCCAGTGACGAGTGATGATTGAGTGACTGAATGATGGTGAATGACAAGTGGTGAGTGAATCGGGAGCGGTGCGGGACTCAGCCCACAGCAGGCTGCAGGTGCCCGAGGGGGAGAGGTGGCAGCTGCCAGAGCCGGGCGGCCCAGCCTCCCCTGGGCCACTTCCCTCCAGGCCCCAGGTGGACCTAGCACAGTGACCGTAGCTGGTGGCTGCTGCTCACAGCCCTGCAGCCCTCTGGACCCCCAAGGGTTCGGAGGAAAGGCCCGAGGACCCCCCAGACCTGTGCCTGGCCCCCACCCACTGGCCGGTCACAGGGTCTCTCCCAGGCCCAGCAGGTGCGAAGCAGGACCGGGCTCTGGGCCCTCGGCAGGACGGCGGGTGTGGGGTGCCAGCCGAGCGTGGGGGCCTGGCGGTGGCGGCGGCATCGAGGCTGCGCCCCGGCCCGTCCTCAGCGGACGCACTGTCGTGGCCGCGAGGCTGCCCGGCCGTGAGCGACCTGACCTGGTCTGAAGCCGGAAGCCTGCCCAGGGCGGCCCCCACCCCACTGGGAGGGAGCCAGCAGCGTGGTGGGCTGCGGGGGTGGGGGGGCAGAGGCCCCTCCCACAGGCAGACGTCTCTGCGCCCGCGGTCACTGGCGTCCGCAGGGCGCCCACTGGGAGGCGCGACCCTGCTCGGCCCTCAGCTCCGTCGCCGGCTGGACCCTTCCTGTGGCCGGGGCCGCCGCCCGGGCAACGGGCAGGTGACTGGGTGCCCCGCGGGGTGTGTGTGGGCACCCTGAGGCCCTGCCGCGTGCCCACGCGGACAAGTCGGGGCCGGGGGGTGCGGGGCTCCCTGCCACCGGCAAGATCAAGTGCAGCCGAGCCTGGGAAACACGGGAAAACACGGTGCGAACCCGCGGCCATGGACGCACACGTGGGTCTCGGCTCACGCCGTGCGTGGGACTTCCCCCACCCCGCCCCGAGGCTTTCCCGGCGAGACGCTCTCTCGCGGCTCCGGCTCCGGCTGCAGCTCCGGAGCACGGTGTCCAGGGCGCACGCGCCGAGGGTGTCCGTCCGTCAGCCCCACGTGATCAGTGAGGCTTCCAGGCGCCCGGAGGCTCCTGGCCGTCCCTTTGGGGGGACCAGAGTCACGCGTGGGTTTTCGGCCGTGTGGGGCCGGTGCCTCTAACCCCGCGTCGTCCAAGGGTCGGCGGCACAGAAGCCAAGGCCGTCTGAAGAGACCCACGTGGAGGGAGGAGGCCGGGCGTGGGGGGTGGGGCAGCGAGGAGCCCATGGAGTGACCCCACCGCCTGGGTCTGGGGTCCCGCCTGGGGGACAGGGGTGAGCCCAGGCCCCTCCTCAGGGGCCTCCACCCCCCATTCCGGCCGCAGTCCCCCCTCTGCAGCGGGGGGTGGGCTCGAGCGCTGCCCCACAGTCTGTGCGGGGAGACAGGCCCCGGCCAGGGCCTGGGGGGATGCTGGAGAGGCAGAGGCTCTGCCCAAGAAGCAGGGCCCCCCCTGGCGTCCACAGGAGGCTCAGTGTGCAGGGACCGGACGGGGAGGACGCCCAGGGAGGACTCGGGGGCCGGGGAGGGGCGTTCGGGACGGGAGGAGGGCCGCCCGGGTGGGAGGCCTCTGAGGAGCGGGGCCTGAGCGGGCGGGCGGCTGAGGCAGCTGCAGGAAGGGGTCCCACCGGCCAGGGTGAGTGCCCCGTAGCTGGCGTGTGAGGTGTCAGGCGGTGTCAACACCCAGCCTGGCTCTCACTTCCCTTCCTGGAAATTTCCCACGCGGTGCTGGGCTGGGCAGAGGCGGGGAGCTGTCAACCCCACTCTGCTGTCATCGGCCGCCTGCCTTACGGAGGGGCACAGCCGGCAGCTCAGCCCAGAAAACCCGCTGTGGGCAGGTCAGTGCCGGCTGTGGGGTCGGGGGTCCCAGAGCCAGGCAGGGCTGCGCTGGGGGCTTGGAACCTGGGGGCGGGGGGTATCTGAAGGGGGCCCTCGGAGCCGGGGTCAGTCAGAATGTGGGCTGCAGTTCAGAGGAACTTGGGGTGTCTCCCAGGGCCCGGGTTCCCATCTCATTGTGAAATCCACGTTGTGGGCTGTGGCCACATTTAAAAAACTGGAATGGAAATATCTCAGTTCTGTGTTCTCGCCTCGGTGAGTTGTTTTATGAAAGCTTGTTACTTGTCCTGTACATTTAACCAGGCAGCACTGGTCATTAACAGTCCGTAAACTTTAGGGGTACAAGAGTGTCGGTCGGCCCCCCATGCCCTGGGCGTCCAGGGTCCTCCTGTCGCCGTGCATCTGACCCTGGCCCTCCTCGCCCCCACCCCGCCGCCTCTGGCGGCTGCCACCCCACCGCCTGCGTCTGCGAGCTTGTTTCTCTTCCTCTGCAGTGAGTTTCTTTCTCTTCCGCGTCCCACCCCCCCGTGAGCGACACCACGCGGTGTCTGTCCTGTTCTGTCTGACGGTGTCCCTGAGCACGCGGGGCATGCTCTGCCCCCGGCGCTGCCGTCTCGAGCGGCAGCATCTCGCCCTCGCTGTGGCCCAGCAGGGTCCCCTGCGCGTGCGCCCACCCGCCGCCTCTGCCCCCGCCCGCGTCTGTTGCCGGACGCCGGTGGCTTCCACACCTTGGCCGCGGTGAACGACACTGTGCACGCATGTGGGGCTCCCATGTCGTGACGAGAACGCGTTTTGTTTTTCTTTTTTTTTTTTTAAGATTTTATGTATTTATTTTTAGAGAGGGAAGGGAGGGAGAGAGAGAGAGAGAGAAGCATCCATGTGCAGTTGCTGGGGGCCGTGGCCTGCAACCCAGGCATGTGCCCTGACTGGGAATCGAACCTGGGACACTTTGGTTTGCAGCCCGCGCTCCATCCACTGAGCTACGCCAGCCAGGGCTGAGAACGCGTTTTCTTGTTTTTCGGGTCAATTCTCAGACGAGGAGTCGCTGGATTGATTCCGTGCTCTCTTGCTCCCTCGTGACCACACCCCAGCAGTGGGCGCCGGGGGGCCCCCCTCCCCCGCACCCCCCCCCCCCCGCCTGCAGGCTCTGTACAATCCCTGTTCCGCTCGTGCGTGCCAGTGCTGGACCCCGGGGTGTCTCTCGGGGGGGCCCCGAGCTCCGGAGGCCTCGGTGGTGCCCGGGCGCTGCCCCCTGCCCCGAGTCCCGCTCAGCGGTCTGCGGTGTCCCCAGGGGCCAGCAGGGCCGGCGGACCGAGGGCAGCTGGGAGGCTGCCGGGCCCCCCAGCGCACACACAGGTCTCCCTGCAGGGGACACACCGATGTCTCCGCGCAGGCCCAAGGGTGGCTTCTGCTTCCTGTGCGGGGAGCAGATAAGGGGGCCTCCACGCCCCGCCCCACAGCAGCCCTCCCCCCCACCCCGGCCGGAAAGGAAGGGCCCTGACAGCCGAGCGCCCGCTCCTCCGGCGACCCCAGCGACCCCCGCGCGACCCCCGACCCTGCACAGTGTCTGCTGGAGGGGACGGTGCACACGCCGGGCGGGAGGCCGGCCGGCAGCCCGGTCCTGGACGCACACCGCCACGTGGGGGCTGGGCTGAGGCAGGGGTGGGCGGGGGCCGTCTGGGCAGGGCCGAGGCCTCGACTGCCCCGGCTTCTCCCGGGACACACCCCCGGGGACAGAGGGGAGGCCCCCGGGCAGCAGCCCCGGCAGCTTCGAAGGGTTCTGGGGTGTCACAGAGCTGGCAGGCAGGTCACGGGGTGTCTGGGTGGGAGGCGGCTGGGAAGGCAGCGCCGGCAGGAAGTGGGGAGGGCAGCAGTGGGCTCCAGCAGGCTCCAGGCTCGAAATCGGAGGGACGCAGCGGTGGGTAACGGCAGGGTGTCGGGCACAGAGCCAGCAGCGCCCCTCGGCTGCGGGAGAGTGAGCTGGAGGCCTGGGGTGGAGGGCCTTCCTCCCGGGAAAGGGTTCGTGAAACTGTAATTGCTAGCAAGTGTGCCATTTTAAAATTCAAAAGAACTGGGATGGCTTATTTGCCGGAATCTTCCCGTTCTTGGCCGAAACTGTGCCCCCGCCTGTCTGTGCTCTGTGTCGGCAGGCCCCGGGGGGCCACAGCCGGAGGCGCCGATGAGCCGGGTGACTCAGCAGACGCCGGCTCCCGGTGTTTCCTCCCTCCGGTGCGTGGGGGTGGGCTGCAGGGGGCTGGCAGGGGCGCAGGCCCAGCCCAGCCTGGCCCTGAGCTGCCCTGGGGGACCGACCCCCTTCCCTTCCCCGCCTGAAGGGTAGGGAGCCCCCAGAGGGCCTGTCCTCAAGGGGGAGGGAGGCCACGGCCCCCAGGCCCCTCCGGCCCGAGGAGCCCAGGTAGGGGCTGGGAGGAGGCGTGAGGGGGCACCGAGGCCGGCACAGCTCAGGGTGAATCCGGAGTCCATCTCGGCGTGGGGTGCAGTCGCAGGAAGGCCAGACCCCCGGCCCCGTGCCCCCCCCCCCGGCAGGCTGGTCCGGGCCCCCCGGGGCTGGGGCACGTGCAGGGGACGAGAGTCCAGCGTGGACGGTGGAGGGGAGTCAGGGCGGGGCTTCTGGTGACGAGGATGGCGGGGCAGAGGCAGCCCGGTGCCGCCCTGAGACCGGCCTGAGCCTGGAGGGGCCGGGCCCCCCCAGCTGCTCGAACCACAGGGAGCTCGGGGCTCCCTGCCCCACGGGGGCCGGGGGTGGTTCTCAGCGCCCAGGACAGCGTGGGCGGGAGTCCTGGGGGTTTCTGGGGGGCTGACCTGCGCCACAGACCCTGTCGCCCCGGGCCTCCGCTGCCAGGTGGCGGGGGGGGGGGGGGGTGGATGGGATGGCGCTGCTGGGTCCAGGCGTGGGTCAGAGGTGGGCGCCTCCGGCAGCCGGCCCGGGGAGCGGTGGAAGGGCTTCATCCCCCCTCTGCCCTGGAGGCACCGCCTCGGGCTCCCTGTCCTGAGCTGGCTGGTGGGACTCGAGGTGGACAGTGAATTCCCACCTTCCTCTCTGCCCAGCAGCAGGCCGGGCCCGGGACCGCGGGGCTCCCGAGAGGACGAGGGTCTGGCTCCAGGCCTGGGCTGGCCCACCGTGCCACCCTGCCTGTCCCCGGGGCAGGCGCCTGGCCTCAGTGCCTGGGAGTTCCTCGAAAGGGTGAGTTTTGGGTGCCTGGGTGGCGGTGGGGGTTCACCTCCCGAATCCTTGGCCAGAGGTGGGAGGGGCTTTGCCAGCCCCTGGGCTCCGCCTCCTGCCCGCCCCCTGAGCTCCGCCCACTCCCTGCAGCCCCAGGACCATGAACAGCAGCTCTTGCCCCGACGCCTGGCTGCCGCCGGCCGAGTACGTCCAGTACGCCTACCTGGTCCTGCTGCTGGTGCTGGGCCTGCTGCTGAACGCCCTGGCGCTCTGGGTGCTGTGCTGCCGCCTGCGCCGCTGGACGGAGACCCGCGTCTACATGGTCAACCTGGCCTCGGCCGACCTCTGCCTGCTCTGCACCTTGCCCTTCATGGTCTACTCGCTGACGGACCGCTCGAGCACGGGGGACACGGTGCTGTGCCAGGTCTCCCAGAGCGTCTACCTGGTCAACAGGTACATGAGCATCAGCCTGATCACCGCCATCGCCGTGGACCGCTACGTGGCCGTGCGGCACCCCCTGTACGCCCGCAGGCTGCGCTCCCCGCGGCAGGCGGGGGCCGTGTGCGCGGCCCTGTGGGCGCTGGTGGCCGGCTCCCTGGGGCTCCGCTGGGCCCTGAAGGACCGGGAGGGCGGCTTCTGCTTCGGGAACCCCGCCCGGCAGCACCCCAAGACCGTGGTCTTCTCCCTGCTGGGCTTCTACCTGCCGCTGGCCGTGCTGCTGCCCTGCTCCCTGCAGGTGGTGGCCGCCCTGGGCCGCAGGCCGGCCTCCGGGGCGGGCCAGGCGGAGGCCTCCCGCAGGGCCGCCCGCATGGTCTGGGCCAACCTGGCCGTGTTCGTGGTCTGCTTCCTGCCCTTGCACGTGGTGCTGACGTGGCGCCTGGCCACGGGCCTGAGCACCTGTGCCATCGACTCCGCCCTCCTCGTCACCAGCAAGGTCTCGGACGCCAACTGCTGCCTGGACGCGGTCTGCTACTACTACATGGCCAAGGAGTTCCAGGAGGCGTCCGCCCTGGCCGGAGGCCCCGGCGTCAAGGCCCAGAGGAGCCAGGGCTCTCTGTGTGTGACGGTGGCCTAGGGGACGAGCGTGGGCCGGGGGAGGTGGGGGGCCCGTGGCGCGGAGCCCCCGGGCTCGCTGTGGCTGCGGGCCGGTCCTGAAGGCCTGCTGTGTGGCGGGGCCCCGGGCACAGAGCCCGGGACGGTGGCCGCCCCGCCCCCGGGGCGGAGGACTGACAGGACCGAGGGCAGGGGGACGGAGGCCTGGCAGGACCCCCCGACAGGAGCCTGCGGCGGGGCTGCACCCCTGCTGAGCCCAGGGCCCGGGGCACCGCGGCCCCGGGGGCGGGAACCTGCCCGGTGCTGCCGTCCACCGGGGCTGGAATAAAGCTGTTCCTCCGGGCTGGCCAGGACCGAGCTGTTTGTGCCGCCCCGCCCGCACGGTGGGAGGTGGGGGAGTGGGGCTGTCTCTCCTGGGGGCCCTCCTTTGCCCGCCAGCCCGCTTCCCACCCGCCCGGCTCCCTGGCCCCTGAGGTCCGGCGGCTGCCGGGTTTCTCCCGCCGGCGCAGGCCGGGACCCTGCACAGATGCGGTGGGTGGGGGAGGGGGGCCGTGAGGAGGGGCCGGGGCCTGTCCGGGGACACGCACCCATGCTCTGTTCAGGAAGCGGGGAGCTGGGTGCCAGCCGGGCAGGTTTGCACTGCCGCCGCCCCACCCTGGCCTCCCCGGCGGGGCGGGGCGTCCAGACTCAGGCTGACACGGCCAGAGTGCTGCAGCGGCTGCTGTGGCTGCTGGTCCGGGGGGGCCTGGGTTCAAAGTCCAGCGCTGCCCCTCCCACCCGCGTGTCCTGGCCCCTGGCAGCCCACCCCCCCCGTTCTCCTGCTGCCGCGTCCTGGCACGGCCAGCCCCCCCACCCCAGCCAGTCTCCCCACGTGTCTGCCCTCCACCTGAGCCCTCCAAGCCTGCCTGCTGTCACCACAGCCCCTGGCCTCTGCCACCTCCGCCCGCCAGGGTGTTGCTTTCCAAGGCGCCGAGGGGTCCACAGAACGGCCCCCACCCTGGGCTGGTGCACCCACGGCACTTACGGGCTGTCTAGCCCCGTCCTCGGCCAGGTTTGGGGGCCAGGAAAACGGGCAGAGCTGGGCCTGGGGCTTGGCTCCAGAGCCCCGCCCCCCGCCTCCCCAGTGCTGTGAGACGGGGTGGGGGGGCCCGGGCACCCGTGGGGGTCAGCACCAGAGAAGGACCGTGGGCTGCAGGGCCAGCTACGGGCACATGGCGGCCGCCTCCTGGGCCCCGTGCGCAGCAGGACTCGGCGGCCCCTCTGAGCTCAGGGGCACAGCTGCCGTGCCGTCCGCCCCCGAAGGACCCGCCTGCCTCCTGCGGATGCCCAGGGCCCCCCTCCCTGGCCCCGGGGCGCTGCTCCTCCCTGATCTGTGGCTGGGACTGGGGCGCACACGCTCCCTCTCCCCCCTGCCCTGTGGGGCTCCCAGCACAGAGGAGGCGGCTGGATTTCCACAGAGTCGGGCCCAGGACGCCACTTCGCACGGCCACCGCCGCCCTGGGGAGGGCGTGGGGGCGGCGGGCTGCTGTGGGCTGCGCAGCTCCGACCCCGCGGGGACAGCCAGGGGAGGCGTGGGTGGTCGGCTCCGAGTGAGGCGACTCCCTGGAGGCGGTGGCCACCTGCCAGCCTCAAGGCGCGGACGGGTCTGGGCAGCAGCCAGGCCTGCACGCAGGCCGGGGTGGACCCAGAGAGCACTGCCCGGAGCCAGGCCGGTTCTGATCGGGGGCTGGGCTTCGTGCAGAACGCGAGCGGCCGGCGATGCTGGCGCAGAGGCCGAGGTGCCGCTGGGTGGGGCCCTGTCATGCTGCCCTGTCCCTAGCACTCTGTGCCGTCCGTCTGGCCCACGCTCTGTAGGTCTTCCGGGCCGTTTGCCGTGAGAAGCCTCTCCCTGTCCGTGCCGGAGTCCAGCCGGCCGCGGGTGGTCCGCGGACGAGGCAGCCCACGTCGGGGGGCCCCACTGTCCGCCCTCAGGCTCTCGGCAGAGTCCCTCCCGAGCGCACGAGGGCCGCCTCCTGCGGGACGGCCCCCGCGTGGGGCTCAGGGGAACTGCGGGCGTTCACAGTGAGGTTCAGCCTGGGCCCTCGAGCTTGGCTGGGACGGGGCCCGGAGCCCAGGGCTCCGGCTGTAGGAGAACGGTTGTGCAGAAACTCACGGGGCGGGGTGGGGGGCGGTGAGCCGGCCGGGCTGCGTGGGCTCAGAGCACGGGGCCCACGGGCAGAAGGCCGGCCCTGGGGGCTCAGGAAGGAGGGCAGGAAGGGGGTGCGTGCCCAGGGCAGGAAGTGGGGGACAGGGCGGGGGCGGGGGGGGGGGGATGCACCCTCGCTGGGCCGGGCCCGTCATCTCAGGGTTTTTCCCCGGAGGCCGCGGGGGAGGCCTCGGTGGAGGACGAGACCAGACGTCATCGCCCCGGGGGTGACCTCCCAGGGCCGTGGTCCCCGCCGAGGGCTCGACGCGCCGGGGTCCTGAGTCACCACAGCTGGTCCCACCGTCAGCCCGGCCGCCGCTCCACCTGGCGCCCGGGGCTGACACTCGGCTGGACTGCGGTGTCACCGCTGGTCTGGCCGAGGCCCCGTCTCTGTGGTCAGAGCCTCGCTGTCCTGTGAGGGTTTGCGGGGGCCCCCCTGCTCCTGCTCTCCGGGGGCCGGGCCGCAGTCCTAGCGGCTGGGAAGGGCAGGGAAGGGCAGGGAAGGTCGCCCCGGGGGTGGGGGCTGAGCCAGAAGAAGCTGTTTTCCCAGCGTTGCCCACTGCTGGGAGCCTGGGCCTTTCCGCTGTGGTGCCCTCCGTACCTGGCCCCTGGCCCCCGCTCTGCTCCAGCCTGTGTCGAGGGCCCCTCCTGCCCAGGGACCCCACCTCAGGGCAGCCCCGCCTCCTTGGGAGGGCGCCTTGGGGTGCAGAGCCCACAGCGGAAACCCCTGCCTACTTCCCCAAAGCGCCTGTCAGCATGAAAGCGCAGCGAGTCTGACCACACGCGGAGGGGGGTGCCGGCCTCCCCAGCTCCTGCAGAATCTAGGCTAGACGGCACCCAGTCCCCAGGGAGCAAGGGGGTGCTCCAGCCCCTGTTCCCCGGGACAGGGCTGACCGGGAAGAGACACCCCCGCACCCACCTCGTGCAGGAGGAGCGCCCTGCCTGGCCCTCGGAGCTTTGCCACCTCAGTGCCCGCCGCCCCCCCCGCAGCACCAGCTCCAGGCCTGTGCAGACGCCCCTCACGGTGCCCAGGCACCTGCGAGGCACAGGAGGAAGTGCTCCTGCTCCTCGCCCTGCCCTTCTCCCGGCCCCCCCAGGGGGTGTCCCCTGAGCAGAGGGGCTGAGTCCCCGGCCGCCCTCGGGCCCCTTCCTCCTGCAGGTGACCTGGCCGTGTTCTCCCTGCCACCCTCCGCCAGCCAGCCCCTCGGGCTCCAGCCCCAGCTGTGTCCTCGCTCAGGCCCACGTCCCCCGGGGCTGCTGCGTGGGGGAGGCCAGGGCAAGGCCATCTCCTGCTTGGCCGGAATATGCCCCACCCGCATGGGGGGCTCAGAGCCCTTTTGAGAGGGGGGTTTGCACACAGGGACTTCCGGAGCGTTCTCCGGACAGCCCACCAGAAAGGGGGTGAATGAAGCAGCAAGGGCAGACAGGCTGCTGCTGTGGCCCTGGGCGCCGTGAGCTGGGTGGCCTGAGCTGACCACGTGGGGCCAGCCGTTGGGTGCATGGCCAAGGAGAGCCGCTTGCTGAAGGCAGGTCCTGTGCCATGGCCCTGGCTGGCCATGTGCCCTTCTCTCTCTAAGGGGGTCCCTGGGCAGCACCCCACAGCGTCCCCTACACCTTCCCATCTTGGCAGAGCGGGCTCCCGGACCCCCGGGAGGCAGCCAAGGGTCTCCGGCTCTCCCGGGTGTGGCTGGCTTGCTGCCGGCCCTGAACCGCGGGGCTTCCTGCGCGGGGTTCCCCGGCAGGTGTCAACCACAGATGTCATGGAGCAGGGCCGCCGCCCACCAAGGCGGTCCTGGGTGCGAGGCGGGGACGCCCGCGCTCCATCCGGCCCTGAGCTCCCGGCTGCTGCAGCGAGTGGCCAAGAAGGGCGGGTGATAGGTGTCACTCACCGCAGGCAGGGGTGGCTGGAGCATGCGTGAACGCAGGTGCCACGGGATGGGCGGCCCCGCCCGCTGGAGGAGACTGTGGAGGTGGTGACCGGCCGAGTGGCCTGGCTGAGCACAGAGGGGCCCCAGCGCGCGCCCTCCAGGCCCTGGCTGACCCCGGTCGGTGAGTCCACCCTGGGCCGACCCTGTGCCCCTGGAAGGCCCCCGCCCCGCCTGCCGGCCCCCAGAGAGGCTCCCAGGAGCAGGGGGTGGGGCTGGCCCCCGGGCGCCCTCCCTAGTCCCGGGCCGGGGCCAGGCCTGAGTGTGGCCACTGCTCCCGAGCCCCAAGCCGGCGCTGGTCGGGGTGGAGGCCCTGAGCTCTGGAGGAGAGGGCATGGGCCAGCTCTGCCTCCCACAGGACCAGCCCCCAGGGCTCAGGGGGCAGGGTGACCTTGCAGAGGCCCCGGCCAGCAGAGGTCCCAGCCTGAGTGGAAGCCTCTGGTCAAGAGGCCTGGAGAGCAGCCCCCACAGAGGCCCCTGCCCGCCAGGACGCCGCTGGGCTGGGCGGGGTGGGGCAGGTGGCTGGTCCTCAGTGTGGGGGGGCCTCGGTGGAGACCCTGGGTCAGAGGAGGGGGCACCCTGGTCCAGGTTTGTGGGAGCCCCGGGCCTGGCACAGGGATGGGGGAGAGGGGGAGAAAGCTGGGGAGTGGGCCCGGGAGCGGGCAGGACGGAGAGTGGCTGCAGCGTCTCCCTCCCCGCCCCCAGGAGCGGCTCCCGAGCCGGCCGGCCGGCGCCCCACCGCCCCGGCCCGGCCCTCAGGCTGCCAGGCATGGCACCCACGGCCGACGCCCCGGACGGCAGCAGCGCGAACAGCTGCAGCACGGACAGGGGCGCCTGGTCGCAGGCGGCCACCAGCGCCTCCATCTGCCTCATCCTGGCGCTGGGCCTGCTGCTGAACGCCCTGGCGCTCTGGGTGTTCTGCTGCCGCCTGCGCCGCTGGACGGAGGCCCGTGTCTACATGGTCAACCTGGCCGCGGCCGACTGCCTGCTGCTGCTGAGCCTGCCGGGGGTCCTGCACACGCTGGGCCAGCCGCCGGGGGCCCGGGAGGGCGCCCTGTGCAGGGTCCTGCAGGGCTTCTACTACGTCAACACCTACATGAGCATGTGGCTGCTCGCCGCCATTGCTGCCGACCGCTACGCCGCCCTGCGGTTCCCGCTGCGGGCCCGGGCCTGGCGCAGCCCCCGGCAGGCCGCCCTCGCCTGCGCGGCCCTCTGGGTGCTGGTGGTCGGGGCCGTGGCGCTGCCCGTGGCCTGGCTGGGCCCCGGGGAGAGCTTCTGCTTTGGGAGGGGCCGCACGCGGGGCCCCAGGGCCCTGGTCCTCTCCCTGCTGCTCTTCGTCCTCCCGCTGGGCGTCCTGAGCTTCTGCTCCGGCCAGGTGCTCCGGCACCTCCTCCGCGAGTGGGCGCGGGCGCAGCCCCAGGCCGCCGCCCCCATCCTCAAGGCCCTCTGCGTGGTGACCGCCAACCTGGCCACCTTCCTGCTCTGCTTCGTCCCGCTGCACGTGGCCTTGCTGGCCAAGCTTGTGACCCAGTGGACGGGCGCGGCCTGCCCCACCGTCCAGCGGGTGGCGGCCTTCGTGCAGGTGGCCTCCCGCATCGCCAACGCCAACTGCTGCCTGGACGCCGTGTGCTACTACTTCGTGGCCGCGGAGTTCCAGGAGGAGGTGGGGGCTGTGCTCGCCAGGCCCTGGCCTTTTGCGGGGAGGGTGGCGGGTGCTGCTGCGTGTGGCCCCCCTGACCTGGGCGCCCAGGAGAGGGCCGTGGGAGGGGTTCCCCCGGAGCTGCCCTCTCCCCACGGCCACCGCGTCTGCGAGAAGCAGCCGCCCCCGGCGCAGCGGGACGAGGCCCCGCCTCCGGCCGTGGGTCCTGGGCCGGCTTCCCCTCCACGGGCGGGGCCCGACCCCAATGTTGAGGGGCTGTGACCACGTGGGTCGTTCTCCTCCACGGTCGGCCTCTCCTTTGTCCCCCCTCAAGCTCGACAGCACAGAGTGACCCCTGTTTACTCCGGGGGACCCCCCAGCGCCGGACGTCCTGGGGAGGGTGTCACCGAAAAACGAGCCCCCGCCTCGCCCGTCACCCGCGTCCCGACCCGACACCGACGCTCAGGGCCTCCGACGCCTGCTCAGCCCCGGGCCGGCGGGGCGCCCCCTCCCCCCAGGCTGGGCCCCGTTTAAGGAGACACGGCCACCAAACGAGTTTAAAGAAATTCTTTTTTTTTTTCTCATCAAGGAAAAAAAGACTTGTGTATTTTTTTAGAGGTGGAGAAGGGAGGGAGGAATGGAGGGAGAGAAGCATCCATGTGCGGCTGCCTCTCGCGCGCCCCCTGCTGGGGGCCTGGCCCACAACCCAGGCCTGTGCCCTGACTGGGGATGGAACTGGCGACCTTTCAGTCTGCAGGCCGGTGCTCCATCCACTGAGCCACACCAGCCAGGGCAAGAAACTCTTTACAAAAAGGTTTAGCCTGGATTCTTGAAGAGCATAAAGAGGGCTCCTTCCTCACCTTCGCCGGCCCAGCTCCAGCCAGGTGCCCAGCGACCCCCACGCACAACCCCTCGTCCCCCCGCCTCCCCCGCCGGCCTGGCGCTCCCGCGTCTCAGGTGAAGGGCCGTGAGGGCTGAGTGAGAGGAAGCCCTGGGGACCCCGCCTGTCCCCACGACATCACGGATCTAAGGGTGCACCTGCCCCCGCCCCCCGGGCCGGAATCAAACTACGGGACCAGCGTGAACACCTCCTCCGAGAAGCCCGAGGGGCTTGTGGGGGGCGCCTGGAGACCCCAGCCTGGGCCATGGCGGCAGAAGTGGGTGCTCTGGGGACCTCGGGTGACCAGGTGGCAGGAGGGAGGGCCAGCCCAGGCCCCACCCCCTTCCTCCCACTGCCCGCCTCTCCCTTTTCCCTGCTGCCCTGCCCCACCTGGGCCCGTGACCCCACCGCAGTACTCCTGCAGGGCAGTCGGGGCCCCTCAGCCTGTCCAGCTGCACGAGAGGCTGTTTGTTTGGGCAAAGTGGGGGCAGACAGGTCTCGGTCAGGGCGGTGCCCCCGGCCAGACCGCTTTCCCGCAGGGCCACCAGCCTCCACCTGGGCAAAGCCCAGGAGCCCGGGCACGCAGGCCGGCCCGCGGGGCCTGGTGGTCAGAGCCGCTGTGCAGGTGCGGGTCCCTGTGGCCGCCGGGCCCGCCGACGAGGGCAGCCGCGCATCCCCACCCCTCGCGAGCACTGCGCAGGGCCAGGCCGCGGGCCGCGCAGAGCGGCCGTGGGGGGCCGAGGCCGACGAGGCCCCACGGAGGCCAAGAAGGGCAGCCGTCCTGTCTCTGACCTGGGTGCGGAGTCCCTGGGGGCCCCGGGCGTGGCCACAGCCCCCGCCCCCGCTCTCCTCGTGCGGCTGCCCTGGCTCCCCCCACACACACAGAAGCTGGCGTGACGGCGCTCCCCCCCTCCCCCCCGGTCCCGGGAGAGGATGCTCCTCACCCCGGGGAAGAGGCGGGAGCCCTGAGCTGCCACCCTGGCCTGTCTGACCCGGCGCCGGGAGGTGGGGAAGCAGCCCGGCTCCGGGGGGGTGGCTGTGCCCGGGGGCCCCACAGCCGCAAGCCCAGGGCTGGCTCCAGGAAGACAGGCGGGGCCGCGGGCCCAGGGAGAGCCGGACCCCTGGGAGCAGCGTGGGCTCCGTCCGCCGGGCCTCAGTGCCCCGCCCGCTCCCTCCCCCGGCAGCGGCCCCTGCAGGCACCTTCCGGGCCCATCAGTTCCTTGGGGAATCCGGTGCCAGAGGCCCGGTCCTCCCAGCCTGGGGGCGGTGTTGGGGGCGACACTGAGTGACTGAGGGTCAGAACAGGCCCGTGGGGCGAGGGGCCCTCTGCCCACTGGTGCCCCAGGCCCCGGCGCCCTGGCGGGGCAGGTCGCTGTCCTCGGTGCTGGGCGTCTTGCTCGAGGCTGGGCAGACCGGCCAGCGGGGCGGAGCCTGGGGCGGGGGCGGGGCCAGGCCCCGAGGCCCCACCTGCTCCATGCCCCTGGGCTGCAGGCCCCACCGTGGGCCCCCTCCTTTCCTTGGTGGGTGGGTGTGGGAGGGTCAGACGTCACGCACCCCCTCCACTGGTGCGCTCAGGGGGGCTGGGGTCCCCGGTCCCACCCTTTCCTCTCCCCAGAGAGGAATTTCGGTCCTGAAAAAGGGGGTGTGCCCAGCCTCGCGGCAAAGAGCCGGGGAGATACCCCACACAGCTGCCCTCCCCACGCAGCTGCTGCCAGCCCAGCTGTGATTGAACCGCTAGGTAGTTTACAAAGGGAAAGTGAATTTCCCACATCGGCTTCAGAAAAGTAGCCGGCTCGATAGAGACCCAGCAGAAGTGCAGGCAGGCAGGGCAGGGGTGGGTCCCTGAGGGGGGCCAGCCGGCGGCACCCGCAGCTGCCCTCCGGGGCAAGGGGGCCGCCAGTCCCGGGAGAGCAAGGGTCTGGCGTGACCTTCCGCCCTGACTGCCAGCGCTGGGACCGTCTCAGGCCTCTCCTGTGGCTGCCGCAGCGCACGGCCAGGTCACAAACGGGCGTTTCCTTCTTCCAGAGCCGGGGCTGGGGGTCGGGCACTGGAGCCACGGGGGAAGGGCGCAGCACGGCCAGACTCGGGGGGCTGCCTCCTGGGTGGCAGCTGCCCTCCAGCTGCCCCCTCCACGGCCCCTCCACAGGGGCACCGCTCCCGCTGGTGGGGGCTCAGGCTCCACAGTGGCCACCCGCTGAGCCTGCCTGCCGTGGCCTCGCGGGGCCGGCCGAGCGACCCCAGTGGTCCAGGGTTAGTCCTGGAGCCGGGCTCTGAGTGCGAATCAGACGACCTGCTTCCCGTCCAGCGCCAGACTCAGGGCCGAGGGGCAGGCATGGGGGCTGGGGGTGTGGCAGCGGCCAGGGGGCCGGTCCCCCGGAGCCGCCGACACGCTCCCATGGTGTGTCACGAAGTGAAGGGTGGCTCGTGCCAATGGCGTTTCCGCCTGGTGCAGCCCGCGTTGAGCGGCCGACGTGTCAGGCTCACAAGTGGAGTTAGTGCGGCTCTCGTCTGCCCGGGAGCCCCTCTCCTGCGGCCCGGAGAGCCGGCGGCCCCCAAACACCGCCGTCCGGCCCTGTCCGGGGCGGGGAAGGGGCCACCCCCGAGCCCCCTCCAGGCGAGCTCCGTGGTCACAGGCTTTGCCCGAGAATTTCAGTCTCGGCGCTTTCCCCGCAGGGCGCTGTGGGGCCGCGGAGTGGAGGGAAGGCTGAGAGAAAACGAGAACCTTCGCAGCAGAGAGAAGCGTCTCGCGGTGGCAGCCCCGCCGGATGGCAGGGCACTCGGGGCGGCTCCCTGACGCAGGAGCCCCTGTGCCGTGACCCCCAGACCATTCCTGGGTCCCTCTGGGAGCGGGAGGTGGGTGGGGGGGGGCCCAGGGCTAAAGGGGCGGCGGTGAGGGCTGGGTGGGAGCGGGGCTGTGGGCTGGGGTCGGCGTGAGTGCCGCTGCTGCACCCCTGGCGCCCGAGTGGGTTGTTGTGGGGACATTGTGGGGGGCTGCTCCCCGCCCAACGCTGTGGACGGGAGGTGTGCCCACCGCCCTTGGGCAGCACAGAGGGGATGGGCTGAGCGGGGCCGACGGTGGTGAGCCCACGGAGGTGGTGAGCTGGGAAGCACGGAGCCTCCGCCGGGCTCCGGGGACGCCCGGGGGACCCGCCTGCAGGCGGCACGTCAGCCCCGGCACCGGGCCCTGCGGCTCAGGTGGACGCCCTCAGGGCAAACGCTGGTGAGTGCCACCCGGCAGGGAGCCCGACCGGGTGGGGGGCACCACACCCGAAAATGCCCGTGGGAGACCGCTGGCTGGCCAGCTCCGGGCGCCACAGGACCCGAGCGACCCCGAAACCTGACACAGCCCCTGCGTCCTCCGAGACGCCAGGGGTGCGCCCGGGCGGCCAGGCCCCCGGTGTCCGGGCGAAGGTGGAGAACGTGCGGGCTCGCCCAGGAGCAGGCCCCCGGGGGCGGGGCGGGGCAGGCGCCTCTGCCCCCAGCAAGACTGCCGGTCCCTTCGGCGAGCTTTGATTTCGAGGAGCATCTCCGTGGGACGGGACCCCCACGGGGTCCGTCCGTCCAGGGTGCGGTGGAGGCGGGGACGGCGTCGGGATTCTCGGGAAGACACCACTTTCGGACGTGAGTTTCAGTACATCTGCAGCGGATGGTCCTCGCGGGGAAATAAACGCTTTTTAAGGTTCAACACCTTTCACCAACCAGCTCTGCGTAAGTCTAGGTTTAACTTGAGGCGCAAACCCACACAGTGTCGACCTAACCTTCCCTCGGACGCTCCTCGCACCCCGTGGGTGGGCGTCGCCCGTGGGGGGAGCACCCGGCCTGTCTGCGCGCTGTGTCGCCGTGTCTTTGGTCACGTGGGAAGTCAACTTTTTGGCCGTCTTCCACGTCAGCCGTGGTTTGTCGTAGCGTTACACAAAGAGGGGGTCCTTCCCCGTCCCGTGCAGTGCCCCCCCGGGTGCCGAGTTTTCCAGCCCGGGTGGCATTCTCCCGGCAGTGCCGGAGTCTCCCAGGACAGAGACGCCAGCCCTCCCACACCTCTGACGGCGGCTGCGACGCCACAGGCCCGGTTTCTCTGCTGATTCACCGGCCAAGCTCACGGCCCGAGCGCCTGGGGTTCCTGCCCTGGACGCAGCTGAGCGGAGAGCGAGGGGACTTGGCGAGGGGACAGACAGGCCAGCTGTCCTCCCGCCTGGGGCCCTGGGCCGCCCGGTGGGGAGACCCCCTTCCTCCCAGGGCCACAGCCTCTGCTGTGTGTGCCGCCGCCCCACCCCCGCCGTTCCACGCGCAGCCTCCCTGGGGCAGGGGCAGCAGGGGGAGCTGGTTGCCGCCCCCCCAGAGGCACCCCGTGCGCTCCGGCCTCTCTCTGGGGCCTCTGCCCGACCCCGTCAGGCCCTAACACAGGGCGTCCCCTGCCCCCCCGCTCCCAGCGGCCACCCAGGACGGGGGAGGCTGGGGCCCAGGCAGAGTGGCTCTCTGCTCTGCCAGGCTGTCGGGGTGGGGGGGCCCTGGAAGTGGGTGGGGGTCTCTTTCCCTCCTCCATCACCTCCTGGAAGCCCAGGTGGGTGACCAGGACCTGCCCTTCTCGGCTGGAAGAGAGGGTGGGGCCTGGGGCTGGGGGTTCCCAGGACCCCGAGCTGAGGGGCCTTTGTCCCCTGGCCTGCAGGGAGGAGGTGGCTGTGGTTCCTCTGGCCTGGGGGGAAGCTGGGGTCCTCCCGGAGGGCCCTGGGGTGGGCAGGGTTCTGCCCGGCTCTGAGGGCATGCCGTCGGCCACCCTGAGGCTCAGGGTGCTGGCAGGTGGGGGCCTGTGTCTGGCCCACTCCCCTGCTGCCTTGGGCCCCAGCCACCACCCATGATGTCCCCCGCAGGGTCCAGGGTGTTGGGGCCGTTCTGCCCCCCTGGCCCGGGCTGGGCTGCCGGGTGCCCGGGGCAGCCAGGGGCCCGCTGGGGAGAGCTCTGCCTCGGGTCCTGCCCTGGCTCTGACTCCCAGGAGAGGCCGGGTGAACGGTGCGGGAAGACGAAAGTGAGGAAGACCAGCCTCCACCCTGAGCTGCCCCGTCGGGCAGCTGTGAGGACGGTTTATTGACCGGCGGTCTCCGGGGAGGAAGTCGGGGCGGGGGTGCCCCTCTGCCCAGGAGGCCCCCGGGTCCAGCCGGCGGCCTGGCCCTCGGTGGAGCAGACTCGGAGCCCGTCCACTCAGCCGGAGCCCAGCGCCGGCCTCCCCAGCCCCCGCCGCCCAGGCTCCCGGCCTCTGCCCGCCTCGGCGGGCGTCCGGGCGTCTTCGGGCCCCGTGGCGGGCTTCCCTCTGGGGGTCCGATACTTGTTCCTCTGCCGGCACAGCAGGTTCCTCTGGAGAAGGCGGGGAAGGTGGCCGCGGTGGAGCAGGACTGCCAGCGCCATCCCTGCAGGAGACCGGGCGTCAGACCGCCGGCCCCGGGGCTCATTGCGACTGAAGACCCCCCGGGCACACACACAGCGGGCTGTCCCTGGGATGGGGAGCCTGCACACCTGGCCCAGGGGAGCCTGCACACCTGGCCCAGGGGAGCCTGCACACCTGAGTGGGGGAAGCCTGCACACCTGGCCCAGGGGAGCCTGCACACCTGGCTTAGGGGAACCTGCACACCTGGCCCAGGGGAGCCTGCACACCTGGCTTAGGGGAGCCTGCACACCTGGGTGGGGGAACCTGCACACCTGGCCCAGGGGAGCCTGCACACCTGGGTGGGGAACCTGCACACCTGGCCCAGGGGAGCCCGCACACCTGGCCCAGAGGAGCCTGCACACCTGGCCCAGAGGAGCCTGCACACCTGGGTGGGGAAGCCTGTGCACCTGGGTGGGGGAGCCTGCACACCTGGGTGGGGAACCTGCACACCTGGCCCAGAGGAGCCTGCACACCTGGGTGGGGGAAGCCTGCACACCTGGGTGGGGACCCTTTCCTGGACCCTGCTCTTCCCAGCCATGCCCTCCCTCCAGGGTGCCCACCCCTTGGAGATGGGGATAAGCCACCAGGAGCTCCCATGGACCACGAGCTGGGGACCTGGGCCTCGCATTCTCTGCACCGGAGTCCAGAGCCACTGGGGAGCCTGTCCGGCCGCTTTCTACCCAGGCCTGCCTCCCGAGGGCGGCAGAGGCCGGGAGCGGGGTGCGCGGGTTGGGAGGGCTGGCGGGCTGGCTGCGAGGACCCCCGCAGGGGACACAGGGAGCCCTGCAGCAGGCAGCGTCCCCTCCTGCCCGCCCAGCACCCTCAGAAGGTCTGCCTCTCCCCACACAGCCCCCCCCCCACCCCGGGCCCAGACCCTCTGGGACGAAGTCCAGACTCAGACGGGCCACTCGCAGCCCCTCCCCCAGGGTGGGAAGGGAGGGGTCGCCAGCCCCACTGAGGAGCAGCCGCAGGGCCTGGATCCATCGCAGGGCGGAGCCCTCAGGCCCGGTGAGTGGCAGGGTCCTGGGAGCACTGCCCGGCCCCCACCCCTCCCCTCGCCCCGGAAGCAGCCCCCGGATGGGCCCCACCCACCAGCTGTCTGTCCCCCCCACCCTGCCCGGACCATGCGCTCCTGCGGACTGCGGTGTCCCCCGTGGGTCCTCACCTGTCAGAGGGCCCAGCCAGTACACCTGGGCATACTCCAGCAAGGTGTGCCCCTCGCAGTGGAAGGTGACCGAGGCAGCCAGGGCGGGGTTGAAGAAGGCGGACGTGAGGGGCCCCGCTGTGGGGGAAGCGCAGACCAGCCTGGGTGAGGCCCTGCCCGGGGCTCAGCCCCTCCTCCACCCCCTGCGGAGGGGGCGGGTCGGGGCAGGGAGGCCCCTTGGCCAAGGCAGAGGCTGCGAGGTCGGGGAGCAGCTGGGCCAGTCTCCCCAGGGACGTCCAGTGCCCATGCTGACCTCCCGTCCCTGGGGGGGCTCACCTCCCCTACCCCTTTTCCAACACCTCCCGCCTCGAGGGCAGTGGCCTTTGACAGGCAGACAGAGACAGAGACAGAGACAGGGAGACAGAGACGGCCAGGCCACACCGGGCTCGCGCAGCCAGTGCTGGAGGGCGAAGAGAGGTCCAGACCAGCGGCCGGAGCCCCAGGCCTGCAGACTCCCCCAGGGAGCAGGGCCCCCGCCCCCCCGCCAGCAGGTCTGGGCCTTGGGCAGGGCAGGCGTCTGCGCAGACTCGGAGCCCAGAGCCCCCTGGCAGGCGCGGGCCAGGCTTGGGCGGGGGCGCCGGCTCTGCGGGAGGCGCCCTGGGTGTCGCCCCCGGGCAGGGGTCCAGGCGGCCTGGTCACAGAGCCCCCGACCCCTCCCCCAATCCTCCCCCCCCACCCCGCTTCAGGCTCTCGGCTCAGCTGAGCCTCGGTTTCCCCGCCAGTGCACGGGCCCTAGTGACGGCGCACGGTGTGTGCCTGCCCCGGGAGGGGCCGGCGACACAGATGGTGAGCCCTGGGTGCTGGCTCTGCCCTCACTGGATGCCCCACGTGGAGACGGGCGTGCTGGGCCTCTGCCCCTTCCTGCCGAGTCCCCCCTGCCTGGAGCCCGGCCGACCACAGGCTGACCGACCTGAGGTCCACGGTCCGGCTGCCCCCCACGCCCAGCACAGGAGGCGCCCGGCCGTCTTCCCAGGAGGCCCTGCTGTCCTACCCGACCCGGACAGTGGGGCCCAGCCCGGCTCTGACCCCACCCGGGGGCAGCTGGCCTGTGGGGCCCGTGGTCACTGGCTCTCTGCTTCCCCTCGAAGGTGGGGACGGTGCTGCTGCCCCGTGGGGCAGCCCTCGCTCGTGGGGGACCCCAGGACGGGCGGCCTCGCTGGAGAACCAAGCGCAGAACCGGGTGCTGGCTGAGGCCCAGGGCAGCCCCCATGGGGCCGGAGGGACCCCGTGAGAACGTGGTCTGGAGGCCCGCCCGGGAGGGGTGCGTGACCCCAGAGAGGGGTTGGGGTTCCGCGGCCGCCTCAGAGCGGGGTCAGGGTTCGTGCAGACGGGGGAGGGGAAGACGGGCGAGGAAGACACGTCAGCACCTGGTGGCCTCGGAGGGGGCGACTGAGCTCGCGGGCCCTCGCAGACACAGCCGGGGCCGGGCCCTGAGGAATCGGCACTGCCCCCTGCCCCCCAGCCGGGGTGTGGACCTTCTGGGATGAGAGTGAAGACGTCGGACTGCGGAGAGGCCCAGCGGCAAGGACGGCCCTGACGGGGCCTTGGTGCCCCCCACACCCCCGCCCGCTGTGTCCAGCCCAGCTGGTCATCACCCGCCCCGGCATCCCGGGACGTGGCCACCCCCTTGGCCCGCAGCCCCGGGGCGGAGGTCCGGGGCCCCTGGTGGGGACCCCGGGGCGCACCTGTGTAGGCCATGACGGTGACCAGCAGGGCCACGGCCGGCACCCTGCAGAGGGGCGGGCTGTTGCGCAGGCGGAGGAGGCTCAGGTGGAAGAAGAAGGCGCAGGCGCCCTCCGCCAGCGCGCCGAGGGGCACGGTCGTGCGCAGGGCCGAGCTGCAGTGCGCGTCCATGAGGTTCTGCAGGACGTGCAGGTCGCTGAGCTCCCAGGCCCAGTACCGCCGGGTCAGGACGCGGGCCGCCTGCACGCCCAGCGCCTGGGCCGCCAGCTTCAGCAGCGTGCTGGGCAGCGCGGCCTCGGCCAGGAGCAGCTCCTGCAGGGCCACCGCCGGGTTGGCCGACGCCCCGTCGAAGGTGGCGCCGTGTGCCAGGAAGAGCAGGAACAGCAGGGTCAGCAGCAGGTCGGGCCCGAAGCCCCCGGCCCAGGGGCCCAGCTCCGCCAGCACCCGCAACTCCAGGCAGCAGGCCCCCAGCTGGGCCGCGCCAGCCGCCTCCCGGGCAAAGCTGGCGTAGACGCCCGCGGGCAGCAGGGCCTTGGACGCCCGCCGGGCCGCCTGGCAGAGGGCGACGGTGGCCACGAAGAAGGAGAGGGACACGTTCAGACCGGCCATCGGCCCAGGGGCTCCGCTGGGAGCCGGGCTGAGCGGGGCACCTGAGCTGACGTGTCAGGGGCCAGCCCACCCCAGGCGCAAGGTGGGGGAGCTGTGGCCACGTCCGCCTGGTCTGGAGCCCTGGGAACGCCACAGCTGCGCCCTCACCTCCAGCCCCCTCCCCCCCCCCCACCTCCAGCCGGCGCGGGAGCAGAGCGGGACCGCCCACAGCTTCTCCCCCAGGGCGAGAGACGCGCCAGGACGCCCGCCCCGCCCCGCCAGCCCAGGGCTGAGACGGGCCACACACAGCTCTTCAAAGCCTCCATCAAGCCCTGTGACTCACGCCCAGGCTCCTGGCTCCACAGCCTGGCAGCTCCCTGCACCTGGGCCGGGTCCCCACCTGGGCGAGGGTCCCTGGCTCTGCCTGCACCGGGGCCACATGCCACCAGTCCCCTCCGTGGAGGCAGCCATCTGTGGGGCCAGGCCCCCCGCACAAGGGAACCAGGGGGGCCACCAGGGCTGGTCTGGGCACCCCCGACTCAGAACGAGCGGAAGGGCCCACCTCCCACACGGGGTAGCTGGTCTGCGTGGCGACCGGCGCAGACAAATGCAGGTGCTTCTTCAGGAAAGCCGAGTGGCCCCGCAGGGGAGCTCAGGGGCTCCGACCCCAGAACACGACGCACTTGGCACTTGGGGGAGAGGCCGGTCGGCCCCTTGGCAAGTGGGGGTCACCCGTGAACGCCACCCACAGCCCACTCACAACACAGAACGACGTCCTCTTTTCCTTCTCGTGCCCCGCTGCCTGTCACGTTGCCAGCACGGTGCTGACTGGGACGGGCGAGGGGACACCGGCCTTGTTCTCCCCCGAGGGGGCCCTCCAGGGTCTGCTCGTGGAGTATGCCGTCCGCCGTGGGACTTCTGTAGCTTTCTTTGCCAAGTCCAGGGAGTTCCCTCGATTCCTGACTGGTCCCTGCCCCCGAGGGCCTTGCTGGGGAGGGAGCTCCGGGTGCAGGCCGTGGCCATTTCTCTTCTGTCCCCACAGTTGGTCTTTGCACCCCAGCGTGAAAACTCGGTGGGGCTCTTGGTGGTGAAACCCATCACCGTGTGAGGGTCCCCCAGCCGCGTGCCCCCACGGCCAGCCACGGCTCCAGCCACATCTGCCCCGGGAAAGCCGGTCTCAGCGGTGACTCTGTGCTTGTTACTCCAGGTTTGGGGTGCGGCCTGCCCTGCGCCCTGGATGTTCCGGCAGGTGCCAGAAAACTCAGTGACTGTCCGTGTGTTCGGCCTTTTCTCAGGGTGAGGATAGGACTCGAGTCGGCGGCCAGACTCTTCCCGGGCCCTGCGGAGGGGGGGGGTCCCCGAATGCTTGCACCTCTTTGGGAAGACCAGCACCCACCAGAGGGCGCTCACGTCTCTTCTCCGCCGCCCCCCTCCCTGCGGGTTTTGTGTTTGAAATGGGGCTGTTCTCTGTCTGGTTCCCGAGTCCCCGGGGACTGTTCACCTGCGCTGGACGCAGTCACGGGCCATCAGCGAGCCTTCCCGTTCCCCCGCAGCACCTGTCGGACGTTGGACCTTTCTGCCGACGGCGTCTGTTTTTTCTCTTTTCTTTCACGGATCGGGGCTTGGTTTCCTGTGAAGTCTTTCTCTGCCCTTGGGTCCACAAAGTCCTTCTCCCAGAAGTTTTATAGCCTTTGAGTCACATTTACACCTATTGTAGATGAGCTACTGTGAGTTCATCTTGAATACGACCTCAGGTTTATTTTTTTCATATAGATGCTCCAAACTTTTAAAAAACATTGTCCTTTTTTCCTTAAATTGCTTTTTAAAAAAAAACATTCATTTTAGAAGTTATCAGAAGTGATAGTGACCTATGTTTTCGGCCCATGTACAGCCCTGGGAATTTAGAACGTGTGAAGATAGATTTATGGCACCAGCACCGTTATGAGGGGACAAAAGCGTGCTGTCACCCAGAAGGCCCCCAGGCCACGCCCCTGACCACGATCCCTGGGGACCACTAGCATGTTCTACACCAACCCGTCTTTTTGAGGTTGTCATGTAAGAGGGGGCCTGCACAGGGTCCCCTTCAGAGATGGAGTCCCCGCTAGCACCCACACTCAGCAGTGCACGGAGGGATGGACCGGACGGCCCAGCCACTCACCTGCTGAAGGACGTGGGCCGTAGCCAGGTGCGGAGGGAGGTGGGCAGGCGCTCCCACGATCAGCACCCTCTGTAGCTCCCACCCCGAGGCTCTCCACCCCCCACGTCACCCCAGGGGAGGCGGGTGCTGTCCCTGGCAGCGCTGACCACCTGGCCCGCGACCATTCTCGCCTCCACTGACAGACGCCGCAGGACACACAGAAGAGGCCGGCAGTCGGGTGCTGCGTGGGGAGTGAGTTTATTTCTCAGGTGGACACACACAGCACGGGGCCTAGAGCCTAGCGCTCATTCGGTTCAGGACGTCAGGGGGCTGGGGCCACTACATCGGGATGGATGGAGGTCACGGAGCAGGGGCCGGGGAGTGCCACACAACCACGCGGGGGCGAGCCACAGGGGACCTCGGGGGACAGGCAGCCACGGGGCAGACAGGCCCGGGAAGAAGCCGCAGCCTGCTGTGGGGAGGAGCAGCGGCGTGGCCGCCCCGCTCACGGCTCCCGAGCCCTGCACCAGCCCCGCCCCCAGGGCCGGGGCCCTGGGTGTGTGCCTGTGTGTGCGAGCGCGTGTGGCGGTGAGAGGAACATTGCCGTCTTGTGAGTGATTCCTCAGAGCGGGAGGCCTTGCCACTCACGAGCACCCCAGCAGCCCCTGGAAGCGGACAGGCCACTGGAGCCCACGCTCCACTCTCTGGGGACTCTCCCTAGGCTGACCCACCCCCACCCGGGACAGAGAGCCCGCTGCGGACGAGGATGACCATCCCGCAAACAGAACAAGGTTGTGGCCGGGGCAGCGTCCAGCATCCAAACAAGACCCTCCGAGAGAGGAGGCTTTCCGGACCCTTCTCCCTTTCCCCACTCAGCAGAAGCAGCGGCCTCAGCCCAGCCTGACTCTGCTCTCTGCACCCCACGAGGGGAGGACCCTCAGGGGCTCCCGATCAGCCTCACTTCGCAGATGTGGAAACTGAGTCCCAGTTCACTGAACGCTTGTCCCAGCTGACGTGACACGTGGGGAGTTCCAGGCATGGAGGCCAGGCTTCCCGATCCTACACGGGTTTCCGTCCAGCGGCTCTGGGTGTGCGGGCTCCCCCCAGGCCCTCCCAGGGCAGCAGGCCGGTGAGGGGACACCAGGCGGGCCACCCCTGGCTCTGAGTCACGGCCAAGGTGGCTCCAGGCCAAAACCAAACCCTCCCAGGGGCCTCCATGGCTGTGGAGGCTCCTGACCTTGGGGTGACTCCCAGGAACCCTCGAGGGGCCCCTGCCCTGGGCCCCGCTGGTACAGCAGGTGCTCTGCAGGCTGGCTGGCCTCAGGCACCTGTGCGCGGGGCTGAGTCCTCAGGCTGGCTGACCTGAGGGGGCCGGGGCCGGGCTCTCGGGAACCTGGACGTCTTGGGACAATGCGCCACCTCTGTTCCCTGCCACAGGGCGGTCCTAAAAGCCAGAAGGAGTCCTCCGTCCAGCCCACCACCTCCTGCAACGCCTGTGGGGGGCAGCCCAGGCCTGTTTCTGGAAAATGCTTGGGTTCAGCTCAGGAAGTGACCCTCGCCTGGGATCTCCAAGGACAGCAGCTGAGCCTGCGCTCCCCCTGGCATCGTCCCGGGCCCTGGCGGACCGAGGGGCGTCTCCATGAGGAGATGAGCCCGGGGCCGGGGGCGGCAGGGAGCCGCGGGGGCCACCCTGCACCCCGCCCGAGCCCAGGTCTGGGAGGGCGCTGCCAGCCCCCAGCGGTGCACGCGGGCTGTCGGAGGCCGCCACCACAGACCGAGCCCCCTTCCCAAGGAAAACCCCAACCCTGTCACTCGGGCGGGAGCCAACACCTCACGTCCCCAGCAGAGAGACGGGTCTCCAGGCTCAAACTGTGAGAACGTCCCCAGGTCACGTCAGTGCCACCACGCAGGACAGTGTGGGACAAGGCAGGGCCTCAGAGCTGCTGGCTTCAGGCTGGGCTGGGGTCCTCCCAGCCAGGTGGGGGCAGGTGTCTGTGAGCTGTGCCCAGGTGGGTGGGCAGGGGGCTGGAAGGTGCCAAAAATGCCACGGACAGCGAGGCTGGGCGTGCACCTGGGGCCGGATGACACGGCCCTCGGCTGGCCACAGTGGGGACAGTTTTACAGTGTTGCTTTGTTTCGTTTTGTCAGCAGAAAGACGCCAGATGTGCCTTTGGTTGTGGGAGCAGGTCACGGAAGACCCTCCAGGCCCCGCTGGTTTCTCTGATGGGTTCTGGTTTCTCTGATGGGTTCCGCACCCAGGCAGGGCATGCGGTCTGACTCTGCGCTGGGCTGATGCCTCCGCTGGCCTGGGTGTCCCATAGGCACAGGGTCTGTCGAGGGGACCCAGGGGATCTGGGACAAGGCTGGAACAACCGGGGACAGAACCTCTGACCAGAAGGGAGAGCCCAGCATCACGTGCCCTCACTGGCCCGACCCGCGGTGTCCGACTGCCCCCCCTCCCCCGGGAGCTCTCTCCTCTGGGGGCACCGGGGGAGTCAGACCTTCTCCTCTGGGGCAGCCCTGCGCTCGCCCCGCTTCTCACAGCAGCTGGAGGGGCTGCGGCACAAGCCCCTCGCTGCCTGGACATCACCCCGGACAACTGCAGCGTCGCCGGGCCACAGGACTCCACCGTGGGACGTGGTCCCTTCTCCCAGGCCTCCCGGGGCAGCCCCCGCCGGCCTCCCGGTCTCCCACAGGTTCCCGCCGGCTGCCGTGCAGGTGTGACGTGGGCTGTGCCTCCCGCCAGAAGTGACACGCGCCCTTCTGTGCTGCGTGGACGTCGGGCAGCAGGGCCCGGACACAGGCACACCCCCAGGGTGAGGGCCGGGCCCCGAGGTGCCGGCCTCCCTGGGGTCTGCCGTGGCGGCTGCCCAGCCTGTCTGTCCCTACGAGGCTTGGGGGATGCGTGTGGGAACAAGCGGGAAGGGGTGCTCTGAGTCCTACAGGTTGTTAGAAATAAATACTTATAAATAGAACACAGTCTTAGAGTTAATTTCTGAGTGGACTGTCTCCGTGTCGCTAACTACTGTATATTAATTATAAGTCTGTCTATGCTTAAAAAAATATTAGAATGTCAGCGATGCCCCCTGACTGGGGCCCTCCGGCCCCCCCCCCCGTGTCTCCCAGCCCTTTCCCCCCCAGGGCACGTCTCAGAGAAGAAATGACAACCAACGAGGCTTCCGTGGAGACAGGACAGGTCCGTCAGGACAGGTCGTGTGGCGCAGGCCCCCCGGCCAGCGCAGCGTCCCTGGGAGGGGGGCGGGTTGGCCGGCCGGGGGAAGGGCTGGGGGTGAAGACAGACGGACGGTGAGGGGCAGGCTGGGCCCACTGGGTGTCGGGAGGGCGGGGTGTCTTCCGTTCAGACCCTCATCTGGGCAGCCCTCCTTCTGGAGAGCTTGGAGCTGTGAGAGGGTCAGGGGAGAGGCCGAGGTCAGAGGGTGTTGGGCAGAGGGGAAGCCGCAGCCGCCACCCCCCCCGCTTGGTGGGGGGGCCCTCTGGTTCCCTTATTCCCTGAGAGACGAGATCTCTGTCACTTGTCACTGTGACCCCCTAAGTGACAGGTGTGGGGGGCTGCCTAGTCCCTGCAGGAACAGTCCCGCCCAGCCACATGCACCGATGGCCTCGGGGTGCCCCCAGGCCTGCACCCTCCCTGTGCCCTGCGCAGGCGGGAACCCCGCGGGGGCCCGAGGCGGCGTACCGTATGGTCCCGGCCAGGAGGGGGTTGAAGGCGTACAGCCAGTCGTGCATGTCCTTGTCGCTGCTCGCCTGCAGCAGGATGCCGCGGTGCTCCGTGCAGACCGCGAAGGTGTGGGGCGTCTGCGGGCACCGTGCGGTGAGCAGGCGCCCCCTGGCCCCGCCCCCGCACTGGGGCAGCCCCTGCCCCGCCCCTCCCCCCACTCCCGCTGCCGCCGCCGCACCTTGAGCATGGCCTGCTGGTCCTCGCTGTACTCCACCTGGGCGGCGGACAGGTTGAGCACGAACCGCTCCACGGCGTCCTTGTCGCTGTTGTACATGTAGGCATAGGGCCGCCGCACCACCACGTAGCGCTTGGCCCAGCCGGCGGTGTGCGGCTCCAGGAAGTGCAGGTACCCCTTCTTGGAGACGATGGGGCTGCGGGATGGCACATCTGCTCGCTGGAGCCCTCCCGGCAGCCAGTGGGCCGTCCCCCCCCACCCCCCGCCACCCCTGACCCAGCGGGGCCACCACGGCACAGGTCAGAAGGGGGCCTCCGAGAGGAAGGGCTGTGCCCGAGGCACCAGGGCCGGCGGGACCCCCACCCGGGAGGCTGGAGACTACAGCCCCCAGCCTGTCCCTGAGCCCCAGTCCCCGGCGGTAAAATCTAGAAGCTTTAAAAACACCGAAGCTGCCCCGACCTGCCCCACAACCACGACCCACCCCTGAGGCATCTCGGGCCACCAGGGCCCTCGGACGGGGCACAGGGGCCGCACTGGCCGTCTGCAGACACAGTACAAGCGTCTTTCTGCAGGTTTCTGCTCTGCGTCCCTGGCCTGGGGCCTGGGGCCTGGGGCCCGGCTCTGACCTACGCGTCCTGCCAAGGTCAGGGGACGGGCTGGCCGGTGACGCCTCGGCAGAGCCCGTGCGGGACAGCCCCTGCGCACCTGACCCGGATCTCCTGGATGTCAGGCACCAGCAGGCGCTGGGGCTCCTTGTCCGCCTCCGGGGCCCGGGCGGGGGAGGGGGTCTTCTTGGAGTCCGCCTCCGGTGCTGGCTCTGGCTCCGGGCTGGCAGGTGGGGGGGACCTGGGCTGGGGGGTCCTGGGAGAGGGGAGAGCGGAGCTGCCGCACCCGTGCCGAGAGCCCCTTCACTGGGCCGGGGACCACTCCCTAGCAGAGCGCCGTCCTGTGGGCCCTCGAGCCACCTGCCTGCCGCACCCACCGCCACCGCCTGGCCCACCTTCCTGATGCCAGGACTGTGCTGGGCGCGGTGGGGCGGGTCCCAGCTGCAAGGGGTTCCGCACCCTTCTCCCGGGCGTCTTCTGCCCCTGCCCTGTCCCCCTCACAAAGGTGGCTGCAGTGGCTCGTCACCCCCAAAAATCCAGCTGAAGTTGCCCCGACGTCCTCAGGGGCCATCCGTGCAGAGGGAGCCACTGGGCCCTGGCACCCTGCTGCCCGAGCGACAGGACCCAGGGGCCAGGAGGCCTGTGACAGGGCTCGGTGCCATTTTCCAAGCTTTAAGCAGGAAACTGAGAAATGCGGGGGGTTTTAAACTCGGGTGCTCAGGCAGAGGCAGGCGGCGTTAGCAGTGTCACGGGGGCGGGTCTCTGCCCCGCCCCGCCCGGTGGCCCGAGTCCTTGTTTGCAGGGCCAGCTCCCTCCGGGTCGCCCGAAGTCCCTTCCCCGCCTGTCCTCACTATTTCACGGTCGCCGCCGTGAAAAGTTTCTCGTTTTGGGCTGCCCTGGCCCCTTCCTGCTCTCACTCGCGGCTGACGGAGTGTAGGCTCCGGCAGAAACGGGCCCAGAAAGAGGGTGAGGACGCCACGTTCGCACGGGCCAGCAGGGCGGGCCCCCGAGACCTGGGTGTCCGTCTCGAGTCGCCAGCCCCCGTGCCCCGGCACAGACACCGGCAGCGGTGGGCTCGAGGCACCGGCTGCTGCTCGGGAGCCGGGGCTCACTCACCTCAGGTCTGTGGCTCCGGCTCCGTATCGCCCTTCGACCAGGGAGGGGCAGGTAGAGGAGGGGGTGAGCGTGGCTGCCCCCAGAGGGGACACAGACGGGTCCCGCAGCAGGGTGACGGACATCTCAGAGAGCTGCGGGGGGGGGGGAGAGTCATTTGCGGGGGACACAGGGAGGGGACAGTCTCTGGATCCTCGGGGAGGGGACACCCGTGCAGTGGCTGCCTCCTGCCCCTCAGCTGGCACGTCAGGGTGCCGCCACCTTGACCACAGGCGCCCCCCGCCTGGTCCCCCCAGCCCCTCGCAGCCCCGCCAGGGACTCGTGGATGCAGGGACCCGAAGAGCAGCGAGGACCGTGCTGGGTGGGGGTGGGGGAGGCGTGGCCGAGCCCCGACCTCAGGGTGTGTGGCCCGAGGGCGGCAGGGACGCCGGCGTGGGGGCCGGGCCGTGAGCCGGGGCGCCCACCTTGCTCTCGCTGGCGCTGACGCAGACGTGGCTGTGCGTGTACTCTCTGTTGAACGTGTGTGTGAGGAGGCGCAGGCACTGTGGGGACAGCGAACGCCCGGTCAGGAGCCTCCCGGCACCCGGCCCGGCTGACAGCTGGGTCCCCAACAACATGGCAACTGGCCAAGAGGCCTGGCATTGCAGGTCACCGTGGCCGGCACCTCCAGGCCTCCAAGAAAATGGGGTGAGCTGGGGAAGCCTCTTTGGGGGCTCCCAACCACGAGAGGGGCTGGGATGGGGTGATGAACTCCCTGTCAGTTTAGGTATTCAAGAGAGGGCATGCCACTGCTTGGGAGGATGCCGTGAAGACCCCCCAGTTCCAGTGTGGGTGCAGTGGAGGCGGGGGGCAAGGGGACCCCATAGACAGATCCTCCTCCTCCCGGCGTCTCCCAACCCCGACAGGAGCCGACACAGACAAGGCCAGGTACCAGGGCCCTACCTTGACGGCCAGCTCCCGCTGCCTCTCGTCAGGGGTCTCCAGGGGCGAGGGTCGACCGTCGGCCGAGAGCGGGGAGGAGGCGCCAGAGGAACTGCGGGACTCTGAGTCCTCGCTGGAGGCGGGGGACAGCGTCTCGGGGACGGGCCGCTGGGTGGTCTCCAGCTTCTCCCGCAGCAGCAGGTAGTGCCTGGTCTTCTCCACCTGCACACGGAGCCGGGAGGCCTCACCTGCTGCGCTGGAGCAGCGGCGGGAGGGGGGCGGCGGGGGGGGAGGGGGCGGCCGCCAGCAGCTGGCTGAGCCCGGGAGCCCCAAGGCAACCCCTGGGGGAGCCGACTGACCCGAGGCCAGGCTGCCTCCAGGACGCAGCCCCCACCTGCACCGTGCGGCCAACACAGCACCCTCCCTCCGTCCTGGCCTTGCACCCAGCGTGTGCTGGCCAAGAGCAGGTGGGCGTGGGCACTCCAAAACCAGCTTCCCGGGGGGCCCGAGGGCAGGCACGCTGTCCGTGGCGGCTGGACACCAGTCCCCTGACCCAGGCCGCACAGGCGCTGGCCTGCCCCCTTGCCCTTCTGGCTGTTCCCTGCATTGAGCCCGCCTGGCCTGTGGGGGTGGCCAGTGCCCCACGCTCTGCCCGCCGCGGCCTGGGCCCCAGGGCCCTGGCACAGACTCACCTCCTGCAGGAGGCTCAGCTTCTCCAGCTCCCACTGGTGGTCCAGGATGAGGCTGTCACTGCGCGGCCTCCAGCCGGCCAGGTTCTCCTCGCCCCGCACGTAGGCCACGGACGTGTCCAGCACCCGCCGGCGGCGCCGCTGCATCCCTGCACAGGGGCACCCGAGGGGCCACGTCCCGACTTGTGACCACGCCCCCTGCCCCACCGCCCGCCCTTGGTGCTCCCCGGCCTGCAGGGCCACCCACGCTGGGCTCACCCACAGGAAGTCGTCTGGCACCACGTCCCGTGGGGATCACGGCTGTGACCTTCTGCCTGCCCGCCCTCCCTCTGCTGGGCCTCTCTCCTCACTGTCCCCAGCCCCTCAGAACCCCGGGGACCTCCCAGGGAAGGGGCCCCCAAGTGGCAGCTGAGCTGAGGTCGTCCAGAATGGCCTGAAGACCCCAGGTGAGCGCCTCAGAGTGCCACACCCCCGCCCCCACCGCCAGCGGCCGCAGGGAGCAGGGGGACGCCTACCTGGGCTGCCTGCGTCGGCCACGTGGCACAGGCTGAGCTCGTACACGCCCGTCACTCGGTTGCTGTGGGAGCAGCGGGCACCGTCACCAGGCCCAGCCGTCCACGCGGGGCGGCCGGGTGTCAGGTCCCCACGCTGCAGCCCTGCACGGACTGGTCCCACCCCCGACTCCCTTTCCTCCGGAACCACCACTCCCTCTGAGGGCAGCCCACCACCCCTCACGGAACCCCCTGGCGGCCAGCCCAAGGCCACTGAGTCCTGAGCCTACACTCCCTCCTCCCGCTGCGCCTGGAGTTGCCCGGACACGGGAGTCCACAGCCCAGAGCAGGAGGGAGTGTGGGGGCACGGCTGGTCCTGGCGTCTGGTGTCTGGCCCTCGGGCACCACCAGCCTCCGCCCAGAGCCCCTGCCCAGCCTGGGCCCCACGTTTACCCAGCCTCTCTCTCCCCGGACGGCAGATGCCCGTGGCCCCCAGGGAGGAAGGTCGGCTAGCAGGGGGAGCAGTCTGGCTTCCCAGCACCCCACCATCAGGGCGAGTGAGAAGGGCCCAGAGCAGGGGCCCAGCCAGGGCGGCCAAGCTGGCCTCTCACGCAGGCCGGTCCGTGCCCCAGCGCCCCCCCCAGGCAAGCCGGTCAGCCCTGGGGACCGGGACACCCGGCCCATCCCGCGGCTCACCTCTCAGAGGCCCGCAGGCTCCCGCTGCCGAACAGGTTGCGGATGGAGCGCGAGGCGGGCAGCTTGGCGTCGCGGGAGTAGAAGACCATGCAGAAGTCCTTGGTGACCACGGCGGGCTGGGCACAGTTCTCCATCTGCGGGGGCCGGGGCGGGGAGGGGGCTCAGGCACGCGGACCCCCTCGCCGGCCCCCACCACAGCCCAGGCCTTCCCGGCCCCGGCGTGGCCCCAGACGGGGGGGCGGGCAGGCTGAGAGTCTCTGCTCCCCACTGGAGCTGCCTGCGGACTGAGACGGCCGCCCTGCCCCACCCCCCCTCCCTGGGCCGCCGAGGGCCGCGTTTCTGTGCGGGGACGCCGAGGGTGCTGGACTCAGGCTTCTCCACCTCAGGCCTCGGCTGCCTCGGCGTGAAGTCGGGGACACGCCGCACGGGGCGTTTGTGAGAAGCACCCACGTACGTTCTTCGTTTTCTGGAAGCTCAGCCGTCACCGCTGACAAAGCTGAGGGCGCCAGCACCCGGCACGTGTCCGGGCAGAGCCCCATGCCACAGGTCAGGTAACCAGGCTCCTCGGGGAGGCTTTGCCCTCAACCCACCGCCAACCCCAATCTTCCAGGTTGGATTCTGGCTACTGCGCCTGCTGGAAACGGCCGTGCTCCCAGCCCGCTCCTGCGCCTCAGACCCTGGGGGTGGGAGGAGGCGTCTGTTTTCCCACTGCCTGGAACCCAGATGCAATGTCCGGTGGGGCTGCAGCCACCCCGCACTGCTGAGGATGAACCCACAGGGTGAAGTCGGCAGAGGGGGTGGGCTGAGCATGGCCTTCAGAGTGCAGGCCGTGACGAGGACTCGGGGAGGCAGCAGGGCTGCGTGGGCTTGTGCAGGGCTCACTCTGCCCTCCTGCCCCGGGCAAACACCTCGGGCGTGAGCTCTCGGGGGGGGGGGGGCGGTGGCGTCCAGGCAGAGCGGTCTTACCTCAATGTAAGCAGAGAGGGTCATGTAGATCTTCTCTCGGTACGGGGTGACGCGGTTCAGCAGCAGAGAGTTGTGCATGGAGCTGTCCCACGCGGCCTCAAACTGGTAAAAGGTCCTGGGGGCGGGGAGCAGAGCGGAGGTAAGAAAATGACGGGCAAGCCACTCTCAGGTGGGACGGGGACATGCAGAAGGACAGACGGACAGAGACGTGTGGGCAGCCCACCGGAAGCACCGCCCGGGCCACAGGTCTGGAGGCCCAGGGGGCGGGGTCCGGGAAGGGCCGGCCCTTCCTTACTCAGGACGGGGGGAGGGGCGGAGATGCCACCGCGAGGTGAGCCCAGCTGTCACCTCCGCCGTGGATGGGTGGGGGCATGCGGTAGCCCACGGCCCTCAGGCTGAGGGGCGGGGAGCGTGGAGAGGACAGAAGGAGGGAGAGAGGGCAGGAGGGGCCTGGGGGCAGGAAGGAGCCTCGTCTGAGGGGGGAGGCTCCACGGTCTCTCCTTGGACCCTACAGAGCCTGCCTGGGTCTGCACAGCCCTCCAGGGCCCATGTCCTCTGTCACCGACTCGCCTTCGGGGGGGACGGACCCTGGGGGGATGCTGGGAGTGGAAACCAGGCGGCTGACGCAGACCGCTCGCCCGCTGCCCACCGTGGCCAGGCTGTGCCCTCGGGTGGGGCAGGCAGGGCCTCTTCTGCTGCCATGGCCCGCCAGGAAGGGTGCTGAGCAGAGCCTGAACCAGGGGCCGGCAAACCCCCCGAGGCGGCGGCCACTCGGGCCACCGATGGCCGGGCCCCTGGGCTCTGCCTGCACGTCGTCAGGGGGAGACCGGCCTCCGTCCCCCCTGTGGCCGCCCCGTGGGCCCTGGGCAGCACTGCCAGCCCTTGCCTCGCCCTCTTTCCTCCCAGCATCCTCACAGAGACGCGGCTGAGGAGCACAGCAGCGCAGCAGCAGGGCCGGGGCACAGACCCCCCATGGCCCGGCCCGGCCCGGGAGTGCAGAGGGGGTCCGGGAGCCGGGCCGTGCGGAGCGGAGGCAGGGCTGTGGCCACCCGTCTCTCGGGGGCACAGCCCGGGGGCGTGGGGGAAGCAATGGCACGGGGTGGGGCCGCTGTCGGGCACATGTCACTGCAGACGGAGACCCGGAGGAAGGGGCGTGAGGACGGCAGGGTGACGGACAGACAGGGAAGAGCACAGGGAGCACAGGGAGATGTCGGAGGAGAGAGGAGCTGGAGGAGCGGGAGAGAGACGTGAGCTGTACCTAGTGTCACCTCCGAAGGAAACGCTAAAGGCGAGGCAGCAGGACACACGCACACACACAGAAGAGACCACGTGTCAGAGCTACGTCGTCACCCGCCCGGCACGGGCTCCCGGACACGGGCAGACACGCCACCGCAAGCCCCACCCACAGTGTCTGCGGGGAGGGCCTCGGTCCGTTCCCAGCAGGACTGGGCGGGCCCCTGGGGCTGTGACCGAGACCTGGAGGGGTGCTGTCCCCCCAGGGGTCTCCGAACACCTGGGCTCTGCGGGGCCAGGCCTGTGGTCAGAGCCGGAGGCCCGTGCAGCCCAGCCTGGCACAGACGTCCCCAGACCGCCCCGCTCCAAGTGCCACGTCCCAGCTGCCCCCACCCTGCCCCCGGCCCAGCAGTGGACACCCCTCCCCACCTCACAGAGACGCCCTGCAGGTTGGCCCGGGGCCCCGCAGCCCGTGTGACCATCACCACCATGGCCTCTCGTCCCTCCCGGGTGCTAGGAGAGGCCCAGCCCTGGAGGCCAGGATGGGTGGCCTGCTGGACCCTGGGCCTGCGGTTGGAGAGGCAGGCCTGCCTGTGCACACGGCCCCACAGAGGCCCCCAGCTGGGCTAGGGTGGGGCTTTGTCCTGGTCGGATGCTGGTGGCCTAGAATGTCTCGTAAACCCTGACTCTGGGGGGGTCTCCCATGTGGGGTGGGGTGGGGTGGTGTGGGGGGCCTTCCTGGGCCTTTCACTGCCCACCCCCCTGGCGCCAAGAAGGCCAATCAGACTGGTCCAACCTGGCACAGCCATAATGCTGCCCCCAGCCCCACGCCACCTCCTGCAGACCAGCCCTCGGCCCTCAGCCAGCCGCGGCTTCACGGAACCAGGGGCCAGACCTGGAGCCCAGGCCCCCGAGGCCTCTGCAGGGGGCGGGTCTCGCCCAGACCCCAAGTGAGAGCGGGTGGCAGCGGGTGTGCGCAGGACGGGGTGAGGGGCAGAGCGGCAACCATGCGGGACACCCCGGGCTTGCCGGGCACAGCATGGGGACCTCGGACGGGCACCCCTCAGTCACGAGGTGGGAACAAAGACCCAGAGCAGCCAGGAGGGTGCAGCTGGGAGGCCGGGAAGGCCACACCAGGACCCCCACAAATGGCACGGGTCATCTCGGCCTCCCTGGGCAGCAGGCCACACTGGGAAAGGGCCCCCCCCACACCACCCCTTGCTCTGTCCCCCTTGGCACCCAGCCCGTCGTCCCCCAGAGAGAGAGGCCAGGAGGATGTGCTGCCCAAATGCAGGGCCCCGGGGCCTGCTGCGCCCGCCACCACGTGGAGGCTGGTTAGACACTCGGAGTCCGGCTCCGTCCCAGACCCGCGGGACCCGCTCGCTCCCCACCTGCCAGGAACGGGGTCTCAGCAAGACCCCCACGTCCAGGCCCATCCTGGGGAGGCTGGGGCAGCGCCAGACTGGGCCACCAATCGGGGGAAATCAGACCCCACACTTGGTGGGATGGGGTGGGGGCACCAGGGGCCACCGGGCTCTCCCTCCACGCCACAGCGCTGGAGAGGGTCCCGGGGACACTTCTGCTCTGGGCAGGAGCGAGGGCCCCTGTGGGGGGCCGATGGAACGGGGCGGGGGGCTTGAACCCAGCGTGACGAAGTCCCCCCCCGTCCCCCTCCTGGGACCCGTCCAGGGGGCTCTGCCCGTGTGTAAGGGAGACAGACCCCTGGCACCCTAGTGCAGCCCCTCGGGAAAATGAAGCCGTCCGTATAAAAACGCGCTTCTGCTCAGAGGCGGTCAACGCCTCTCGAGTCAACAAGGGGTGTTTCTCACAAGGCACCGCCGGCACCACCAGGGCTCAGACTCACAGCCACTCCCGTGAGTCCCCGTGTCCCCGGACTGAGAGCTTCTGTGTGTCGTGCTGTGTGATCCCACTGCCTCAGGCAGGGGGTGTGCTAGCCCCACCGTGAGCAGCGAGGAGAACAGGGTTCTGGAAGGTTCTGCCACTTGTCCACACTCACACAGCCAGCCAAGGTCACAGCCCAGTGGCTGCAGCCCAGTCGGTGTGGCCCCTGGCCCCCGCTCCAGATGTCTGGAATGACACCCTCCACCACCGCTCCCACCGTCCACTTGTCCCCAGAACTGTCCAGCACAGTGACTCCTGCCCAGGACGGAGGCTGGAGCCTGACTCCGGGGGCCCTGACCTTCGGAGGACAGGGAGACGGCCTGGCAGGTGCAGTGCCTCAGCCTTCTGGGCCCCCTCCCGGACCGGCCAGCGGACCGCCTCCTCCAGCAAGCCCTCCCGGCTTCCTGGGAGAGGCAGGCCCCACTCCAGTCCCTGCAGGGCTGTGCCCCCTCCTCTGCAGCCACCACCTCTGCGGGGCTCTGCCTCACCAGGCTGGTGTCCCCGGGGAGGGCCTGTCGCAGCCGTTGTCACTGAACAGGTGCAGGTGTGCGCACGCCCTCGGGAACACCGCAGCAGGGACCCTTCACAGTAGCCATCTGGCCAGACCCGTCACAGCGGGGCCTGACGAGGACGCAGCCTCAGGCGGTCCTGCTGCGCCCACCTCCCCTCGAACATTTGCACCGGAGGCCGACCTGCCACGTGCTCTCTGGAGACGGCTGACCACAGAGCACCCTCCAGGACCACCGTGCAGAGCCTGGCCATACCCAAAGGGACTCAGAAGGCGATGGCCTTGACCCTCCACTTGGAACAGACTCGAGCCTCCCGGACACATTCTGGGCTGGTGGCTGCGGCTGTCTACCCCCAGGGGCCTCGACTGGGTTTGGCAGGGAGTCGAGGCCCCCAGCCCAGGAACCTGTGTCTCCAGGGCGTTTGGACCTGGGACCACCGGAGTGAGTCTGGAGCCTGACTGCTCTACCCACCCCTCCTTCTTAAAGCGGGTGAGGCTCACACCCGCAGGGGGAGAGGGGCAGAGGTGGAGGTCGGCAGGGTGGCTCCTGTCTGCCCCTCCCCCCTCCCTCTTTCCTCTGCCACCTTTCCAGGAGCCTGGCCGGCCAGCCTGCATGCGGGGCACCTGCTGCCCTCCGGCGGGGAGAGGTCAGGGCAGCACGGGGCGGGGGAGGTCGGGGCAGGGGGTGGGGGGGAGCCAGCCAGTGTCTATAGGAGGGCAGCCAACTACCAAAGCAGCAAAATCAAGAGTGGAGCCAGAGAGACTCAGCCAGGGAGGAGAAGAAGCAACGAAAAAATCAAGAAGGTGTTCCAAGGAAATGAACTGAAGGAGATGAGGCGGGAGGGAGAGATGCCCAGTGGAGAGGGGTCCAGAGAGCAGAGATGGAGTCTCAGGGCTGGGGCGGGGGTGGGGGGGTGCTGAAAGGAAACCGAGGGCACAAATGATACCTAGGCATGTCCGAATCAAGAAACTGCCTGCAAAACACAAACGGTCACAGGTTAGTGCGGCCCTGGGGCAGTGGGGGCGGGGCAGCGGCAGCGGCAGCAGCAGCAGAGGAGTGAGGGGCGGCCCACTCTGAGCCAGGGGGCTGCAAAGCACCGGGCCTCGAGCAAGCGGGGAGGCGAGGCTGTGGCGAAGCGTGCGGCCAGCCCGAGGCCTGAGCCAGGCCTGGGGTCGCTGAGCCTCAGCGTCTGAAGAGGGGGCAGGGCCTCCTGCTCGCCCTCAGGGCAGCGGGTCCATCGAGGGGCTCCGAGCACGTCAGCCAGGGTCAAGGAAGAGGGAAGGCCTGAGGAGGGGCCTGCTGGCCTGGCCAGCCACGCCTCACAGCGGCCCCTGCCCGGGGTCACCCACTGAGGAGGGTCCCCAGGCTCTTCCAGGCCAGGTGGGAGATGGGGCTGCCCCAGACGGGCCAAACCAAGCACGGGGCCTGCACCCCAATGGTCTGCACCTTCCTCTGTCCTGGGCCAGGGCCCTGACCTCAGGTGCTGATGGGGCTGATGGGCCCCGGGGCCGCCTCCTCCTACAGCCCCCATGGTGCAGGGCCAACACACATCAGTGATGGGTCCAGGGGCCTCCAGGCGCAGGGCGGCCCGAGGTCCAGTCAGGAGCTGCCGCCTCCTAAACCGAGGGCCGAGGCCCCCAGCAGCCAGAAGACCCACAAACAGCCCTCAGTGCAGGGCGGGAGGCCAGCAGGCAGCATGTCCACCCCTTCCCTTTGCCCCCCACTCGCTTCCTACCCGGCGGATCTAGGGGTTGCCAGCAGCCAGGGGAAAGCTGAGGTTGCCCCCCAGGCCCAAAGTGTCACTCCGCATGGCACACGGACCCCTCCCGGGGGCACATGCCCTCCCGGGAGTCCCTTGTCCAGGGCCCAGGCCAGGCGCCCACGTCCCTGCAGCGCCCCCGTGTGGATGGGCAATGAGGCTTTGCTGCCGGGTCCCTGGGTTCGTTCTCACAGTGACAGGCCCACCCCTGTGGGCCTCCCCTTTCTGCTACCCCAGGTGTAGCCCCAGCCTGCCTGTCATGGTGCCTTGTCCACGTGAGAACACCCCCCAAGACTCTGTCCCGTCTGTTCAGGACTGCAGGGTGAGTTCCTTCCGGAAGGTTCCAGGACAGGGCTGAAACCAAAGCCTCATCTGCCTCTGTTGGGGTCTCTGCCCCACACCCACCAAGCTGCCCTCCTGAGGGATGGGCCCCTCAAGCCCCCTCTCGGAATGTCTGGGCCCCAGAGTCAGAAGAACGGGAGGCGGCGCCCCCAGGACCCTCACCCTCACAGACACTGGCTCTCCGGGGATTCGGGCCTGGACCCTGCCCGCACACGCAGCCCCAGCCACGGGAGACACCCGAAGCTCCAGCGCCGAGGCAGGTGGAGCCCTTGGGAGCGGCCGGTCTGGGCCTGGAGCACCCTGCTCACCCCCCACAGCCCGGACGGCAGCCCCTCGGACACGGCTGAGCCCACCGACGTCCCCCCTCACCGGGCGTGCTCAGCTGTGGCAGTTGTGAGCCCCCAGCGCCCCCCCCTTGGCTCCAGCAGCTCCCCCTACATCCCGCCCCCGGCTGGTTGGTCCCCAGAGCCTCCAGTGCCTGTCACTGCCCCACATGCTGGGACTGCCCAGGCTACGAGGAGACTCTGGGGAGTTTGGAAAGGGCTAGCCCAGTGACGCGAGGAGTGACCTGGGGTGCCGGCCCAGGCTGCTGGCCGCCCACCCAGTGTGCCCCTGGTCCGACTCCGGGACCCTGGCCAGTTCCCCGCCAGAGGCCACAGCAGCACGGTTGGGAGACAGGGGACACTTGTCCGCCCACGGCCCGTGCTGCCCACCCACCCACCGGACTCCCAGACAGGACCCTGCTCACCCCCGCGACTGCCCCCAGCCCCTCTGCCAGGAGGCCGAAGAAGGAAAACGCGCAGACGGGCACCCAGGGACTCGAGGCCCAGCCCCCGCCCGCCCCCCTCCTGGCCCCTCAGGAGCCTCACAGGGGCCCAGACGCTTCAGGACCAGACGCCCCAGCCTGTGAGGCCGGGCCCAACATGTCTTTGTCAGCCAAAGGCTCTGCAGGCTGACATTGCCCCACACCCCGGGGTCCCCACCCAGACAGACCCGTCACCGGGGACTCAGGAGCAGTGCCCGCAGCCCAGGGCACTCACCGGTCGTCCTGGGGCGGGTGGATGTACCCGGACGAGAGGATGTTGAGGGACAGGATGTTGGGGTCGATCAGGGACTCGTCCGTTTCTGGCGTGTTCCGGATGCGACCTACAGCGAGGGCGATGGGCCCGGGTCACTTCCAGGAGGGCAGGGGGCGCTGCTGGGCCCCTGCTCACTGCCTCTGCCTGGGCCCAGCTTCTGAAGGAGGCCCATCAGGGAACCGACCCCCCACGGGCCCCAGAGCCTCCGGCCAACGGCCATACGGCGGCTGATGGGGGGCTGGGGTGGGGGCCGCAGCCGTGGGTCAGAGCACAGCCAGGCTCCGCTCTGCCGTCCGCCTCCCGCAGGCTAAGCTCTGAGTCCCCAACCCCGCCCCCTGCCGCCGGCACCCCATCCCCCACAGATTCCAATCGCTCAGCCCAAAACGCACTGGCCTCCTACCTGCTGGAAAAGAAAACGTTAGCAGGACGAGAGGGAGACAAGGCTCCCTCTTCTCGTTACATGGTAAGAAATAAAGGGAGAAAAGAAACACCGCCCACGTCATCACACGCCTCTGCGAGGGGGGGGGGTCCCCACAGAGCCCCTGAGCCGCCCCCTGCGCCGAGGGGGTGCTCGGTCGGCAGCAGGAGCCAGATCCATGGAGTCAGGGCCCTGCCTGGGGCCCCGCTTGTCACTTCGGCTCTGGCAGCCACAGGGACAGTGGCCCCTCTGCCTCTTCAGGACGGCCACGTCCCTGCCGCCCCCCGCAGAGCCCTCCACACGCCCCAGGGACGCAGCCACAGCCACGCCCAGGGCAGGGACAGGGTGGCGGCCTCCTGCTGATGGCACGCGGGAGTGGACAGTGTGTCCGTGCCCTTGAGTGGACACTGGGAAGAGCCACCCTTTACAGGAAGCAAAGGCAATGTCTCCAGGAGACCAAGTTCACAGCGTGACGTCACGGGAGCAGCCCTGCATGGACTGAAACACGCGCGGCAGCCCTGACCCCCGGCACTGCCGACGGCGACCTTCCGGAGAGAAGGGCCTGCGTGGGGGTGTGACCGCTGAGACGCGGTGACACTGGGACAGGAGCCCCGGTCTGGTCTGCCCGTCCTACAGGGAGAGGCCCCAGAAGGCGCATCTGTGAGCCTTGGAGCGCCTCGGAGCGCCCACCGACCCGCAGAAGCCACAAGAGGCTGGGGGGGGGACACAGCGTGGCCACCAGCCGACCCCCGGGTCTCGGACCGCTGCCTCCAGGGCTGAGAGAGGAGAAATCTCCGGTGTCTGAGCCACCCAGCACGACGCGGCTCTGCGATGGCGGCCCCCGCAAGCAGCCCCGTTTGGAATCAACCCTGCCGCCCGGGCTCTCTTTGGCAGGGTCAGAGGCCCAGAGAGACTGGGTGACGTGGCCCAGGTCACACAGCAGCCGAAGCAGAGCTGCGGGTAGAACTCAGCAGGGATTCGGTCCACGCTCTTCCCACCAACCTGGGCCCAGCGCCCACGGCCGACCCGCCCCCACTCACCCACGACCAGCTCGCGCACTTCCTTCCAGCGGATGTGGCTGCCCGTCTCGTGCAGCAGCGTCACGGTTATCCGTCGCTGGATGCCCTGCCGGGAGCCAGCAGAGGGGACGGGGTCAGGCGGTCAGGGGGCCTGGGGGCCGGCGGGGCGGGGGAGGGGCACGAGGCGGGCCGGGGCAGAGAGGCTCTCGCACCTGGTGGAGCAGGAAGGTCCCCACGCACGGCATGCCGCCGCGGTGGTCCACCACTGCAGGGATGTAACTGGAGAGAGAGGGAGGGGGAGGTGAGGCCGGGGCCGGACCCCTCCTGCCGCCCACAGCGCTGCCTCGGGGCCCGAGCGGAAGGGGTGAGCCAGGAAAGTGCTGGTGAAGGTGGGGTGGCCGGTCCGTGGAGACCAGAGTCGGCCAGCCCCAGGCCCTCTCCGCCCCCCACCGCAGCCCTCGGGGGTCCCAGGGCCCCCGCCAGGCACACGGGGCAGGGGACGCACTCGCCATCGGCCTCCAGCTCGCAGATCTCGAAGTGGACCAGCAGGTCATACTTGCAGTGGCGTGGCCCGGGGCAGGGCCGCGTCAGCGTGCTGAGCTTGGTGGCCGGCACTGGGGACAACAGGAGAGAAGCACGGGCTGACAGGAGGCCAGACCCACGGTGCGTTGAGGGCTCCCTCGAGGAGGGTGGGGTGGGGGCGCGGCAAAGGCAGCGAGGGCACTCCGCTCCACGGAAAACCACCAGCAGCCCCCGCCCCCCCGCCCCAGGACACGCTCGTCCGAGCACAGGCAGGGCCCAGCGTGTCTGGCTCCGGATGCGCACGAGCACCCGCTTCTCCGAGCCCAGGGGAGGAGCCCGTGGCCACACCCACTGATGAGAGGGTGGTGGCCGGAGACCCCAGAGAACCCCAGTGGGACCCCGGCTCCACCACGCTTGGGCCGCGGCCCGCGGCTCCTGGCCAAGCACGTCGTCCGCTCGGACGAGTCCCGCCCCCAGGCCAGATGGACAGGCTGAGACGCCCCAGCCCCACCCTGCCTTCCTCTCGGGGCCCCCACACTTCTGCCGCCGGCTCTAGGGGCCCCGGGGGTACACGACACCCTCTGGGGCGTCTGTCTCCGCCTGCTCCTCGTGCCCAGGAGGGGGCCCTTACTCCACGGGGACCCCCACCCCCGAGGTCGGGCGGGCGCAGGGCGGCCCCAGAGCCTGGGCGCACCGGCACCCCAGGCCGGCACCCCGGTGCCCGGCCTACCTGGCTTGGACAGCGGCATGACCCGTGGGAAGTGGCGGCGCGAGGGCCTCAGGGGGCTGTGGAGGAAGCGGCGCTCGCGTGAGGCGTCCGAGGGGGCCTGGGCCGGAGCAGGGAGCCCGGAGCCCGCCCGCCCCCCCTCCAGGCCCAGACTGGCCGCAAGCCCCTCGACCGGGAGGCGAGGTGGGACCTGAGCACGTCCTTGCAGAGTGGCGGGAATGGGCGCTGCTGGTAGTGGCCGAAGACCTCGAACACCACGGGCTGGCTCTTGACGTACTCGATGAAGGACCGGGTCACCTCCACCGCGATCTGGAGGGTGAGCGGGGGTGGTCGGAGGGCAGCGCCGGCCCCCTGCCCACGGCAGGGTCGGTGCTTGTCGCCCAGGCCCCTCCGGCCCCGCCTGTCCTCTGTCACCCCCCCCCAGTGGACAGAGCACTGGGTGGGCAGCCCTTGTCTCTGTTCCCAGTACAGATGGGGCTGGGCCGCTGGGCCAGCTGCCCTCTCACAACACAGCCTGACGAGGGGACTGAGGTGACCAGGCTGCCTCTGGGCTCTGGTCTGACCTCTGGGCAACCCCCCCCGCTCACCAAGAGTTGGGGGTTGAACTGTGTCCCCGCCCCCACCCAGCATCTGCACTTAGAAACAAGGTCTTTACAGAGGTCATCAAGTCGGAACGAGGGTGTCAGTGTGGTCCTAACCCCGTACGACCGGGGTCCAGGGTCCTTGTGCAAAGGGGCCTCAGAGCACCGAGGAGGCAGGTGCAGTGGGGAGACTCTGGGGGGACACGGGGCAGAGACAGCGCGGACGCCCCTCGAGGACGGGACCAGGACAGCGCCCCCCTCAGCCCCTCCCCTCCGGACCGGGGAGGCGGTGAGCTCCGGGGGGCCCAGTGAGCGCCCTCCCGGCCTGCCTTGTTCCCCAGCTCAGCTGACACCACGTGCCCCGCCCCCCGTCACGGCAGGGCCAGGACGGCCACACCGCCAGAGGTCAGACCACAAACCCAGAGACCGGGCGGCTGAGGTCAGACCCCCGGGCCGGGCCAACGGGTCCTCGCCACAGGAGCAGCCCCCACTCCCGGGGGACCCCGCTCCCCGACGCTCTCCTGACTCTCCCCAACCACGGCCACCACAGACACTTGGCGTCCAGGGTGCTGGAGGCTCCTGGCCGGGGGCTCTCTGGACTTACTGCCCCCACCCCAGTCTTCCACCCAGCGAACGCCCGCCTGGTGCTGGAGGCCCTGCGTCCACACGCCCCGGCGCGTCCAGCACCTGCTGGCACCCAGAAAAGGGGGAAGGAGCCGGGAGAGACAGGTGCGCGTTTCAGGGAGGCCTAGCGGAGCCGGACCCCGGAGGGCCCCGCAGCGGGCGGGGGAGGGGAGGGGCTCTGAGGACGTACATTCTGGACGTGGTAGAAGCCGAGCGGGGGGCCCCGCCCCGTGTTCTTCAGGGGCTCCGTGGAGAAGGCCTCGTCGTGGCGATGGATGAAGCTGCAAAGCGGAAGGATATGTTTGGCCGGGTCCCTGGGACGCAGCTGGGCGTTGCGTGGAGCCCGGCCGCCCGCCCGCCGCCTCCCCGCCGCAGGGCCCATCCCGGCGGGCTGAGGCTCACTTGAACTGGCAGAAGATGTCGGCGTACTCCGCGGAGATGCTGGACGCCTGCAGGACGGTCACACGGAAGGTGAAGGTGCTGCCCAGGCGCAGGTGGTCCAGGGCGGCGTCCAGGGGCCCGTCCAGGGTGGCCTTCTCGGGGCTGTCGAGCAGCAGGCTTTCCGGAGGCAGCGCTGTGGGCAGCCCAGGGCACAGGCAGGTGGCGGGACCCGGGGGGCTGGGGCCGGGGCCAGACCCAGAGCCCATGCAGCTTCCCTCAGGGGCCTGATCCCAACTGCTCTGGGCGGAGGTACCCCCCAGGGCCGCCCTGTGGGCGGGGCCAGGCGGCGGAGGCCCGCCCCCTCCGTGGGCGCCCCAGGACTTACCCGAGCAGGTGTTGTTGTTGACCTCGTCGGCAGAGGGCCCCAAGTCCGCACCCTGGCCCTGGCCTTCCACGATGCGCAGCTCTTCCTGGGAGGTCCCGGAGCGTGACATGCCCCCCGCCTGGCAGCACTCAGACTGGAACTGTGTGGGGCGGGGGCCGAGTTGCGGAAAGCTGGCAGGGGGAGGCCTGTGCGGGCCAGAGCTGGGCGGGGCCTTCACAGACACGCCCCCTAGCCTCAGGTGCCCAGGCTGTCCGGCCCACCCGGCCTCCATGGGGGGGGGGGGGGGGGGGGGGGCGGGAGGCCGTCAGCTCTGCCCCAGCCCAGGGCCCTCCCTCAGCCCCTCCCCCCTCCCTGGGGTCTTGGTTCTCGGGGTCCTTGCCCACCCGGTTCTCTGGCCAGGGGCACACGCAGTCTGCCGGCGCCCCTCTCCACCTTTGCCCCTCGCCCCTCCCGTGCATCCCCAACAGCGCCCAGCCCCCGTGAGAGGGAGAGTGGTGGCGGAGGGAGCAGACGCTCCGCCCTGGGCTCCAGGCGTCGGACACGCAGGTTCAGGACAGGGCGGCGGGCGGCGGCCGGCCAGTGGGGGTGGGACAGGAAAGAGCCGCCGGCCCGGTACCTTCTCGAAATGCTGGTCGTCAAAGGAGATTCTGGCAGTTCCCGACTGGCGGACACCCGAGCCGTAATCTGGGGCCTCTTCATCGGCTGCCGTGGGACCGAGCAGATGGTCAGGGCCCTGCTTGCCCCCAGGGGGTGTGGCAGAGCCCGCCCCCCCAGATCCTCCTGGTTTCACCGTGGAACGGCACCTGTCCCTCTGCCAGCACCCTCGCAAAGCCACCACGACCCCCAACCTGGACACAGCGCCCCACACGCTCCCGAACCCCCTTCCTCGGCAGAGGTCAGCAGCTTCCCACTGGGACAACATCATCCAGGCCCTTCTCCTGTCACCTGCAGGACCCTGGGACCTGCCTTCTTCTGCTGGTGTCCCTGAGCCCCAGCTTCAGCCACTCTGGTTAGCCGTCACCCCAGGAGGCCTTGCAAACCGGGGGGCCTGCCCTTCTGTTCGGGGGTGCCGGCACCCTGAGCTCTCCAGCCTGGCTGCCTGTGGGCGCGTCCCACCATCGCCCTGGCCAGCCCGGGGCCGCGCACGGCGGGGCACAGGGCTCTGTGCAGGGAGATCGGGGGGGCTGACGGCAGCCGTGGCCGGGGGTGGGGACAGGTGTGACTGCTGTGACCACGGAGGCGGGGTTTCTGCTCTGGGTTATTTTTATGTTCCTTCTTTTCCACCAGGGCCACGAGGCAGAGAGCGTCAGGTGCGGCCCCAATACAGGCAGCGTCACCCTATAAAGCAGCCTGCCCAGGGGGACCCCACCCAGCTGGGACGGAGCCAATCAGGAAGAAGAGGAAGAATGAGGGAGAGCCACCCAGCCCGCAGGGACAGGGTCCCCTCGAGGGGGGAGGATGGCACCTGGTACTCCCAGCATCCCTGCCCCCCCAGTGCCATCCTCGCTCCCCTCCAGGCTCCCCCTTCTCGGCAGGGTCCCGGGGGGCTCGAGTGGCCGGGGGTGCTGTAAAGAGGAAGGGCCCGGGCAGGGGAGGGAGGGCTGACCATCACAGCAGGAGCCCCAGCCCCAGGTCGGCCACGCGGGCTCCGAGCCTGTACTCTGGAATGATCCCTCTCGCCCTGAGTGACCTTCGGCAGGAAGTCCACGCTGGATTAATGGGTCAGTGAACCAAGCTGGGGGCCCAGGGGAGGGGGGGCAGTGGGAGGCATCCCCTCTGCAGCAAGGCCCCCCGGCCCAGGACTGAAGCCGAGGGATCCAAAGGAGGGGTTCCCGGGACAAAGGGGGGCTCCGAGGGCCACTGTGGGTGGGTGGGGCAGCCAGTCCTGGGGGGGCTCAGAGAGAGCGAAGGGCGAGTCAGGAGAGCGCCCAGCCCTGCCCTGGGCTGGGGTGTCCGTGTCCGCCTGGGGCTGCCTGAGGGGAGGAGGCGCCTGAGCCAGAACCGGCTCGACGGCCCTGGGCTTGGCCCGCACAGCCCCAGCGGGCCCCGTCACCCTGGGAGAGTCGGGGGGCCCGAGCCAGGAGCTGGGCGTCGGGGCTTCTCCCGGAGTCCCCACCTGGGGCCAGCAGCGGGGCGGGTGGGGGGCCCTGGGGGAGGCTGGCTGCTCGCCGACCCCACCTGTGAAGGAGCCCGCAGCCCCGCACACACCTGAGATGGCCTGGACGGCCACTCGGAGGAAGCCCTTCACCTCGCCCTTCTCGCTGACGATGGCTACGCGGTGCACCAGGGGCACGGGGTACAGCAGGTTGCTCAGGTACACGAAGGCCCTGGGAGGGGAGAGGCCGCGGTCAGGGCCGGCCCCGCGCGGCCGTGGGGGGCGGTGGCAACAGCGCGGCCGAGCTCACGACACAACACTGCGAAGCGGAGCGGAGCGTGGGGGCCGGGCAGCAGGCGAGGGCGAGGACGGGCGGGGGTCCACGGCAGGCGGAGGTGCTCAGAGGACGTGGGAGGAGGAGGCGGCGGCGGAGAGGCCCGTGCACAGGGGACAGAGGTGTGGTCAGCAGGCAGGGGCCACACCTGCGGACGGGCGAGGGGGCAGCTGAGGGGTGCAGCCTGCCTCAAGGAGGAGGACCTGGGGGCCCGGCCCCCCTGTGCTACGACACTGGCACTGGTGCTCTGGCAGTCCCCCGACACCCGCCCGCTTCCCAGCGGCCCCTGAGGCTTGAGGGCTGGATGCCGGATCAGGGCTCGAGACTCCTCCGGTGAGGGAGAGCGGGCGCTCCGCGGTGCCAGCCAAGATGGGACGGGCCCCGGCCCACGGAGGGCTGGCCGGACAGACACCCCTAGGCCCCACGGCACCGCCTGCTGTGACCCCACCAGCTCCCCAGAGTGCCCAGAGCCCTCCTTTCCCCCGGCAGTGCCAGCTGGAGTCAGGACAGGCTGGACAGAGGCCGCGTCACCCAGGCGCTGCTGCAGTCCCCAAGCTCGTCCATGGGCAGGGGTGGCACAGGCAGCCAGGAGGACAGATAGGACCTGGAATACCTGGTGCTGCCCTGGGTGGGTGGGGGCTGACATGGAGGAAGTCTCCCCCGCTGTTCGTGGGCACCCTGGTACAGAGAGGGCCTGCCCGCATGAGCCCCAGGGGACAGCCCTGCCCCTCACACTCCAGCTCAGGACCCTGCCTCCCGAGGAGCCCACGGCTGCTCCTGCTCCAGCCCCGAGGTGCAGACACCTATAACCCTGAGCTCCCGTGGAGCCCAGGGGTGGGGAGCCACTGGCGGAGGGGCAGGCTTTGACACGGGAGGGAGGGAGGTGTCGGGGAGGAGGTGCCCGGGAAGGGTGCGGGAGGCCCAGCCTCTGTAGGGGAGAGGGGCAGACGAGGGCAGCAGCAGGGTGGGGGCGTGGGGGACGGGGAAGGGAAGGCTGAGCCTGCTGGGCAGGTGGGCGTTGGCCCCCGGGTGCATGTCCACGAGCAGGACACAGCGGGGAGGAGCTGGGGGCTGTCACCTGTCACCCTGCCCTTCCCTCAGCTGCTCCAGGGTCTGACAGCACCCGAGCTGAGCCACTGGCCTTGCTTCCCACTGCGACCCAGGACGCTGTGCTGGACGCTGCTGTGACAGTGGACAGACAGGGCCATGCCGGGTACCCCGACTCCGAGGCCTGGCGCCCCCTCAGGTAGGGCTGCTGACCTTGACCCCCTGCCTGCCAGCCCTCCCCCAAAACCTGGGCACCATCCACTCTTATCTTCCAAACACATCGATTCCACTTCAGAAACCTCTGAAGTCCGTTGGCGGGTCCGTTACCACTAGCCACCCTTCTGCTCACCTGCGGCCCCCACACCTGAGGAGACTTGGGGTGCACATTGGACTCCACCCTCAGAGACATCCAAGTTCCTTGCTTCACCCAGCCCAGCTGCCCAGCTCCCATTCCAGCCACACAGGCCCTCCGTCCATCCCTAGCCCTGGCCACGAGGGGAAACTAAGGCCCAAAGACAGGTAGCCCCTCCAAGGGTGTCTACCAGGCAGGGACCAGACAGGTCAGGCTGGTGGGCTGCTTCCAGCCCCTGCCTGGGGATGGGGACAGTGGTGGCCTTCCCTCCTGGGCATCTAGGCGCCCAGCCAAGGGCCTTTGTGTGTACCTAGGTGGGGGCCAGGGGGCTGCCACCAGGCTGGAGGGGGAAATGGAGGAAGCCCAGGATGCAGGCTGAGGGGCCGGTGAGGACCCCACTCTGCACTCCTCTGCTAGGCCCGTGCAGTCCCACCGCACTGGTGAGAGCTAAGGGGGCCAGGCAGGACAGCCCGTCCCTGCAGGGCCCCTGAGTCCCACCCAGCCCTCCAGCCCCACCCACCATGGGGCAGGGCCCACTGCAGAAATCCAGGTGTTGGAGGCAGAGAGACACTGAGAAGGCTCCCAGGAGCCCCAGGTGCTCACAGAGGGGTCACAGCCTGCCAGCTCCCACCTGCACGCTGCGGGGAATGCATGGGAGGACCTTCGTAGGGACTGGGTAAGGGCACGAGGGCCCTTCCTCAGTGCAGCCTCAAGGAAGGGGGCCCGGGGCCCACAGCCAGCAGGGAGAGCCGAGATCAGGGCCACCTCAAAGCCCCTGGCCGGCCCAGGGCTGGCGTCCAGCGGTCCCCACATCCCCAATACTCAAACTGTACCCTTGGCAGCCGGGGCTCACCGGGGGCCAGCCCTGGGACCTTTGCTCCTGCCACACCCGGGGCGGGCGGCGCGCCCACACCTCCTGGACACCAAGATGCCCACCCTTCACACACCGGCACCGCAATCAGCAGGACCAACCCACAGCCCTGTCAGGCGCACAGAGCACACCGGGGACCCACAGACCCGGCTGCCGTGCTGGGGCCGCGTCCAGAGGAGGCAGAGGACACTGTGCGGCACCTTCCTCCTAATCCTGGTCCCCTCAGTGACAGTGACAGGCACACTCCATCAGAAGGGACCCTGGGGCCCGGAGGCCATTGCACCGGCCTCGAGGGATGGCAAGCTGGGGCAGAAAGACCCCACACCCCGTGCAGAGCCACCCCGATGGACAGCACTAGGACGTGAGGGACAGAACACAGTGCAGAAGCCACCAGACGTTGGCAGGGCCACCATGGGGGTCAGACAGCCCCCACCGGGAGGCCCTGCCCATACATGGGGCGGGTGGGGGGCAGCTCTCAGCCCCTCTGGCAAAGATTCAGGCTGTGCACCCCGGGGCGCAGGGCGCACCCCACTGAGGTCTGGCCTCGACAGCCCCGAGGGCAGAGGGACATGGGGCAGGTGGGCACCCTCCCTCCCATGGGCCGTCACCTCTCCTCCCTCCCCCAGTCCCCCCTTCCTGGGACCCGTGGGCCCCTCGCCCTCCTCTGTGCGCTCCCCTGCACCCAGGTCCTGAAAGTGGCGGTCCAGGCACGAGGGACCATGGGGCACAGCAGTTCCTCTGCCCGGTTAGCCCGCCCCCCAGCTCACCCAGCACCCCAGACGGCCCGCGGCAGGGGCCCCGGGTCGGGACAGGACTCGGGAGGCCCACGCGGGGGGCCGCCCACAGAGGGGAGCGCACCTTGAAGCAGGCTGGACCCGCCCAGGGAGAGGAGGCGGAGGCGCGGAGGCGGAGCCGTGTGGCGGGAGGGAGGAGGCAGCACGGGCCACGAGACCGGCGAGGCGCAAAGACGCATGCTGGGCCAGGACAGCCTTTCCGAAGGGAGACGAGAGTGGGCGCCCCCGTGTTGCTTAAGCTTTGGAGAGAGAGCCAGCAGCTACCGGAAGGGTTAAAGGAGACCAGGGCCGGTCCTTCTGAAGGCCTGGCCTGCGCAGCTGCTGAGCGGGGAAGCCAATTCTTGCCAAACGAAAAGATCAGGACATTTCCAAAAGAAGCCCCTGGCACGCCGCCCGCGGGCGGGGCCGGCCTCTCGTGGGCAGCTTTGCTTTGGTTTGGTTGTTTTGTGACATCACGGGGCCACAGAGGGAGGTGTTGGAAGGACCCAGCTCTTTCCAGCCGAGACTGCAAGAACCCACACCCTGTTCCTCCCGGTGTCCTTGCTCCCCTGGGCCCTGTCCCCATGCCTGCCTGTCACCGGAGTGACGCCTGGCCCTAGCGGCCAGGGCGTTCTGAGAGGCTGCCGCTCCCTGCTGGGCTCTGCAGATGGAAGCCCAGGCCAGGGCGCCCCTGAGGGGGAGAGGCACACACGTTCGTCCAGCGTGTCACGCGTGGAACCCTGGCTGGAGTCATCCAGGACGTGTGCCCCCGGTGGCCTGCTTCCTTCTGAGAGGACGGCCCCGGGACTCCCCGTGCCCGCCCCGCTGTGCGGGTTTGCCACAGCCCACAGCTCTCGGTGCTGGCGCTCGAGGTCAGGACGTGCAGAGCTTCCCTCGGCCTGGCCCAAGGAGGCCACCTCAAACCCTAGCACTGGGTGCTGTTAAGACTGTCTTACACCTCTTTGTATCGGAACCTGTAAAGTCCGCATTTCGTGAGCTGTGTTTCCTCCCACCACAGTGGGCTTCTGGACCTTTCCTTCGTCAGTCAGGCTTCCCTCCCTTCTGGGTGATAGCGGAGGTGGAGGTGGCTCTCTCTGCTCCCCACGCCCCCCGCCCTCACCTGCAGGGCCTCTGCTCCACCCAGGACACAGCAGCTGCTCCCCTCTGCAAGGGGCACGGCCTGCGAGGGCGCAGGGCCAAGTGCACGCCCCTGTCTCTGGCCGTGGTGGCCCGGGAGGTCGGGAGGACATGCCACCCTCACTTTAAGACAGACACAAGTCCGAGGGAGGCAGGGTCCGCAGGGCCCCGCAGCCTCAGGGGGAGGCCTTCCCACTGCCTAGGCAGCACCGGCCCTTCCTCCCTGCCCTGCAGCACGCCCCCTGCCCAGGGGAGTCCCCCCAGAGGCCTCCATCTCTTCGGGAAACAGGGGAGCATGGGGAAGCGGCCCGAGCTGGGGGTTAGGGTCCAACCCCAGGGCCACAGGACCTGAGGGGCGGCCCGCCTCCAGCTTCCCGCAGGCCCCTGCAGGGGCCCTGCACAAGCACCTTTCCTGGGGTTCCAGCGGCCACCCCCCAGGTTCTCGGGCCCCTCTGCCGTGTAGTCCCCCCTGCGAGGAGCTGGCTGGCGGCCACGCTCCGGGGCGGTGGAGGCCTCGCGCCCCCTCCGGCCCCTCCTTGGACGCCAGCCCCAAGCCCGGGGGCCGGGCCCGGACGGCGGTCGGACCGTGCCCGCAGCAGTGCTCCTGCGCCAAAGAGCTGGCTCCTTCCCAGCATGCCGTCCTCAGCCTCACCAACCTTCCTACTAAACTGAACAGGGGGGGCCGGTCGTAAAACGGGTCCCGGCCGTCGTGAAGCCCGTGCTCTGGGGAGACGTCGTCCTCCAGGTCCTCCTCCTCCTCCTCCTCCTCCTCCTCCTCCCCCAGGCTCTGCTCCTCGGCAGGCGCGGTGGCGTCGGAGTCGGGGCTCGAGGAGGTGGGGGAGGGGGTGAGAGCAGCCATGCGCGCGCTCATGCACGTGTTGAGAAGAGGGTAACTGCTGCAGCCAGAGATGACTGAGCTGGGGTCAGTAGGACAAGACAGAGAGAAGTTAACACCAGCCACGCGCGGGGCGCACGGGACGGGGGCTCCCGGGAGACCCAGGCCAAACACACAGACCACCAAAGACTCTGCCTCAAAAGACAAGGACTGAGAGTGCACCCCCCCCGCCCCCGTCCCAGGCTAAGAAGGAAACTGCATGTGTGGCCGGTAGAAGGTTCTGGAAGGTTCTGGAGGCAGCAGCGGTGTGATTCTGGCCTGGTGTGGCTGAGGTCGTACGAGGACCTCGTGTGCCGGGCCACGTGGAGGGCTCTGAACGCCATGCCCCATCTCGTGGGGTGCAGGGGCTGGGCCAAGACCCCAAACCAGGGCAGGGAGGCATGGGACTGGGGCTCTGGGGTGACATGACCCTATGTCCCCGCTCACACCCCACAGCCACCAGGCGACCCGGAAAGTCTAGCTAAGCCTCACACATTCACACACCCACGGACCCGTGGGACCTGGTGGCTGCAGCCCACAGAGGGCGTGGTGGCAGTGATGAGACCCCTCTGTGGCCCCTTCGACAACGGGGCCCGCTGATCAGACCGAGGACAAGGGCGGGGGAGTGGGGATGGGAGCAGGCGTCTCAGTGGCTCCTTCTCATGGGGGCGAGGGCCCAGTGGGGTTCCATCTTGGGAGGAGGCCGATCCTGCCCGCACTGCGGCCTCTCTCCTTCTCTGTCTCTCTCTCAGTCTCTCCCCATCTCTCTCTGTCTCTCAGCCCAGGGAGGGAGTGGGGGAGGCACCCACCTGCCCACCAGCCGGAACCAGGGGAACCGGTCGTAGAAGGGGTCCCCGCCGGTCACCACGTTGTCGCAGTCCTCGATGACGCTGGAGGGCACCTCGGCCGCCCGGTCGTACATCTCTCGCATGAGATCCAGGCGTTGCCTGCAGGGGCGGCGGAGATCAGTGTGGGCCCGCGGGGCGGCCACCCGGCGCCCCTCCCCCTGGGACGGCGGGCTCGGCCGTGGCCACAGCATCCCACTCAGGGTCATCTGAGGCTCAAGCCAGTTTCCTGGCAGACCCCTCGCGGTCCCCAGAATCAGTCAACCGTGAGCAAAGGACTTCCAGTTAAACCTACGAGGTCACCACTAACTCCTCCCAACTGCGGTCAGGTGACAGCGAGGTGGTTTCTGCAGCAGGATGGCCAGGAACCAGTGGCGGGGTGGGGGGGACACGGAACGGGAGGTGGGGGTGGGGGTGGGACGAGCCCACACGGAGGGGCGTGGGGAGCTCGGGATGCTCTGGGAACGAAGGGCAATTTGGTGACAGGGTGCAGAAAACGGCCCTTGAACAATTACTACCCCGGGAAAACCCACATGGTGAGGGAGAGAGGAAGTGCGGTCGTCTCCCTCCACGGCTCAGGCACGACGGAAGGTGGGCCTTTGTCCAAATGGCGGACAGCAGCCCCCGAGACGGGAGAGGGTGGTGAGTGAGAGTTTGTGTGAGTGCGTGTGCCACCAATGTGTGAGTGAGTGTGATCCTGACGGGGGAGGGCTGGTGTGTATGAGAGTGTGTGAGTGAGTGTGAATGTGACTGGGGAGAATCAGTGTAGGAGTGTGTGTGTGTGTGTGTGTGTGTGTGAGATGAGCCATACAAGAAAGGAAGGTGTGGGAGAGCCCATGGGTGTGAGTGTACAAATGTGAGTGTGTGAGTGTGCCCCAGGCTGTGTTAATTCTACTTCCCATTCTCTGTATTTGACGGTGTTCTGACACCTCTGGGGCTCGCTGGCTGGGGAGGATGCGCATCCCGGGGTAGCCAGTCCCCAGACAGTGGAACCCTGGGAGTGAGTTTCACACACACACACCAGCCGGCTCCCTGACCCCGTCACCCCGGGGCCAGGCGCCAGGCAGCTGGGGGCAGCCCTGCGCCCCAAAGCCCGCCCATCATCCCAGCTGGCCGGTCCTCGCTGCTCGCCCCGCCCGCCTCGCCAGTGGAAACCTTGGTGGGGGCCACGGCCCAGGCCTGTCCCTCACCCCCGTCCCCCTCCGGCCGCCCTGTGCTTCCCTCCGGCCCCGTGTGCTGGCCTTCCTCTCGTTTCTGGGGACTGTGGACAACGGGAAGCTTTTCTTCAGTGGCGCTGGCCTGTTGTGCCTCCCTCAGTCACATTTATAAATAAGGGCTGGACGCACGTCACAGTGAGCAAGCAGGGACCAGGGAGGCGGACCCTGGCAGCCCAGGTGGGCCCGTCCAGGCCCCGCGTGCCCCCTGCGCCACCTCCCTGCAGCCCCGCCCCACCCAGCCTCCTGCGTAAAGACACGCTAGGCGTCTCCACTGCGTGGGGGGTCCGGGGAGAACACGGGCTCTGTGTGAGGCCTACGTACTGATTTGCTTCTGATTTTAAGAGACGAACACGGGAAAAAAGCCGCCCTGAGACGTGTGCGCCGTGAAGCCGACGCCTGCCCCCCTTTCAGTGGCTCCCCCCACACCTCAGCCCCCACCTCAGCCCCCACCCGCCGCCACACCTGAGCTTCTCCAGCGTCCAATAGTGGGTGGCCCCGTTCTTCTGGTCCTGCACCTCCACGGCCACGATGGTGCGGGGGAAGGGGCGCGTCTCCCGGTCTTTGGCAGCCTCCGGGGGCAGCAGGTCCGGGGGCAGCGGGGAGTAGAGTGTGTCCGTGAGGAGGACGAACTGGAACTGGACCTGTGGCAGGCACCAGATGCCCACCCATCAGCCCCGTGGCGGACGGGAGCCAGGGCCCCAGGGGCTTCCTGTCCACCTCGCCAAGGTCACAGCTGCGCGTGGGGATCTCCGGCCCGCCTCCGAGGAGGAGCCACACCCGACCACCTCCTCGCCTGGGTCAGCTCCCCGCCTCTCTCCTCCAGCCAGCCACCCTCCAGGGGCCCGGGTCCCCCCGCCCCCCCCGCCCCCGCCATCCCCAGGAGCGGAGGAGCCCAGAGTTGGGTCCAACTGCAAGCAGGACGGGCGAGCCCACCCTCCGAGACGAGGCGGCTGGAGGGGCCCACCTTCTTCTTGAGCTCGACGCTGATGGCGTTGGCCTCCTTGAGGAAGATGGCGTTGCCCCACAGCAGGTCCCGCAGCGACGTGAACTGGTACCACTTCCACTTGCGGAAGGCCCAGAGCGCCAGCTCGCACTCCCTCTCTGTCCACTGGACTGTGGGGAGAGGCCGCAGGGTCACCGAGGCAACGCCGAGACAGCCCACGCTGGGCTGGGCTGGGCTGGGCTGGGCTGGGGGCTGAGTCTGGGTCCTCCCTCCCACCCAGAGCCCCCGCCTTTTGGGTAGTCGAGTCCAGACAAGAGGATACCAAGGTCACATAAGCACAGAGATGCTGCTGACCCGCAGACCACAGGCCGAGCTGGACATGAATCCCATGGCCACCCTTAGGCCCCATAGCAGTGCGGGGTCAGCCGGTGGGCCACCCCAGCTGATGACCAGAAAAGGAGTCCCGAGGGGAGGAGCAGTGAGCTCATTCCGGGGGAGGACCAGCCCCTGCGGGCAGGACCCGGGTGAGTGGGCACAGGACGCCCGTCCTGTCCTCCCCCTCGTCCAGGCTGCCGCCTCCAGAACCACACATGTGTGCACACATGTGCACGCATGTGGGGGTGCTTTCCTGCTGCAGCACGGCCTCCCTGGATCCTGTCTCCCGGGGATGAGGCCTCTCCCCGAGTGACAGGGGCACCCCAGGGAGCAGCCCGGGGGCCAAAGCACCTTCTGGGAGACCAGGCTGGGGAGCCCTCACCTTCATCCTCCGGCTCCTCCTCCTCCTCATTTGCCTCTGGGAAGAGCCTGGAGTCCATCTGCCTCTGCAGCGCCTCCAGCTTGCTCTCGTAGTCCTGGGGGGGAGGCAGGGCCTGGCTCCGTCTGCACCCCGCAGCTGCGGCCTCCCACCTGCCCAGCACCGGACTCGCCCCACCACAGCGACAGCCCAGGACGCTGAGAGTCGGGCTGTTGGCAAAGCAGGGACCCAGCCACCCCACCCAGGCGTGGTGTGGGGCCTGTGGGGCAGGGGGGCTTCGGGGGTGTGGGGGTCTGTGGGCCTGGAGGGGCCGCCCTCACCAGCCTCTGCTGCTCCAGCAGGTAGGTGGCCTCCTCCCGCTCCCGGCGGTACTGGTCCTCCAGCTCCTGGAGCCTGCGAGAGTGGGGGGGGGGGGTGACTGGGCGGGGTGGGCGACACGGGGTGGGCGACACGGGGTGGGGGGCGGGTGACCAGGTCGGGGGGATGTGGGGCAGCTCGGGCTGTGCGGGCAGGCTCCCCGCGGTGTCACCTCTGCTCCATCTCCTGCTTCATGTCGATGCCCTGCTTCTCCAGCAGCTCGCGCTGGGCGAAGGCCCAGTCCACGGGCTCCGAGGGCGTCTCCGCGCAGGGCGTGCGCTCTCGCTCCTGCCGCGCCTGCTCGGGGTGGTTGAACCGGAACACGTGGCTCTTTCCCATGATGATGCGGTTTCCTGGGGACGGGGGGCCGAGCTGGACCAGGGGGGCCTGCAGCCTCGGGGGCCTCAGGGCGGCAGGGGCGGGGGAGGGAAGGCTCCCAAGCACTGCGCACTCCAGGAACTGCCCCAGGGCCTCAGCCCCCTGGCACTCCCCCCTCCCCCCACCAAGGCCTGACCGGGCCTCCTCACTCGCTCCAAATTCCCCTCCTTGGCCCCACCCCTTTTGCCACCCTGGGGGTTTGCAAAGCACACTCCTGGGGCTTCTCCCGCATCCTCATCTGTTCTGTGGGCCCCTGAGTGCCACCCTCATGCCAGCCTCACCCCCCAGCCGGGTGCCCTGACCGGGCAGGCACCACCAGCAGAGTGGGTCGGGGCCTCCTGCCAGCCCTACCTGACCGCAGGATGCTGGGCTCTGTGACCTTCTTGCCATTGACATAGGTGTCTGCCCCCTCACAGGGCTCCAGGGTCACCACGGCTACAGGACAGATGGGGCAGAGAGGGGACTGTCAACGCACTGCCATGCCCTCTGCCCACCTGCAGGGTCGACTCCCCTGGCCGCCCATGTGCAGCCCCCACCACCACTCCTCCTGCGGCAGCCAGGCCGGACTGTGGGCGGCACCTTGTCTGGGCCCTGGAGAAGCTGGGGGGGTGGGGGGTGTCACGCTGATCAACAGATGAGGAGAGTGGTGCCCGAGGTGGGGGTGCTGTCAGAGAGCCAGGAGCCCGTGCTGGCCGACCATTCACCCTGTCAGGGTCTCCAGGTGGGCATGGATGGAAAACAGGGGCCACCACGTCCCCGGGAGTCCTGGAGCCCCTCTGGGGAGGGCAGGCTTTGGGGACAGAGAATTCTGGGAGAGCCAACATCCCCCGTATTGCTTCAGGCCACCACCCAGAGGTGTCCCGGTCACAGAGCAAGCTTCAGCCACCGGTCTGCAGCCCAGAGGCTGGCCGGACTCCTGCCCTGAGCTGGGGGCTGTGGGCTCCATAATGAGATTCTGGCCCAGCAGCTGCTGCCTGGAACATCACACCCCAGACAGGTCCCGTGCCCTGGGCCGGTGGAGGGGCAGGGTAAGGCACAGGTGACCACCCCACAGCCAGCAAGAAAGCGTGGCCCAAAAGTAATGCTCCACCCTCCACTGGCTGGCTCCTCAGGGCTCGCTGTCCTCCCGCCCAGGAATAATACCCCGACGCCTCAGCACGGGAGAGAGAACCCACACCCAGCCCAGCGCCAGAGCCTCTTCTGACGGAGGGGTTCCCGGGGCCGACAGGGAGCTGGGAGGTGAGCCACCAGCCCCGGCTGACCCCGCAGGCCCCCCTCAGGCCGGACACGCGGCAGCACCCGGTGGGGGCGGAGGGCAGCCATACCTTCACTGCCCCCTCTGGAGTCGCTGCGGAAGACACAGTGCTCCTCCTTGATGAAGTGCCCGCTCAGGACAATGTCCTGCCGCCTCTCCCCGTCCTCCCGGCCCACTCTGTGGGGGGCGGGGCAGGGGCTCAGTCAGCGACGACGGGACCGGGGCTCCCTCCCCACTCCCCCTGCAGCCTCTGGGGACACCCAGCTGGGTTGTTATGGGAAACACCCAAGACGCACATGAGTGGGGGCACAGGGGATGCCCCCAAACATGGGAGCCACGCAGCCCAGAGGAGCTGGAAGCATCGGGCTCCAGGAGCAGGGACGGATCCTCGCCCCCACCCCGACCCCACCTGTGAGCCCACCCCCCTCCACCCCACCTGGTGAGCCCGTCTTTGATGTAGTAGAGGAGACACTCGGACATCAGCGGGTCCTCATTCAGGTTGACGAGATGCGGTGTCTGGGGTGAGAGGGGGGTCAGCTGCTTTGCAGGGAGCGGGAGCCCAGCACTGGCCGCCTACCCGACCTCTCTCCCCATGCGCCAGACCACCACCCACCCTGGGTCTGGCCTCGTGGAGGACACAGTGTCCTCCCAGGCTGGCAGGGAAGGCAGGACACATGAAGGAAAAGGTTCCTGAGGAAAAGCCTTTGGCGGGCACCCCAGAGCCTTGGGTGCGGGGACAGCCAGGTGGCTGGCTGGCTGGGTGCTCAGCCTTGGCACTCGGGGAGCTGGGCTTCAGGAGCAGCCGGGAGCTGAGCTCTCAGCTGAGGGCCCAGGGGCACTTGGGGTGTGGTGGACCCTCAGATATGCAGGGTGCAGGCTGGGTCCCCACACTGGCCCCGTGCCACATCCCATGAGGTCCTGGGCACCCAGGAGCTAGGGCTCCCGTGGGTCCTCAGCCCAGACCTCGGCTCCTATGGCTCGAAGGGCCCCCTGGGGTGCGCCCCCTCCTCCCAGAGGCATAGAGGCCCTTCAAAAGGCTGCAGGTGGCCCAGCCACATTCCACCCACGGCAGCCCCACGGAGCCAGGACCTGCTCCTACCTTTTTGGGAGAGAACACACCCAGGGTGCCGCCGTCCTCCCTCATGGCCACACCCATCTCAGCCAGCAGGGCTTCCCTGGGGGGACAGAGTCGGGGTTGGTTCACGCCCCAACAGGCCACAGGACCTGCTGCGTCCCCAGCTGGATGGACGGGCTCCGGCCACACAGCCCGTGCAGCGCCCAGGTACTGTGACCCGTGTGGTCAGTGAGTTAAGGTGTCTGCTCCCCAGGAGGGACTGACCACCTGGTCAGGGACCAGGTCAGTGAGATCACAGTGGCCGGAGGTGGGGTCCCTGGGAGGGAGGGGCCAGCCCCGAGTCCCCACTGCCCACCTCTCCATTCGAATGGCTTCCGTCCGCCGCAGCTTTTCCTCCCAGGTCTCGTTGAGCTCGGCTATGATCTTCTCCGTCTCCTGTGGGGACACACAGAGCAGAGAGAGGTCAGGGGCCGGGCCGGTCTGCAGGGCACCAAGTCCCCAGTGCCCAGTGCACCCTGGCAGCACGATGCAAGAAGGATCCACGGCTGAGCAGTTAGTGTGTGCTCAAAACCACGTGCTTTTTAGCCCTGGCTGGTGTGGCTCAGTGGATTGAGTGCCGGCCTGAGAACCAAAGAGTTGCTGGTCCAGTTCCCAGTCGGAACACATGCCTGGGTTGCAGGCCAGGTCCCTGGCAGGGGTGCATGAGGGGCAACCACACATCAATGTTTCTCTCCATCTCTTTCTCCCTCTATTCCCCTCTCTCTAAAAATAAAACTGTGTGTTTTCCTGTGGACACCCCCAGAGAACAGAGGAAAAGGCAGAGTAGCCCAGGAGAGAGAGAGGCCCAGGCTGGTTCTGATGCACAGATGCCCGTCAACATTTCCTGCTTGCTTCCAGCCCCTCACCCGGGGCGGGGGGATGCGGTGCACCCCAGGTGGGCCCTGTGCTCCAGATCCCCCATACCAGTCTTGAGTCTGGCCTCCGTGACTTTGAACCCTAACCCTGACTTCTGTTTCCAAGATCTAAGCTTACTCTCCACCCCAGGAAAACAGGATGGAAAACCTAAAACCAGCCTGGCCCATCGCTGGGGGTCAGGGAGTGAGTGCAGGCACAAGGGGGCCAGAGGAAAATGTTCACAAGCACAGAACACCTGGGAGGGGGCACAGAGCTCCTAGGACCCCCCTCCCTTGCCAGCAAGTAGGGGCCGTGTGGTTCTGGGCGGAGAGCGGAGAAACACGGAGGGGACCCCGGGGGCACCACCTGCAGGACTCACGGCACCTCCGACCAACCCTACTCCTGCCGTTACAAGAGGGCTTGGCCTAGGCCCAGAGCAGGGCAGCCTGGGGAGGCGAGACCCCACGCCCAGGGCTCCAAGCCCACCCCGTTCTCAGGGCCCGCTGCCCCGCCCCGCCCTCACCTTCAGCCTCTCGATGGCCTCCTCGCTGCCCGGGGCAAACAACAGGCGCTCGTGCAGGCTGGACACAGAGGCCGCGCGGCTGGACAGGGCCGAGAGTGAGGATGAGGGGCTCATGCCCACCAGCGCGTTGGTCACTGTGGAGAGATTGTCAGGGGCTCGACTCAGCTCCGCCCAGCCGCGGTTACAGTTATTGTTGTCCAGGTCGGACAGGTCTACGGGAGGGGCGGGGGCAGACAGGTGGGAGGGAGAGAAAAGAGACACGAGTTGGGAGACTGCAAGAGGCAGGCGAAGGCAGAAAGCAGGAGCCGCCAGTGGGCACAGCTGACAGGCGCCGGGCAGCGCATGCAAGGCCACCTGCCGCCCGAGCGATGGGCCCGGCCCCCAGGCCCACTGCCCTCGGCAGCACGTGGTCACCAGCCAGCGGCCCTCAGCACCCCTTGCTGCACCCCCTTGGCCGCAGGCCTCTTTGCTTCCCCTGCACCTGCAGGCCGAGCTCCGTGTGACCCAGGATGCCCTGCAGCCTCTGCCCTGAAGCTCCGCCAGCTCCGTGAGGCTCCCACCCGCTGCCCTGCTTGCTACTCTTCACCGGCAGGTGCGCCCCAGGGCCAACGCTCATGTGCCTCCTCTTTGTTGTGGGCGCCCACCCCGTCCCCACCCCTTGCCCAGCCCAGAATGCATCTGGCAGAGTGAGGCTTTGCCGTCCACTCCAAAGAGTCCCCTGGAGGACAGGGGAACTGTGGGGCTCTTCGGGAAGCCCCTACTCCACCCCGAGAGGCTGCACTGCACTTGGGCTTCCTGGCTCTGGGGACCCAGGGCCCCCAAAGGCCTGGCTAGGGGTTGGGACTGTGATACCCCTCCTGGCAGAAGCAGAAGCAGACACAGAGCAGAGCCAAGCACATGGGACAGCGTGGGGCACCAGGGAAGCCGAGGGCGGCCTCCCTCCTCCCCCACCCCTGGGGTCGGGAGGCACTGAACTGCGCCCCTTGCCCAGGGAGCCCAGCCCAAGGCCGGCAGGGGTCACAGGCTGGGAGGATCTGGCAGCAGTCAGACCCCTGGCATTCTCGGGGCAGGGGAAGGGGCCTTGAGGTGTGTGGGGCCAGAGGGAGGCCAGAGCCAGGGTCAAACGTGCCCTCTGGCACTGACACTGGGCACCTGCCAGGCCTCGGGGAGCACATGGTAGTCTGAGAGCCTGAGCTCAGCCACTTTCCGCCTGAGGAGGCCTTGGCTGCCCCTTGCCTCCCTGTGCCTCAGTTTCCCATATAGACAGGGGACTGGACCCCAAATCTACTAGGACAGGAGGGTGCCTGTGACTGAGGCCTGCTGGCCCAGCCCCTAAAGAGGGGGTGGGCAGGCCCCGCCCTGCCGACCCTAGGTCACGCCCCCCCCCCACACCGGGCGGCCCCACACCCCCGAGGGCAGGCGGGCGAAGCGGGGAAGCGCAGGGAGCAGCACGGGGATACACACATTTGGGTCCTCCGGGCACAGTGTTGGCTGGGTGGGGGGCGTGGGGGAGGGAGGAGAGACAGAGAAACAGAAGAACAGTTTGTCTCTGGAGGGTCGCAGGCCGGGCGTCGGGCAGGTGGCCGTGGTCTTCGGTGGGGACACAGGGGCCCCGGCACCCGTGGTGTGCCGACACGGCTTCCGGGGAACCATCTCTGGCCTGACTGGGCCAGCACCGAACCCGAACCATGCAGCCCTTCCAGGCTGGGGCCGGAACCGCGGCCTCCCACCCAGGGAGCCCCGACCCACCTCGGCCCAGGGGATGGCCCCAGGACGAAGCCTGGCTGGCCCAGGAGGCCCCTGGGGACCCGCAGCCCGCCTGCCCTGCCTGGGCCTGGCACACGCAGACACTTACTGTCGGTGATGTCCCCGAGACCCTGGGCGTACAGCAGGTCCCGCAGCCGGGTCACCTCGTCCTTCAGCTCTCGGATCAGCTTGTTGTTGGGGTCCTCGTTGATGACGGCGTTGCAGCGGATCTGCTTAGCCCGGTCCGCATACCTGGGCAGCAAAGGGATCTGTGGGCTGGGCTGTGCCGGCAGGCCCACAGGGTCTCCCTCGGGGAGTCGCTGGCCAGGGACCCCCAGGTAAGGTCACCCTGCCCCAGCTGGCCCACTTGGGGAAACCTAGGCCCCCGGAGGAGAAAGGACAGGCGGCACCTCTTCCCCGAGGAGAGGCCTTGGCACATGGGCCATCGTCCCAGGGTGGAAGGACCCAGGGGGAGGTGGGAGAGTGCCCCTGGGTACGCATGTCGGAGCCCGTGCTGCGTACAGCACGTGCACGTGTGGGTGCAGATGGCAGCACGTCCCTGTGTGGGGACTGGTGTCCTCTTTCTCTTTTCTACTGCTGGTGCTCAGTCACGGGGGGCCAGAGACACGGACCAGGCTTCCGGGCAGCCGCTGGCAAGGTGGGGACCCGGGCTCCCCCTCAAGGACACCCCCCAGCCTCCGGAGGGACCTTTACAGACACAGCTTCGCCCCTCTGCTACTTAAAGACCCCAGGTGGCTCCGGTGGCCAGAAGGGGTGCAAGCCTCCCAGCCCACCAACACAGCTCTCCCAGCCTCGTGCCATGGGGACCCCGGGCCCCTCGGAGCCCGCAGTGCACCCCAGGGGGTGGTGGGAATGGAACGGGTCCCCTGAAGGCCCAGGCACCCCTGGCGGCCACTGGAGCCGCTAGGAGTCGCAGGCGAAACGGCCTCCCCCGCAGGCCCCCCCCCGCCCCCCCCCCTCCGAGCCTGTGGCCCCGCCTCCCTCGAGAACGCACCTCAGCGTGCTCAGGGTCTCGTCGTAGTTGATGTCTGCGGGGCTCAGGGCCGCCACCATGGCCGTCCTCGAGTTCCCGCCTGCGGGGAGAACGGGCCGTGCAGAGGAGGCCAGCCTGCTGCCCTGCTGCCACGTTCTCCCCGCTCCGTGACCCCCCCCGCCCCCGCATTTGCAGCCGGAGAGGCGGAGGCCCAGAGAGGTAAACCGAGTCATGGGCCAACGGGGGGTGGGGGGGACGACACAGGAGCACCAGAGACCCCCAGTTCTCCACGTTCGTTAGGCCAGCGGGGGACTCGGTTCACCGCCCTGGGCATCACACGGAGCTGGGGGGACCCCCGAGGTCACATTTGGGTGGGGGGCACTCCAGCCTCCGCCCCCCGCCTGCCTCTCACTGGCCCAGAACGCAGGCTGCGAGAAGGGGGGGGCTCTGGGGCAGCCTCCCGACCCTCGGCCAGCAGGCAGGCAGGCGGGGCTCCCCAGAGAGTCCCGGGTCCCTGTTACAGACGGGGAAACCGAGGCCCAGGGCGAAGTGCTTGGGCGGGGCGCCACAGACCTGGGCCGGGAGCACCAGCAGGGGCCGGGGGGGGTGTCCCTTGGCCCCGCGGGCCGTCCCAGTCCCCGACACCCGCTGTCGTTAACCTTTCTGGGGCCACTGTCCTGGGCCCCCCCCCACGGAAAGACCCCCCAGGTTCGCCCCGGCCCTGGCCCAGGAAGGGGGGCGGGCCGCCGCGTCCAGGCGGGGGGGGGGAGGCGGGGAGCCAGAGCCCCCGGCGGGCAGGGCGAGCCCCGGGTCCTCACCCAGGTTCTCGCGGAGCAGCCAGGTCAGCACCGAGTCCCTGTAGGGGATGAAGTCCGTCTTCTTCTTCTTCTTGTTCTGCGCGGGGGGGGGGGGGGCGAGCACCCAGGGTCAGCCCGACCTGAGCGGCGCGGGAGGGCAGGCCCGGGGCCGGCGGGCGGGGGTCCCCCCGCCAAGGACGCGGGGCGGGGGGCGCGGCAGGGCTGCGGGTCCGGGCCGCAGAGCCAGACTCGGAGCCGCTGGGCGCTGCCCGCGTCACCGGCCGGAGCCCGGCCCTCCACGCTGCCAGGGGCACACGCCCGAGCCCGCCGGGCGCCCCCTCAGACGCCGGCAGCGGCTCCCCCGGCTCCACGGGAAAGGCCCGCGGCTGAGCGGGGCGTCCCAGGGCCCCGCCGGCGCCCGCCGGCTCCCGTCAGGCTTCCAGCCCCCGCCCTCCGGGGCCAGCGCGCCCGTCCCCCCCCACCCCGCGCCCTCCGCGAGGCCCGAGCGCCCCCTGGTCGGCGCCCGCTCCGCTCGGCGGCCCCGCGTGCCTCTCGTCGGGCGAATCCACTCGAAATACGGGCCGCGGCCCCCGCACTGGACCGCCGCGGCTGACCCACGCCGCCGCCACGCGGCATGAACACTCAGCCACTCCCCGGCGCCCGCTCCCTCACGCGCGTGGGGCCTCGGGCAGGACGCGGCCCTGGCCCGGACCCCTCCCGGGGACGCGCCGACAGGCGCCACCGCCGGCGGGTGCCGCTCCGCTCGGGCCCACGCGCGCGCCACCGCGGGTTGGGATGGCCCTCAGGGGCTTCACTGGCCCTCGGGGGCGGGACTGGTGAGCGCCCCCGGGACGCGCCGCCCGCCCGCCCGCCCGCGTGGGGTTGAGAGACGCCGGCCGGCCCCTGTGCGTGGGTGTGAGGGTCCGCGCCACCGGCCCGGGGGACACTTCCTCCCCTTCGGAAACGGGTGGGTGACGAACTCTATTTCTACTTTTAAAGAGAATTTCATTACTGAGGCTGCCTGTCTGCCACGTTTGTCCTGTCTCCACGGTACACGCCCGGCCATCCCTCAGCTCCCTCAGCTCCCTCAGCTCCCTCTGCGCGGAGCCGCGGAGCCGCCTTCGGCCCCGCCCCCGCCCGCAGGCCCCGCCCCGCCCGCAGGCCCCGCCCCTCTGGCTGCGGCCCCGCCCCCCTCCACCGCCTCAGCCCGCACGTCGCCCGCACCCACCGCCCGCCGCGCGGGCCCTCTGGGGGCCCGGCCGAGACCGCGCCAGGGGGCGAGCCCTGCCGAGCGCCCGCCGCCGCTCCCCACTACACCGAGGTCAGCCAGTCCCGGGCGGCGGGCTCGGCGCCTCAGCTCCGGTCCCGTGTTCCCCGCCGCACAGGCCGTCCTCCGCCCGCTCCTCACTCGGAGCCTCCTCACGCGGCTCCCGAGCCGGGTTCCGTCACAGCCCACGGGTCGCACCGCGCCTCCCGGTCCCTCACAGCCGCTCTGACTCCCTCCGCTCCCCACGCGGGCCCCGCACGACCCCTGCAAACCCTCCCGGTCCCGCCAGTGCTCCAGAGGGTCCCGCCACAGCCCCGCACGGCCTCCCACGCGGCCGTCACACGGTCCCCGCGCAGTTCCCACCACGGCGCCTCCTCTCACGGTTCCTCCGGCGGCTCTTCACACCGCGGCGCCCGCGCCCTCACTCACGTCCCTCACCCGCGGTCACCGCTCCACACACGGAACCCCCCCCACTGCCCACCGCTCCCGGCACGGCCCCCCTGCAGCCCCCACCCCCGACCCGCGTCCCCGCAGACCCCGGTTCCCCCACACGGCCCCCCCGCCAGTCCCACAGAGTTCCTCACGAGCCACCCCGGGCGGCCTCGCGCCGCCCCCCGCGGCTCCCGAGTCCCCCCTCCGCCCCCCACAGTTCCGCACACGCGTCTCCGCGCGACTGCGGCTCCTCACAAGCCGCCACGCGGCTCCACCCACAAGCCCACACACGGCGCCTCACACAGCGCGTGCCCCCCGGCTCCTCTCAGGCCCGGCCCCGCCCCTCAGCCGGCCCCGCGCAGCCCCCCCGCGCTCGGCCCACGCAGCTCGCTGGGTCCCTCACAGGAGCGCTCACGCCGGCACTCACTCGGCCCCCCGCACCGCCCGCACCGCCCCGCGTTCAGTCCCCGCGTTCAGTCCCCGCGGGGCCCCGGCTGTGCGCACACAGCTCCACACCTGCGGCCCCTCACGCCCCCCACGGCCCTCCGCGCCGGCCCTCACGTGCCCGCGGGCGGGTTTCTCCTCAGACCCTCTCCGCTCCGGACACAGCCCCTCACGCGGTTCTCCAGAGCCCACTCACCCCGGTTCTCACACTGTCCCCGCCACCTCACACGCTTCCTCCCGCAGCCCCGCAGCGTCCTTCGGGCCCCTCACACCGTGTCCCTCACGCGGTTCCTCACCGTTTCCGTCCTGGTTCCACCCGGTCTCCCCGCCTCGCTCCCGCGCACTCGTCCCCACGCAGCCAGCCCCTCACACCGTGTCCCTCACGCGGCCTTCCCCAGTTGCCCTCACACAGTCCCGTCCGGCTCCCCCGAGGAGCCCCGCGCCCGCCCCCCGCCGTCTCCCACGCTCCCCCGGGCAGGCCCCCACGCGGCGCCCCGCCCCGCCCCCGGCCCCGCGGCCGCGCGGACTAGAGGCGCCCCACTCCCGGTCTCCGTCACAGCCCGCGTTCCCTGCACAGCAGTCACCCCGGCTCGTGGGCTCCGCGTCCACCGTCCCGCCCGCACCGCGCGCCCCCAGGGCCGCTCCGGGCCGGGCCCGCGTGCTCGCCGGCGGAGGGCGCGGACGCAGGGCGCGGACGGAGGGGCCCCGCCGGGGCGGACGCCGCCTGGCCCGGCGCGGAAGCGGCCGCTCACCTTGTTGGGCCCGGAGTCCTGCAAGAGAACAGGCGGAAGGGGCGTGAGGACCCGCGGCCGCGGGGCCGGCCCGAGCCCCGCCCGGCGTCCGGCCCCCGCCGCCCCGCCGCCGCCCGCCAGCGCCCCCAGCACCGGCGCCCGAGGCGGCGGGCTCTCCTGGGACGGGGCGCCCCCTGGCCGGAGGCGGGGTGACCCCCTGAGCGCACGCCCCCGCCCCCGCCCCCGCGCGGGCGCTGCTTCCTCCGGGAAGGCGGCCGGGGTTGCCCTCCCAGGACGGACGCCCGCCCTGGCTCCCGCCGACCCTCCGGAGGGCCGGGAGCAGCAGGACGGGCTGCCCGAGGGCGGCAGCACCGGGGGCGGCTCCGCGGTCCAGCCCACCCGCCCAGCTCCAGGAGCGCGAAGCCGGCTCACCATTTCGGCCAGGGCGGAGATGACCTTCCCCAGCGTGGTCAGGGACTTGTTGATGTTGGCTCCCTCCTGCGGGCGGGGGAGACCGCGGGGGCGTTAGGGACCCCCGGGGCCTGGCCCACGGGGCTCTTGGGGCACAGGAGTCCCCCACAGGAGGCCCGGCCGAGGCCAGCGGGCAGCACGGTTTGCGCGGCTCCTGCTCCTGCTCCCCAGAACCCTCGCAACACCCCCCTCGGCCCTGCCGGCCGCAGTCTCAGCGGCGGGACCAGGAGGGGACCCGGGAGGATAAAGACTCTCCTCCCGGCCCCCGAGACTGCTCGGCCAGACCGGGCCCCCCAGGACGGCCCCCCCAGGACGGCCCCCAGCCCCCCTCCCAGCGCGGAAGCTCAGGCACCGGCGGAGAGGTGCTCCGGGCCGCGGAGGCCCGGCCTTCCTGCCGGGGTGGCCTGCTGCTGCTGGCCTCTCAGCCGTGCCCCCCCCCCCCCACCCGGCGCTCACCCTTGGGGGCGGCCCCACATCCCGCGCCAGCCCCAGGAGGAGCCCCCCGGCCGGGCCCACCCCGGAACAAGCCCGGACCAAAGACGTGGCTCCGCCTGTGCGTCCAGGTGCGGGGGGCCCACCGCTCCCCGCGGGCCCGGCGCTGGGGCCCTACCTTGAGACGCGTGCCCTTCGCGCCCGTGGAGTCGGCCCGCTCGCTCCCGGCCAGGTCCACCAGGCTGATTTTGCTCACCTGCAACGGCAAACGTGTCAACGGCAAACGTGTCAACGGCAGGGGACGCCGCGCGGCCGCCACGAGGCCCCCCGCCTCCTCCGGGCACCGCCGACAGGGCCCACCTGCGGAGCCCGGCCGACCCCTCCCTGGGGGCAGACGCCTCTGACCCTGCCTTCCCTCCGCACCCCTGCTCGCAGCTCTCCCGACACGCTGCCCGCGGTGCGACGCCCCCTCCCCTAGGGGGCTGCAGGCCCCCCGGCCCCGGGCACTCGGCGCTGCGGCCGCACTGTTCTCTGCACCCTGGACGCTCTTCGCGTGCTCGTGCACCGGCTCCACACAGCGCCCGTGAGGAGCGGCCTCTTGCCATCACCCATCTGCACGGACAGGCACATCATCTGTGCTGGGGTTGGGGCCCGGTTCCGGTGCCCCGGCCACGGCTCAGCTGCCTCGTGCGCCGGGCGGCGGCCCCAGTGAACATGACCGTGGCCTGGGGTGGGCGGCCACGGCCTTCCTGAGCCAGGGCCCCTGTGGGCATCTTGCCCGTGTGTCAACAGGCGTGGACATCAGTGGGGCCCTCTGGACGCCCTGAGCCTGCAGGGACAGGAGGGACGGGTCCCTGGCCCCACTGGGCCATCAAGGGCCTCCAGCAGGATGGTGCCAGGCCGAGGTGACCCCAGCACCACCAGGACTAAGTGGCGCTTTCGTCCCCAGCCCTTCTGAGGATGCCATAGTGCTGCCGGAGAGGACCAGCCCTCCAGGACGTGTCTGGGGTGCCCTGGGCAAAGGCCCGGACGTGGGGCAGGGACAGGGCACAGCCAGAGAAGACCCGACGCCATAGGTCAGAGCTGCTGGGGGACACGGACAGGCTTGGCGCCAGCCCTGCCGCCTCTTCCCGGGGCCCACAGACTGCGTGTCCCATAAGAGCCCCAGCAGAGGACACCGCGGCCCGGGGCCACGGCAGACACTGCGGTGCGTGGGAGGGGCACCCGGGCTGGGAGCCGGGGCAGGACCGCTCAGCACAGCCCCTGCTTTGTGCTTGCAGAGGCCAGGGCCCCCGGCCACCTCCGAGACGGGCATTCACTCCGGCTGAGACTGCCCGGCCTTCACTGCTGTCCCGCAAGGGCCCCCGGGGCATGCCGGGCCTGTGGGTCATGCTGGGATGGAGCCCTCGGCACATCCCTTCTCAGCCTTTCAGTCTCCACCAAAACCACCTCGGAGGAGGGTCCCATGGGCCCTCCACTCCCAGTCCCTCCCACACCCAGGTGGCGTCGAAGGCCTGGATGCGGTGGCCTCGCGGGCCTGCCCAGCCCCTCGCCGAGGCTCACGCCGGGCCGGGGGCGGTCAGTGCCAGGCGCCCAGGGCAAGGAAGCTGCCCCTGCCTCAAGGCCGGTGTGTGGCTTCGCCTCCGCACCCTGCCTGACCGGCCTGACGCTCCCCCTGCCCGAGGTGCCCCCCACGCCTGCCGAGGCCCCGCTCACTTTCTCTGTGGTGATGTCAGTCTCCGCATCGTGGCGCTTCTGGGTGAAGATGATGTTGAAGACGGCGTGGGAGCGGCTGCTGGTCTCGTTCATGTTCGTGGCCGCCACGGTCCTGCGGGAACAGAAGCCACCGTGGTCAGATGCGAGGGACACTGGTGGAGCTGCCCTGTCGGGCCAGGTCTCGGGGTGTCAGAGCCCCCAGGCTCTCGGGGCTGCCCTGCAGGTGGGCGTCGTGCCTCCTGTCGGCGGGGCAGGGCCCACACCCGCCCGTCCACCACACCCGTCGCGGGGCCCTGGGCTCCCAACTCCAGCCTGCACTCAGGGTGCTGCGACTGGGGGTACAGAGTAGGGGCACAGGAAGGGGCACTGCTGCCATGGTGACCAGGGCAGACCCTCCCGGGCAGGGAGGCCCAGGACAGTGAAGCCCAGTGAGACCTACTGCCATGGCCAGCACTGCCTGTGGCTGACCCTGCCCCCAGGCTCCTGCCCCGTCCACGGGGCCATTTACCCTCAGAGCAGGCGGGGCCGGACCTCAGTCTCCTCATCACTGGGCCCAGCAGGGCAGCTGCCCGTGGGACCACGACCAGGAGGGGCGGCCCCTGTGTAGGTGACGGTGTCCCCCTGTATGGGGGGTGTGTGGCAGCTCCCTCTCAGGGCGGCAGGGGTCCCGAATGGCCTCAGGCCCCAGAGGCCCACGCCTCCACGGGGCCACCTGACGGGGCGCACAGGGGGACAACAGGTGCCCCGGGGACCAGGCCTCCTTGCACAGACTGACAGCCGCGGGCCTGGTGGGGGTCGGGGGGCGAGCCAGCCCGCACACACCTGGCCTTGTTCCCTGAGTCCATGAGGTCCTGGATGTCATTGTAGGAGGTGACCGCCAGCTTGGAGAGGTCCTCCACGTAGGGCCCCAGCAGCGGATGCTCCCTCACCCGCAGGTTGCCCTTGTTCTTGGGGTTCAGGAGGTCGCGGACGCGCTCACAGTATATCTCCATGTAGCTGACCTGCAGGGCAGAGACACGCTGTCGGGGACCCCCAGGAGAGGAGGCGTGGGGGCCATCCTCAGAAACCCCGAGATGGGCGCAGGGGTGGTCGCCAGGGGCTCCTGAGGAGGGGTGTCCTGGCACATGTGGGGTCACCCTCCAGAACCCCTGACGGGGGTGTAGGGACCACCATCAAGGGCTCGAGGTGGGGAGTGTGGATGCCGCCCGCTGGGTAGGGGGAGGTGTGCAAAGGACTCAAGCCCCTGTGAGTGTGGGAGTTGGGGGTGTCAGCCCATGCCCCCCCCCCGCCTGGCCCTCCCCCACCCACGGCCATCCTGGGGCCCGCTCCAGTGCAGTCACCCTCTGCGCCCTGCATGCCCCCGTGCCCTGAGTGGGTGTGGTGGCGTGGTTGCCCCGTGCCCTGAGTGACCAGCTAAGGGCACAGACTGGTGGCAGGGACGCGATTCACGTCAGAGGAGAATTGCCGTCCGAGCCTGCCACCCCCAGCCACGCCCTGAGCACGGGACGCTGGCGGGAGCCCTACCTCCACGGAGTAGGACATGTTGTCGTTGGTTGTGTCATTGATGCGGGAGAACAGGTCCTCACAAAGCTGCAGGGACCAGAGACACAAGGTCAGATGACAAAGGCCTCGCCCCTCAGGCGCCAGGGGTCGCCCGTGCCCTGGCTAGACGCTGCTCTCCTGGTTTCTCCCACAGTCTCAGGGTTCATCTTAAAGGCACCGAGGCACCTGCAGCCCAGCAGCTGCCTTCTGCTGCTCCCCTCAGCGGTCCCCGCGCTGACACCTGACACTCTCCCACGCATCACCTGCCCACACCGGACCGCTCCATCCCCGTCCTTGTCTGCCCAGGGTGCGGGTTCTGCCACCCTGCAGACCAGCCGGCCCTCTCCACTGGCGTGGCATGGGCCAGTGTGGCTCCGGAGACCCACCGGGGCGGGCCGGGGCAGGGGCCAGGGGCCCAGCAGTGTCTGAGGTGTCCGTGTCTCAGCCTCCCGATAACTGGGCATCCCTTCCTGCCCAGACCACCAGTCCCCGCAGCCCCCAGATGAGGGTCCCTCCACCGGCAGTCCCCCAGCTGCCCCAGGCCGCCCCCACTGCCCTGGGCGTCCTGCCCGCCCTGAGCCCTCCCACCCGCCGCCCGGCCCCTCCCGGGCCGGCGTGCCTGCGGGATGATGCCCTGCTGGTCCTTCTCCTGCTTGCCCATCATGGTGTAGGACTTGCCGGCCCCTGTCTGGCCGTAGGCGAAGATGCAGACGTTGTAGCCCTCGAAGGCATGCTGCAGCATCTCCTCGCCGATGTCCCGGTACACCTGCTTCTGAGACGCGTAGTTGACGTCCTCAGGCTGTGGGGCGAGAGGGGCTGTAGCTGCAGGAGGCGGGCGCGCCGAGTGCTCAGCCCACCCCGTGTCCCTAGGACCCACGCCCCGTCCGGGGCCTCTGAGGCACCACGGCCAGCCCTGGCGGAGGGGTGCCCGGGTGCCACCCGCGCCAGGGGAAGGGACACGGTCCCTGAGGGAGGGTCGGGAGGAGCCAGCCAGGCCGCGGCAGCTGGAGCGACAGGGACCAGCGTGTGCAAAGGCCCAGGGCCCTAACGTGCGGTGCGGTGCAGACGGCGAGGCTCAGTGTGGCGGCCGTGGGTCAGCCCTGGGGCCCAGGGCCCAGCCGTGGGCCTGGCCATTGTGTCTGGACGCTGTCCTGACAAGGGGAGGAGGAGGAGGTGGGGCTGGACGTGCAGGTGGGATGGGGGCTCTGGTGCTGTCCTGGGGGCCAGACAGGCGGAGAGGTGGCCTACACTGGGTGTTGGCACTGGGGCCATGGGACCTGGCGCCTTCTAGAAGGATTCGAATGGTGGGGGATGGGTAGGGTTGGGTGTGGACTGCAGAGGGAGTGGGAGGGGGCGGGTTCCCCAGGATCCCTGGGGAAGTGCAGGTTGAGGTGTGCTGCGCACCACGCCAGGTGGGCCAGGCTCAGCTGTGGACGTGGGAGTGGGGTAAGTGCAGGGCACCGGGACACTGGTGGGAGATGGATGCACGGCTTGCACTCTGGGGGCATGCCCACAGGGAGCTGACGGCACCTTGGCCCCCATCTCAGCCGGGACGCTGCGTGTCACCACGGCTCAGGGCAGCCTTCCATGCACAGTAAGACAGGAAACCAGGTCCCTCCTTGTGAGCCTCACACCTGCCCCCTCCCTGCCACCCACCGGGCCCTGCAGCAGGGAAGGGTGGGCATCGCCTCACTTAGAGGGGCCGAGAGACCGGGCAAGGGCCCCCCGGGGGGGGGCTGCTGAGTGGTGTCCACACGGCCTCGTCCCACCGCCCCTGGGCCCCGCCTGGCTTACCGAGGTGTGCGACCAGTAGGAGTAGTCGAAGCTGAAGCTCTTGGGTGTCTCCTTGGGCTGTTTGGGGTTGACGATGGCTGTGGGGAGGGGACAGGAGCAGTGGTTGGCGGGGTGCTGCGTCCACACCGTGTGCCCAGACACGCTGGCCGTCCCCTCACAGGGACACAACTTACTCCCCGCCCCCCAGGAGTGCCCCAGCAGGTGCCTTCCCGGTGTGCACCCTCGGGCTCCAAGCACTGTCCCCGCACAGGCCCCGGCCCCGCTCCTCAGAGGCAGTGCTCACGGGCCACCAGCATCGGCTCAGCAAAAGAGGAAGGACACCACAAACCCAAGACGATGCCGTCACCCACCACCTGCGCCTCCTGGGTGTCCCCGGAGAGCTCTGGTGCTGCCCAGTCTAACGCTCGGCACCCAGCGGCAGGAGGGACCTCGGCCCCAGGCCTTGTCTGGCCACCCTGCCCGCTGTCCACTGTCTGACCCTGCAATGTCCCTCTTGGCAGAGACCCTTAGGCCCCCCAGCCCCACCCCCCACACTGCAGGCACATTCCGTTTGGGCTTTCACATCCGCCGGGAACTCAGACAAAGCCCGGTCAGCCATGGCTCCAGGACACCCGGGAGGCCATCCCCACCCCATCACCCGTCTGAGGAAGCAGCCCTCCCTCACCGCCCCCATATTTGGGGGTGCAGGCCACGTGCCCAGCCCTCAGCTGAGGTTCCTCGGGGGGGCGGGCCGGGGGCTTCGCTTCCCTGGGTGCAGCGCGGCCTTCAGGACCCCACACGCCTGCCCCCACCAGGCGAGCTGTCACCAGCACCAAGAGAGCCAGACCCTCGAGATCTCCATGCGGAAGCCCCAACCCAGGACCTCGGAAGGTGCCCTTAACTGGACATGGGGCCCTGGCACATGTGACCGGTCAGACGAGGCCACCCTGGAGTCAGACGGGCCCTAGTCCAACACACCTGAGTCCTCATGAAAGGGGACCTTTGGCACAGACGTGCACACAGGGGGGAGGCATCAATAAGCCGGGGGACACCCGGGACGGCCACAGCCTCCAGGGGCCGCAGAGCCAGGGAGTGGGTCCTCCTGCAGGCCCCAGGGAGAGTCCACCCGCCCGAGCACGCCCACCCAGCCTCCAGACGGGCCATCCACGCCGCCCGTGCGGTGCTTCGTGCGGCAGCCCTGGGAGGCCAGCACCTCCCGACCCTCCTGCAGCCGCCCGGCCCCAGCCTCCCAGGCAGGCAGGCCCCAGGGCCACCAGCGCTGGCTGAGCACCCAGTTCCCAGCACAGGTGCCCACCGAAGCCCCGTCCCCAGGGCCGGCCTGGCTCTGGGCTTCGGACTGCTGGCTTGAGGCCCCCTGGGATACGACCCAGCGCCCTTGGGAGGCCACAGGAAGGAACAGGTGGCTGACCATCGCATCCCTATCTTCGGAGCTGAGAGGGGCCACGGCCACACGGACTCCGGGAGCGAGGCCAGAGGGAGAGAGCTGCCAGGTCCTGCTGGGGCCTGGGGACGCGCCCACCGCAGCCCCCGTGCAGATCCCGCCGGCGCCATGGAAACAACAACTGCGGGCCCCTGACACAGGCAGCTGGGCCGGGCCTCCACCAGCCCTGCCAGCGAGGGGCCGGGTGCCCTGGCTCGCCCCACAACGCCCACCTCCGCGACCTCACCTCCTCACCTCCCTGCCTGCGGGCGGGCCCCAGGGCAGGCCTGGCCCCGCCCTGCTCCCCGCCACGGGCGGCCCCCGACACAGGCTCTCTGAGCCGGCGGGGCCCCCGTCTCCTCTCCGCACCCCCGCAGCCCGCTCTTCTCGTCCACGGGACACCGGACCTGCCCCGGGCGCTGGCCTTGTTCCGACAGGGCCGTGGCGCTGGGCTCTCTCCCGTACGCCACACGGGGGCCGTGAGCTCCCCGAGGCGGGAGCCCTCACAGGGACGGGGCCCAGGTGTGCGCAAGGGACTCTGCACAGGTCGGGCGGGGACGGCCTCGAGGACCGCCTGCCCTGGGGCCCCCAGAGCCGAGCTGCTCTGGCCCTCAGGAGAGTATTCCCACCACGTGTGCGAGTGCTCGTGTGAGAGAGAGACACAGAGACAGCGGCCACTGCCCCAAACCCGCGGACTCGGGGGCGGCCCAGCTGAACGGAGACCGGAGCCTGAGCAGGGCTCCGGGGCAGAGCTGGCTCAAGCCTGGTCACCCGCCCGCCTGCTCCGGAGACGCCCCTCCCGCCTGCCCTGCAGATCTCTCCCGTGGACCCAGCTCGGCTCACTTGCCCCACGCGCCTCAGCCCGTTCCCCGCCCGTCACAGCACCCTGGCGGGACGTCAGCCCCGAGCACAGTCAGCGCCAGAGCGGAGCCCGGCCCGAGGCCATGCCCAGCAAGGGCTGGCTGGTGACGCCAAGGGGCCCCACGGCCACCTCCCCCTGCCTGCGCAGCACAGGTGACGGCCGGACCTCACGGAGCCCCGGTGTCCCCACCTCTGCGGTGGGAGCCGTCCTCATCCCAGGGGGATGGACCACAGGGGCGGCAGGCGGGGTCACCGCCACGACCTCTCCAGCACACGGCCCCTCTCGACCCTCACAGGTCGGCCTCCGGGGGCGAGGGCAGCTCCAATCTACCCCAGTGGAGCCGTCGGGGAGCGCCAAGGGGCAGCAGGCCCCGCGTGCTTGGCGGAGCGCCGCCCAGGGTGCCGCTGGCCTCCCGACCGCTCCTCCGATAAAACGGCCTCGGCCACGGCCACCCTCCCGCCTGGGCTCTTCCGTGCCCAGTGTCACTCCATTTGGAGCCTAGAACATTCTAGAACAGTGATGGCAAATGAGGCCTGACTTCTCAGATGAGTTAGGCCTCGGGGCTGCCTGGGGCTGCCCGCAGATGCCTGTGTGGGCGGAGAAGGGGCCCCTGCTCTCGGCGCGGGTGCGGCTCAGGCCGTGAGCTCTGCCCCGTGTCTGCACGCAGCAGCCGTCCACCGCCCACGTGTGTGACAGGAAGAGCCGCGGGGGCTCTGGGAGGGCACCCGCTCTTCCCCTCCAGCAGCCTCCAGCAGCCCTAAAGTGCACGCCCCCCGGGACCTCACACCGTGACCCTGTTTGGAAACAGGGCCTTTGCAGCTTGGCCAGGTGTGGAGGTGCAGTCACACCGGAGTGGGCCGGGCTCTGGACCCAGTGGTCGGTGTCCCCAGAAGAGGCCTCGTGACGGCAGACGCACTGGGCCTGCCCCCTTGATCTCAGACTCGGGCCTTCCGCACAGCAGAGACCACATGCCTGTTGTTTTGCGGCACACGGTCTGCGGTCGTCTGTAAGTGGTGCGCACCGGAAAACCCGCCCGGCGCGTGGACGAGGAGGGAGCCGGGGCCGGACCCGGAGGCAGGACCCCGCCCGCGTGTCAGCCCCGCCGGCAGCCCGCCCGCCCGTCCGCCGCGGTCTGTACTCACTGGTGGTGCTCCCGGACATCTGGATGATGCACTTGGAGTCGCGGCTCATCTCCCGGGAGTTGAAGGGGCGGACGCGCACCGCCACCTTCACCGAGGCCCCAGCCATCTCGGCAGCCTCTGAGGGTCGCTCCTGCGGGTGGGCGCGAGCCCCGGCGGGCGTGGGAGACCCCTTGGGGAAAAGGGAGACGTGAATCAGAAGGGGCGTTTGAGAAGGCAGAACAGGTGCTTCTGGCTGGCGGCTGAACCCAGTCCCGTCCAGATCCTCACCGCCGACACCACACCCACCGCGCCAGGGCCCAGCCCACAGAGCAGGGCCGGAGGGCGGCTGCAGGCAGGAAACCGCACAGGTTTTAGGGAGAAAGCCGATGGGAGGAGCGGAGCCTGGGGACCCGGAGCCTAACCAGGAACCGCCACCCCGCTGCAGGGAGCAGACAGACTCCGGGCTCCTGGGAAGGCCGGCGTCCGGGCGGGACCGACGGCGCGTGTTTGGGGAGGTCACCGGCAGGTGCGGGAGACCCTGTGGTGGGTTGAACTATGTCCCCTCAAAGCTGACGTGCGGAAGCCCAAGCCCCAGGAAGGGTGACCTCACAGCGTGACCGTGTTTGGAATTGGGGTCCTGGCAGATGTAACCAGTTGAGATGCGATCACACTGGAGTCAGGGGGGCCCCTAACACACTGTGGCAGGTGTCCTCATAATAAGGGACATCCGGACACAGACACTGCCCTGTGAAGACAGAGAAGGGGTGGCGCCCCGACGGCCCAGGAACACCGAAGACCGACAGCCACCACCAGCAGCGGGAGAGACTGCTGCCGCGGGGCCCACACTCCCTCCGGCCTCAGGAGGAGCCAGCCCTGCCGGCACCTTGGCCTTGGACTCCCAGCCTCCTCCAGACTGGGAGACGGTGGACTTCTGTTGTCTAAGACACATGCCGGCGGTGCTTTGTCACGGCAGCCCTGGTGGACTAATGGAGACCCCAGACGCTCAGCCCACTCTGTGAGCATCCGGAACTGTGCCCCCCCATCTCCCCCACCAGGCGGGGTTGCGGGGCCAGAGGATGCTGTCTGGGAGCCCGAGGCTCCGTCCAGCCTGGGCCAGGGGCTCCGAGGACCGGCTGAGGGTGAGTGGGAAGCACCCACTGAAAAGGGGGTGAGCCTCGCCCGGAATGCCCAGCAGGGCCCCCAGCCTCGGCCTGCCGCCGCCACTGTCACCGCAGAGTGCGGGGCCCTTTGTCGGGGAAACAGATCTCGAGACCACAGCGCCCCCTCTGGCAAGAAGTACATGGACTAAAACAAACAGAAAGGAATGCGGCAGAAAGAGACAATGCAGCGAAGAGGGGAAAGTATCCTTAAATACCTTAGAAGTAACATCATCAGCAAGAAAAGTGACCGCTCCCGGGAAGGGGGGAAGGATGCGGGGAGAGAGCTGCTGCCCTGCAGCCCGCAGCTGAGACGCTGCGGTGCCTGCTCTGAGGCAACCCCAGTGAGGGTGCGGGTGCGACCTTCACGGCCCTTGAAGGTCACCTTCACTCACCCTGAGGATGCAGCGCCCCCTGAGCACGCAGGCCCAGGTGGGCTTGAGAGGGTCGGACCCGGACACCGAAAGCCGGCAGATCAGAGGTGAGTGGGGCACTCAGTGCCCCAGACTCAGCGAGATTCAGGTGAGACGGGGAGTGGGGCCAGGAGGGGGCTTCCCTCTGGGAATGCCCCAGGCTCACGGAGCAGCAAGGCCTGGGCTCGGTGAGGGGGTCCCACACGATGCCCCATCCTTCCCCCTGCAGGGGCGCAGCCCCTGGGCATCCACCACCTGCCCTACACGTAGGGCAGTGCCCGCCCGAGGCGCCCAGAGGAATCCGGGCAGAGGAGCCAGCCGCCGGGGGGCAGGAGCCCCGTTGCAGCAGCCCTGGTTCTGCACCCGCCGTCACGAACCCCGGGCTCCACACAGGCCTTGATCCCAGTGAGGGGAGAGCAAGCTTCACCCAGCACAGCGGACTGGGGTCTGCTCCCCATGTGCCAAGATCAGGGCAAGGGTACAGAGAGGGCTAAGTGCCGTGGGGGGCCAGGGAGGCCAGGGGAGGGGAGGGTGGCACAGTGCTACCCTCTCTCCAAAACAGGCACGCAGGGACTGGTGTCACTGTGGGCAGCAGTGCAGTCACGGGTGTGAGGAATGACCCACCATGCCAGGGCACGCAGAGACCCCAGCCCCACTGGTGGTGGGAAGGCAATTCACAGGGACCACCTGGGCTACCCAGGGGACCGGGTGACGCCCTGCCGAGCGAGCCGCACCCCCGTGGCTGAGCCCGAAGGGGAATTTTCTGCCTCCCGGTCCCCACTTTAGGAGAACCTGGCCCAAAGGTCCCCTTTCAGCCGTGTCCCAGCCTCCTATCTCTGAGGACAGGTGGGGCCCTCTGGCCATGTGCTCTGGGGGCCCCAGGAGCAAGAGTAGGAGGAGCGTGTAGAGCCCTAGGTCCATGCATATCCGGGCCTTCGATCCCAGCCTCCGCCCAGGGCCAAGCTCCTCCAGTCCTCAGAACTCCCCAGAACAGGACACACACAAAGCAGCACTGTCCCCCAGGCCAACGCGGCTCTTTCAGGGGCCACAGGGAGAGAAGGAAACCCAGACCAGCCAACCACTGGAGGCCAACAATCACAGGACACGGGCAGAAGCCCACGTGGGTGGGGTGCAGAGTTCACTCGGGGGCTGGGATCGGGCCCAGCTGCCCGCACGGCCCCCACAGCTGCAGCACAGCCACCCTCTCTCGCGTCCACGAACAGCCCCCGAGGGCTGGACTGGAGGGATGAGCCTCTCGGAGCACCCATGACTCCTTGTGCGGGAAAATCTTCGCACTCTTGCAAGTGAGGAAAGTTTTCGGGCAGTTGTCGGGCTGAGGTGGGGACAGTAAGAGCACGGTTGTGAATTCCTGATGAGAACATGGATTCGAATGAGATTTCCAGCAAGCTTTAAGCAACACGCCCTGTGCCTTTAAAAAACAGGAAAAGGCTGTATTCTTTGACCCATAACAAGCACTATAAAATAGGAAATTACCACAAATGAAGAAAATACTTATGAAAGCAGATGTTCAATTCGATATTGCAAAATTTTCCGTTCTCCTCCAATGTAGCTATTTTAATTCAGTGCAATTCCAATATGCACCATATCCAACATATCCTAGCAGGATTTTCAGAGCAGTCTGGCAAGAGTTTGGAAGAGAGTTTTGAAAAATAAGAACAAAGAGGGGGAGTATCCCTCCCCAGCTACCACATGTACCGTAAAGCTAAAATAATTTCTGAGGTCTAGCAGCGACACATGAACAGTTAGCTCCATGAGAAAGACCGAGCTTGACCGCGTGCGCACAGACAGACGCGCGCGCACATAGGCGCGCGCGCACAGGCAGACGAGGCGCGCGCGCAGGCAGACGCGGGCGCACAGAGAGACGTGCGCGCGCAGACAGACGCGCGTGTGCAGGCAGATGCGCGCGCGCAGGCAGGCACGCGCACGGGCAAGCCCAGAAGGTGCTTAGGCAGCATCTCAGGCAATGGGGCGTGACTACCCAACTCAATCAGTGTGGACTAAATACTCCCAGTAAAACAACGCGATCGTCAGAACAGATTTTCAAAGACTGTATTCTGTCGATAAGAGACACCTTTAAATAAAAGACACAGTAGAGATTGAAAACGAAAAAATAAAAATTTTGGATGTGCTTGTTCTGTCAGGTACTGAGAAGGAAAAATATTTTGGGTTGGCCAAAAAGTTTGTTCGGATTTACAGCAACAACAAAAGACACATTGTTCGTTTTCACCGGTAACTCGATTGAACGACATAGACTCCGTCTTGTTCCACTGCCTTTCGCCATGTTTCGTGCAACCTCACAACTCCACCTTCCCAAAAGTGTTTATCTTTCAAAGCAAAGAATCGTTCCAGGTGCCTTTTGCAGTCTTCCAGGGAACTGAAATTTTTCTCCATTAAGAGAATTTTGTCAAGACCGAAATAAACGGAAATCCGAAGGCACAGTGTCTGGTGAACACGGTGGATGAACCGGAACTTCCCGGCCAGGCTGTGAGAGTTCTGCCCGGCCACCGGAGAAACACGCGGTCTCGTGTTCTCCTGGTGGAAGATTCTGCGTTTTCTGTGGACTGGTTCTGGACGCTTTTCACCGAGAGCTGCTCCCAGCCGTCTAATCGGAGCGGTGCTGGTTGGAGTTAGCCGTCTGGTTTTCCGGAAGGAGCTCCCGACAGAGGGCGCCCTCCCAACCCGCCGACAGAGGGCGCCCTCCCAACCCACCGACAGAGGGCTCCCCCCAACCCACTGACAGAGGGCGCCCCCCAACCCACTGACAGAGGGCTGCCCCCCAACCCACCGACAGAGGGCGCCCTCCCAACCCACCAACAGAGGGCGCTCTCCCAACCCACCGCACACAGCACCGCCTCCGCGGGACGAGAACCAGCCTCCGGTGCGGCCGGCGGTGCTTCATCCGATGCCCCACGACCTCTTCCGTTCCATGTTATTGTAAAGCATCCACTTGCCATCTCCCGTCACAAGTTGTTTTAAAAAGGAGATGTTTTTGTGGCATTTAGGTAGAGAATTGCATGCAGAAATACGGTCAAGAAGGTTTTTTTTTGCTTAACTTGTGTGGAATCCAAACATCAAAGCAATGAACATAACCTAGCTGGTGCCAATGATTTTCAACACTTGATTCAGATATTTTGAGCATGTTGGCTGTCTCCCACGTGGCAGAATGTTGATTGTTCTCAACAAATGTCTCAGTTTGATCGCTATCAACTTCAACAGGTCTACCTGACCCAGGAGCAACATCCAGCAAGAAATCGCCAGCACGAAACCTCACACACCGCTTCTGACACGTTCCATCAGCCGCAGCACCTTCTCCACACACTGCACAAATCTTTTTTTGTGTTTAGTTGCATTTTTACGTTTCTTAAAATAATAAAGCATCGTATGCCAAAAATGTTGTGTATTTTTTTCCTACTTCAATATTAAAATGCCTACACAAAAATCCCTCAATTTTGGTAAGTTTTTTTTAATGCACACTGGCATGACAGCTGTCACAATACAGTCCAACGATATTGTTTTGAATGAAGTTAAAGACAAATAAGAGCTGCCAGAGCCATCTTCGGGGGAGGGGGCAAACCGAATGAGTTTTTGCCCAACCCAAT